GACGAGGAGAACTGGATGCTCATCGCTGCGCAGCGCACAGTAGAAGCGAGCGCGGAGTGGCAAAGGCTCAGAAAGGAGGCGCTCAGGGCGTGTGGGGGCATTATGGAGGGCGTCCCGGTGGTGGAGGAGAGGATGAACGCCGAGAAGCGGGCGAGGGGAAGTGAGGACGTGATGGAGGGTGCGGAGGAGAGTGCGCGAGCAAGAGGAAAGCGGAGGAAGATATGGGACGAGGGGCCGTTGCCGCTCGGGGTTTATGAACCGCATACAGGGATCGTTTTCTGTAAGCGAAAACTCCCTTTCACGTCCGCCGAATCATAATCTAACTGACTCGTCCTCCCACAGACCGTTCAGACACGCAGCCTTCTCGAGCACGATGGGAGTCTCTCCCAGATGACGCAGATAAGAGGCGCGTACTGGGCGGCACCAAGGCGGGTAGCGGAGCATGGGGTGTCGCATGGGTGGACACGGTCGTGGAGCTCCCGAGGGAGGAGGAAATTGACTTCGAAGGGCGGATTGCGCGCGCACCGTTTCTGCATACGACATCAGAGCCTTCATAGCGCCCGCCATGTTGAGTGAGATGCCTGTGGCTTAGATTATTTTAGCTTAGCAGCCTGTATAGTAGTGATAATAGCCATCGGATTTTAATTGTTCCAGCACATGTGTACTGACAGGGGGGGATAGGGGGTAACGCTGGGAGATTATATTGGACGTCATGGGGTACGCTGCGAAGGTTGAACAATACTTTGCTGATTACCGTTCTGAGTATATTAAGCTCAAGCCTCTCTGGCAGCTCGAGCCTCCAGCACTTCTCTCAACCTCTGTGCGAGCCCTTCTGTCAACTGAAGAACACCGTCGGATGTGCACAGGCGGTATGATGGCATCGCTTGGTACGTCTCGGCCAGGATCTATGATGACAGCTGTTACACAACAGGCAGATGCAACAGGGGGTTCGATGTGCATACCTTCCCCTCCTCAACACGTACAGATGCAAGGATATCGTCGGGGTCGCCTATCCGACCGAGAGCAGGGATGTTGCGATCGTCTGCCGGCGAACCAGATCATCCGCATCGGTGGCAGCATGTTCAGGAGATACAACGGAGACGTACCATGAATGTGCATCCATCCCTGCTGCGTCTGTATCGCACCGTTAATCTGTATGTCATCTATGCCGTCTCGGAGCCCGGATTGGATCGTTTCGTGCAACAGCTCACGGAACCTGGCTATACGCAAGTAATTCTGGCATCCGAAATAACATACATATCACACGAGCAGATACTCACGGTTGTCAACAAAGTCGTTCAGCCCGGCCTCATCGCTGTCCCCTGGAGCGCTCGCCGGCAGCCAGCCGATGACCGTCGCGGACTGCACCGACGGCGGAGCGGTAGGGAGAAACGAGAGCGCAAAGACGGGGACGGTAGACGAAACAGGGGTGGGAGGCTCAAAGAGGTGGTAGAAGAGGTCTGGCCGGTCGGGGTCTGGGAAGGATTGCGTACAGGCGGAGTTGCAAGCGGGAGGAGTTGTAGTGAATGGTCTTTGAGTGAAGCTACTGGGTCGGAACGACGACCACGACGGATGACTCGGACAGAGGCGGTTCCGGGAAATGGGTAAATGCGGACGTAACGTTGCTTTGCTGAAACATCGACCTAATGCACTTTGTACTCCAATGCATGCACCTAGCCATGGACGTATTCTGGAATTGGCGCTCCTTGCCAGTACTTGTTGCATCGGAACGCGACTTGCTCTGGCAATGCTAGAATCGCTAGCCAACAGGTGCTTTTAAAAAAAGAGATTAAAAATTTCGTCTGCTGGAAATGAAGGAGCCTATTGAAGCTAGTGGGCAAATCCTGCTCGCCACTTGCCCGGAAAACGCGTCCCACGTGCACGGCGACGCGTTCATGCCACGCGCCTGTGGCGGACCTTAGGCTTCATTCACTCAATCCCCTGCATGGTCCTCTGCTTGTTCAGCCCAAACTGTATTGAACGTTACTTCTAGACAGAAGGCATATAAAGAATTTGTCATCATAAATCAGTCCAGACGGCAGATACCTCTCTCATACAGTATTATCTTAAGTTATTCAATGTCACTTCATTGTGGAGTGACTGCGCATGTTTGAGCCTTCCCTTGAGCTTGTCAGTCTCTCAGCCAGCAATTATCCATGCTAAACTCCTGTCACTGAAACACCCTCGGCATCAAACGCTGGAGAAGGTATGCAATAAAAATCGCTGGGATCTATGTGCGTACAGATGGAGTTACCTGTTAAGCTGCGCGGCTTGAACACATATATATTGGCAATGAGATGCGATACTCACCCTCGGTCTCGAAGAACGTGCGGCTGTCTTTGCACTGTGCGAGAAAATCCTGCGAGAACTTCCCAAGCAAGGGTGTCATACTGCGCAAGTGCTCCTCGTAGGAAGTGGTCTGACCGGCGAACAGCCGCTCGTAAAGTGATCATTTCGCATACTTTGGCAACATCAGCCCACCAATGATGCGTGGCAAACATGATGAACCACACATCCCAGGTTCCAAATATCTGCGCTGGTATCCCTCTCGCCTTCGAGGATTCAGGTGCTAGAAGATTTTGCGGTTGGATTCGGTCCGAACGCTCCTCTGCGTTCCAGCAAGCTGACGAAGTGCACAGGTGAGCGGACATCCCATGCAATCCTGCCGTCCAAGCCCTGGTACGGTCAATATCCACAATGTATGTTTCTCAACGCAGCAGAGGCACAGATTTGAGCGGCACGTATCTTTCAATGGTATTGTGTCATAGTAGTTGAGAGGCGACACTGGTACGTTGCAACCAATGTCAATTGGCATATATTGTCCAATGATGAACTGTCGTAGGGTGTAGAGGCTCACTGGTTCCTCCTCGCGGCTTAGAAGTGTTCTGGGCAGAAGACGCAATAACAGGTGCCACTTTGTTGATGTCAAGTATACAGATCAGGGTGATGTTAATCTTCATCGACATGCGTATCATGGCTTACGTTCTCCGTATTTGTGCATTGTATGGTGCCGAAGTTCCATCTTAGAGAACTCCACCTGGACGCAAAGTGGGCAATAAATCTCACTCAAACAAGCAAGAGGCAGTGATACCTCCCTGGTGACGGATCAGCCAGCGAAGGCAGTCGCCATGTCCATTGTCTTGTTTTATGACTCTTACAGCTCATGAAAAGCTGACAGATCCAACATCCAAAAATTCTGAGTGGTGGAAACCATAGCGCATTGACTGAAGCCTTGCTCAGACCTTAAAACAGCACTCGGCACTCGGCGCTGCTGTAGCGCTAGCATTAAGCGTAAATCCGCGAGACAGGTATATTTAGCAGAGTGTATGTAGAATTCCAAGGCGAGGCGGGCGTAAGGTGAGTATCACCTTGGTCAAGGCAAGTGGGAAATACAAGTACAAGGAAAAAACAATATCGGCTGCACTCAACGGGAGTATCGTATCCAATTAGGTTACCGTACAATGCAGACGAAAGGGTTGATCCTGGTATCTAGCGACAGCGGCCTGTCAGTTACAACTCGCTGATCACTCCAGTCAATGAAGTACTCACAAAACGAGGGGAAAGCAGGCTTGCTGCTAGTTGTGCATCTCTGCTGCCGAGGCAGACTTTTCGGTCGTCTCGTCATCGCCCATGAGACTGCACCCGGGCAACGGCAACGGGAGCTCCAGATCAAGGGACTCCCTGTCGGCGTTTGCGCCCTCGCCGGAGGCATAGGGGTCATCGCCCGGCTCCTGGAATGGAGCATGCTGCTCAGCCCTTTCCGCACCTTGACCGTTGTCATCTGCCGCGCCTGGATCCTGGGCATACGAAAGGGACGGCCGCGGCGAAGGCAGCTTGTCCGTCTTCGGGGCGTCATTGCTCACGACGGTCTGCGTCACTGACATGGACGGCTGCGCCGAGGGCTGAGTGACCAACGCGGTGCCTTCGCTGGCAGCCTCGGCGCGCCGCTTCTCCTGCTCCGCAAGGAATTCGTCCTCGTCGAAGGACTTCTTGCAGCATCCGGTGCAACAGCCGCGCTGGTGATCGCCCGGATTGCAGGTTGCTAGAGGAAGAATTGTTGTTGAGAGCGATCCGGTTAAAGAGAGTCACAGACGTGCGCACTGATCTGTAGCCACGAGAATATGCCCTCAGAACCGATGATACCTGCGAACAGAATGCTGCTCAGAATGTGTAAAGACTCATTAGAGCAAGGTTGGACATACAGCACATCCCACAGCATCCCGCACAGCACTCTCCAAACGCGTTGTCTGCCATGGATCCTGATGACCAAGTTCCAGGATACGAGATGAATTACGCTTTTGCTTCTCGGCAGCGAACTTCTGTCGCACTGGAGTGGTCCTGAGCACCCAGGACGTGGCAGGGAAGATAAAAGGAGGGGATATTCACGTTGGGAAACGTGAGGTCAGATGGACGTGGCGCGTTCAGTTAAACATGGCAATGTGCACGCCGCCCTGAACCACAAGCGTGTAATACACAGTTGCGGAATCGACCAAATTAAAATGAAGTAACTTTGCCGCAACGGGAATTGAAGAGCCCGATCGCGACGTACGGTAAATGATATAGCGAGTTCATCGTCGAGAAGTGCTTTGGCGGTTGCTCAGCGATGAGACAGCCGTTCACGATCTCAATGTTTGGCCGTCGTACGGTACAGAAGCCGTGTTCGACTACGACGATATGTCCAGATGCTATTACGACTACGCGATATGAGATATGCGAGCAAAAGTACACATTGTCCATGCGTTGGCGTATCAAAAACAAACGGAAACTGAACAAGTCCAAAATCTGTATCGTAGTATGCAAAAAAAAAAAAAATCCGAGCTCAAACGAATGCAAATCATGTCCCGAAAAAAGTCCCAAACAAACAATCACCCAGCATGGCTAAGCAGCACCCTGTCAATCGCCTCGTTGATCACCCGCTTGCGCGACGATAGGTCCATGCCGAAGCGCTGCTCCAGCTTTCCGCGGATCTCCCGCTTTGTCGTCGTCGCCAGGTCTGCTTCCCGCAGGATGTCCTCCACTGCCTGGTCGATGTCCGCATCCGATGGCCCACTCCTGGTGCTGCCTGCAAAGTCCATGTCCTCGGGGCTGCGCGTCATGGGGATCTGCACGTCATTGAAGTTGCTCACAGGCCGTGATGGCGACGGCATCTGTAAGCCCATGTAGTTGCTCGCAGGTCGCGATGGCGCTGGCATCTGGACGTCCACATAGTTGCTCACTGGTCGCGAAGATGATGGTTGGTATGCCATAGGAGGGGGATATCCAGCCATGGACATCACAGGGGTATTTCGGCCGGAGTGATAGTCAGGTGGAGAGTACATCACCTGTTGCGACGGAGCAGGAGAGAAAACGCGAGACATCGCCGGGTCGTAGACAGTCTCGCGACCATAGACAGATGCGGTATGCGACTCAGCGTATCCATCGTTTATCATCTTTGTCGGGGGCACCCATGAGCCAATACTGTGGTTAGACTCCTTGTCCCACAATTCATTTTCCTACGGCAAAAACGTTAGCAAGCTGACACTCGAGACGAAGGAAAGGTCACATACATAGTCATTCCAAGACTTCAACGGGATCACGCTGGGGTCGAATTTACCTTCATCCTACACCATCGTCAGTCAACGTGCTTCGAGAACGCTACCGGCGCAAGCACTCACATGGACAACAACCTTCTTGCCAGCTTCGCCCAAGACGACACGCGTCGCACCCCATGAGAAGTCGTCCATCTTCCAGAACGAGTACAATGGGAGGAGAAGCGAGAACGCCGGAATGGCGAGGATGTAAAAAATCATCCAACCAATCATATCCCACTTGCGACGCAAGACAAACACGAGAGCCTGCAGACCGTAGACCGCTGCAATCATGACGGCCGAGATGATTGGGATGCCCTCATGTAAACCAGCAGCGCGGTAAATCAAGTAGACAATCTGTAGACATCGCGTCAAAGACGGCCGACGGCAGAAGGACAGCAACACTCACGTAGCCAACAGTGACCGGCTGGATCAACGTTGATACCAGGTCAATCATGACGACGAAACGCATCGAGAAACAGCAGAATCCACAAAGGTGATCCAAGAAAAGCAGCTCTCCAAGGTTGTGCACGGTCGAGTTGATCCAGCGCCGACGCTGCGACAGAAGAACCTTCCAGTCGTCCGGAGCGACAGTGTATGCGTGAGCATCCCGGACGAACTGCGTTTTATAATGCGAGAAGTGCTTGAGCACGATCGTGGTCAGGTATCGATCTTCACCCAGATGCAGGAGATTTTTCATGTGCAGCGTGTCCACGCGGTTCTCGGAGTAGTCATCGATGATCTGGTTGGAGATGAAGAGCGGCTTGTACGTGTCCGGCGTACGCAGACGGTAAAGAGTGAAACAACCGGGCAAGCAAGACACGGAACCAAACAGGCTTTCGAACGCCTTCGCCATGTGATGCGAGATGAAATACTCGTAGACCTGGACGACATAATCAATACAATCCGAGACGACATTCGACCATATCCACCCACCTGCATCATCGTGACCAGTGATTGCTTTGCATTCGCCAGCTCTGTCTCACCGCAGACTCCGATCAGCTTCTTATCATGAACCATCCTAAGGGATCAAAATAGTGAGTTGATACATCATATACCAATGTCCCAAAAACATACGCAGAAATCAAGCGATTCACCGACATAGGATGAACCGTAGTATCGGCATCGACCATGAACAGATACTCATAGAAGGACGGGTTGACACCAATGACGTTCTTAATCTGGTGGTACATCTCAAGCTCCAGAGGGTTCATTGGCGAGTTGAAGTGGACCTGTTCTCGCATCAGTAGAGCTCACGTCACTTCACGTCGACATCTCACCTTGTTCAGGAACCGCATGAGCAGCATCTGAGTATCACGCTTACCACGGTTGCCAGGCCTCGACTTTTCTCCGGGTTTACCGCACTTAACAACCACGAGATAGGGGACGACGTGGCCGGCGGTCTCGTACAGACCGGAGTACACCTTGCCCATGTTGTGCTGTTTCGCGCCTTCGCCGAGCGAGAGGAAGCTAAGTGGCTCTGCATCGATATTAGGACTCGCGCCCAAGATGTCAAGGACAATACGAGGAGTGGGCTGGTCGTTTCCGGAACCGACGACCATACCGTCGCATATGATCAAGAGCAACTTCCGCTTATCATCGTATTTCATCTGCGCGAGTGAGTCGATGGTTGTCTGGAGCGACGCGTGACCTTCCGTGTAACACGGCACCTGGCAAATGACGAACTTGTCGTGATCCTCCGGTGCACGCTCGCCGCCGAAATTGATTGACGCAATGAACTTGAACCCGATCACACTGACCATCATGATGGACAGCGCCAACAGGATGTACGTCGCAAACTGGCACTTCGCCGAGTCACGCGTGTCGACCATACCGATAGCGAACAAGTTACGCAGACATGTCTGCTGCCACTCGAGGACCTTGGAATCGAGATTGAGAGCATTGATCTGCTTGGTCACATCTTGTCCGGAGTTGTACTGAAACACATTGACAACCGCATCGGACATGAAGTGAGTGTCAATGGTGCCCGGTAAAACCTCATTGTCGAGAGGAGCAGTGGCAGGGCCATTCGTCACGTAATCGGTCAGATCATAGATGATGCCATTGTAGATGCCAACAGTGTTGCCCTCAGTTGCCAGGTTCTTGAGATCCTTGGTGGTATATCCCATCCAGCCAACGCGGTTGTTCCACCTCATCTGGACCATCTGCTCGAAGTACCAGTCGGGACGGGGATCGTTGGTCCACGCGCGGAAATCATGGTATTGTGCATTGACGTCGGTGTCGTTGGCCGAGTCGAGGACGACATACGGGCTGACGGAACCGCTAACGCCATTACACAGCGCAGAGACCTACAGATGAGATGTGAAAATTGTCATACGGAAATTAATATGCAAAAGACTGACCTGGACAGGGAAGATGGCATCGGCGGAGGTACCACCATAAGCCAGGATCAACTTGGAAGCTATGACAGGCACGACGCGCAGATGAGTGTACGCCACCTCGGTGAGGTCAAAGACCTCTCCGCGAATGGCAACATATACATTGTTCGGATTGCTCGTGAAGGAATGCTCCTGCAGTTCGTTGGTGGTGAAGACGTGTTGTGTGGGGCAGATGAGGTTGCCGAAGACGGCGATCACGAAAATCGCACATCCGCAAACGAACCAAATGAGCATGTTGATCGCCAACTTTTCTCTCCACGCCTGCCGGATATCTGGACGCTTCATGCGACCAATCCACTTCAAGAGCGGAGTAGGAACCCAGAAAGTGAGGATCCAACAGATTATGACCCATCTCCGACGCAAAGCACTTTCCTTCACAACCTCCGTGGTTTCTCCCTCCTGAATCTCTCCAGCAATCACCTCCTTATCCAACAGGCCCTTCTTATCAGCGCCCTGGAACATGTTCCCCGATGGTGCGTACGACTCCGAGCCGAAGTTGGAGACGGATTCAATGTCGCGATGGCTTGTGTACGCACTCCGCCCATCATAGTCTTCACTGCGGAAGGACTTCCTTTCATCGATATCTCCATACATGTCTCCACGTTGAAACGGCGAGCTATGAGAGACCAGGGGAAGAGCCTGGCTCGACTGGCCAAACGGATCGTTGTATTCGCCGTCGTTGTACTGGTCGTCACCAGGATTCTGATAAGGCGCGTAGGGGTCATGCAGACCTCTCGGGTCAAGACCCGCCTCCGCTTCAGCATCCCGCATTCGATTTCGCTTCAGCTCTTCAGTGTCCTTGGATCGGAGATCGTCCTCAAATGCGTGGAATGCTCTTTGCGAGAGGAAAACCTGATATTGAGATGTTAAGCACAGATAATGCTCCGACCCCAACATGACATACCTTGTTCATGCCCAGCACGGCATCCTTCTCCTCCAAACCTAACGCAGTCCGAGCCTGCTCGACCTTCTCCCTAGGGGTACCTTCAATGACATGGAGAGTGTCGAGCTGCCCTTGATACCGCTGCACAAACTCTTCCGGGGTCATGTTCACCTCAAACATGCTCACGCATCTCCTCGCGACCTCGGATAGGCCCAAGCTCCTGACTTGGCCCTTGACGGAGCGGCCCTCCAGCTGATTCGGTAACTGCGAGTCGTTCGGATTGATGCAGAAGATGTACCATGACTGGGTCTCGTCCAGAGTCTCAAACAGCGTGTCTAACGCGCCGCGGAACTCGCCCGCGATGCAAGGAGGGCCATTTGCGAGGACGGCGGTACCCAAAGGCTCCTCATCATCCAGGTTTTTCTCGTCGATGACGTCCTCCTTGACCGTCGCCATACGCTTGATCGTGCCTTTCCTTCTTGTCGATGGAGCACGCATAGGCTTGACAGGCTGCTGAGCCGAAATAATGGTCTCCTCATTCCGGGGATGAACCTGCGTGGCAATCGCCCTAGTAAAATAGAGACTGCGAATAAAGGGGTTCGAGGAACCCGAGCCATCTGTTGGTGCAGCATCGGCAGACGAGCTGTTTCCGCGGAGGAGTGAGACGAAGTCGGGGTTGAGCGCCTCCAAATTGCGCTCAAGGAAGTTCTCTGAGGAGTATGTGACAGGGCCACTAAAATGACTGACGGTAAAGGTGGGGAGGCCCGAACGGTCAATAGCACCGGCCTTGAACGACGAATGGTTGCCCCATCGTTTCGTAAACGACTCGATCATCGTGAGATTCGACTTTCTGGGCATGCGCCGCGCCTGATCGTCCATGATGTGAATTAAGCCGCCGGGCTGATTCTGCAACAGGCGCAAGCATTCCGAGTTGTCGAAGTAAGGAATGTGAGGTGTGTAGCGCATGATGCCCTCGCTTGTGTATTCCCCGACGTGGCGATCGAACAGCCGCTTCTGGACGAAGTTATGCAATCTCTCGTTCGCATAGTTGATGCAGAATTGATCCAACGAGTTGGGCCTGCTGGTGAGGTTCTGCGGACCAGGCAAGTCGAACAATCCAATGAAAGTGTTGAAGTCCTCTTTGCATAGTCGTTGGTTGATGTACTCGTTCAGCCACGCAAAGAGAAGAGCATATAGAGACTTCGCGAGCTCGTCTCGATTGTCAGCAGCACCATCTGGATCAAGGAACACCGTGCAAAGCTCCTTCTTGACGAGCTTTGTCCTGTACGATAGAGTCGCCTCCAAGGCTGAAGGCTGCACGCCCAAGAAATCTGCAACGACTTCGAGGACATCGGTGTTGCGTACTACAGCCGCGTCCTCGTTGCGGGAGCGATCGATGGTGAACTCGAGGTTCCCAAGGTGGATGATGGCCGCGATTAGCTGGCATGTCTGCGCCACATGCCGCTTCGAGAACCCGGCATTCTTCAACGCCACCTTCAGTTGATCAAACCGCACGGCATCCTCGCTCCGTCCAGCATTGCCACGACCAGGAGGATTGCGCTGTCCAAGATAGCGGTACGTTGTTTTCTCCTGGAGATGCAGATGCTGCCTCTCCTCGGGCGATGCACCAGCGACGAGGTAGTAGAAGATGTGGAAGTTACGTTCGCCAGACGGTGCCCCCGCTACCCGATTACGCTCGAGGTAATAATCGAGAGTCTTCAACCCGCACAGACGGCCCCTTTCAGTGAACTGAAGCTCTGTGTACTTGCCAAAACGGGAAGCGTTAGGGTTGAAGAGCGTGCGTGCGTTGCCGAAAGTCTCCAATACGAATTCCACAGCAGGCACCTGGTGTGCGAGCTTCGCGCCCTTCTTTCCCGGTTGACTGACGCTGAGCTCGAGGAGCGTCTTGATGGCCAGACGACGGTTCTCAGATTTTCCACTCGCCGTTTCTCCGCTTCGTCACGAATGAGAAACAAGATGAAGCTCAAGTCTATCATTGCTCACCTCAGTAGGATCGACTGGTCCTGATTAGTCCTCCGCATATGATAGTAGGCGTTGTTGGCAAGTTGGAAGACATGCGGCGGCAAGCGTACTTTGTCCGGCGATGTGTCGCGATACTCGGAAGCATACTTGTGCATGACCGCGTCGGAATTGCTTGGAACATACTTGTGAGGATTAGTTGCGACAAGGGCAGAGGTGCCAATATTCGTATAGACGTTGTCGGACATGAACCGTTCGCGGAGACATGCTACGATGATATCCTCAGAAATGGGAGAAAGGATCGTGAGGTCGTCGACGGCCTCGAGCCGCGGACGCGAGGTCGCTGTGGACTCCCGTCTGTTCATGACGGGCAGCCAACGGGTGGTGAGGACAGTGCTTGATGAGGAAGGGGAGAGAGAAGGGCGTCGTTGCGGTGAAGTCGTGGGCGGAGGGAATGCGCTGCCAGTTTAAGGTGGGTTACTGTCGCGTAACCTATGTTTAGACTTATGTATTATGTTGAAACTTATCAGTTGCCTAATTATAGTCGCATCATGATCGTTTCTCACGCGGCAGCCTCAAGCTCAGGCTGCACAGCGAACCTGAGGATGGTTGGTACAGAAGGCTAGCTGCGGTGGCCTTCTGCAACATCGGATGGTCGACGACGCTAGCCCGAATATTCCACCGACGTACCTGTAAGCGCGCATATTGTCCCGCGCAGGCTCAATCAACAAGAATTGCGTTCCATTCTTGAGCGTGGTTCTATTGGATCCAGAGTCCAGACTGCCATGCCTCGAACGGGCTCGCAATGCCGTTCCGTGAGCCATTTCAGATTGCATGGGCTGTTCATGCGGCTGTGAGTGGTCACTTCGTAGAGAATTGAGTTTCGCACGAACTACCACTAGATCCAGGCTAACACGAGTGTCCCACATTTCTTCATTATGCGACAGTACAAAATTCCTATAGAGTCGCAAGCAATCCAACAATCACACCCAGTATCGTGAGTCCAGGAATGAGCACTACCCCATGAACAGCGCCCGACGAGCTTCCAGATGAAGTGGAACCGTTGGTAGTCGGCGAGGACGATGTGGTGGTCGTGTTAGTGTAGACCTTCGTGCCGTAAGGATAGTCGTATCCAGGGTTCACCGACCACGGCAAGGTTTCTCCTAGAGCGGTGAGGTTCACCGGCGAGGGGAGATCCGCAGCGGTGAAGGACGTGTTGAGTCCGGACGCGACGTAGACAGACCCACCGCCAGGGCTCACAGCGCTCTTGTTTGGCGCGGTGAAGGGAATGTAGTACTCCGGGTTCAATGGACCGGGAATTGTTCCAGTGATGTTAAGCAGAGCTGCGAACAGATATGAGTTTGAACGACTTGACTACGCAAGTGCGTGTCACGTACGAATAGCACTCGAGTTGCCATAAATCCCATTGTTCTTCCAGCCGGTCACGTTCGCGACGAACGAGAAGACATTATTGAGGGTCTGGTTCGTGTCCCCGCGTCCGAGAGAGTCGAGGCTCCAGTTCGCTTCGACGGTAGAGAGACAGGAGTAATGAGTGTAGAACGTGTCATCAGTGGTATTTTTCAGGTTCGCTGGTAGCCCTCCTCCGAGAGCAAGCGTCCATACCCGGTTGTTGATGGTGTATGCTGTCACATGAAAACACCTCAACGAGAACTCCAGGTCAAGAGATCTTCGTTCACTCACTTTCCGTCTCATCAAACGTCAACAGAATGATGGTTCGGTTGTCATTGAACCGCTCGTCGCTCAGAAGCGGGGTCAGCCAGTACTGTATCCATTGGCTCGCGAAGTCGATGCTGGTGTCATGTCCCTACCAAGGTCACGAATGTCAGAGAGATGGAATTGCAAAAACGATAGAGACGCACATCGTTAACGAGATTCGGTGTAATGAACGTCCACTGGGGGACCGCGCTTGCGTTCACGTCGACAGCAAAATCATTGACTGCATACGGTAATCAATATAGAATCGTGCTGACTAGTACCGACAGGACGTAACACTCACAATTGCGGATTCTAAGAGCACGCTCGGTGACATTTGACACGGAGTCGAAGATGATCAGCGGATTGTGCTTGCGGACGTAGTAGGTGTAGTCGCCCGAGCCAGCTGCAGGAATGGTCAGTCACGACTTGAACAAACCGGAGACGTATGTACAGATGTAGTCATAAGAGGTATAATTATATCCCTGTGGAAGCACCTTCAGTGACAAATGGACCGATCATGGATAGTGACTTACCGTGAAGCCGTCGTAAGGCATAGATTCCTGGTCTAATATCGCATAATAGGCATCAATTCACTGCATATTCGTGTATCGAACATTGGATTCACTCACAAGAAGACCATGAAATATTCTTCGCCTCGAGCAGGTCTACAATGGAGGAGATATTCTCCGGAATGGCGCCTGCAGTAAACGTCAACAAGGAAGAGGCAGCGATCGAAGTGAGCTCCACGAACGGAAGTCATCTGCTGCATTCCCGAAAAAATCACCGCCACCAACAGCGATGTAATTCGGCTCAGAGGGATGCGACATCGCATAGTACGACGTGAACAAGACACCCTGAGTTGTCAGCTGCTGGAACGTCGGTGAGGACGCCGCCGTCTCGACTGTAGTGAAACATCAACACAAAGTGCATCTTGAATGAAGCGAGAAACGTACAGTCCGTATTCTCGAACCATATCTGAATGAAGCGGTCGAACACCTTTCCGGGCACCAGCGGGCCATTTTGGATGGTGCCGTTTGACGTCCCGGTGTAGTTCGTCGACTCCGAGGTCGGCGAGAATGCCGGTGGCTGGAAGTTCTGCGCAGTGGCCGCGGACGCCGAATGCACGAGCGCTGCCACAAAGGCCGCGAGAAGCGCCCAGTGAGCAACTTGGGGCGCCATATTCTAACTATGTAGGTGACAAAGGAGCACTCAGAGGATGAAGTGCGCCAAGCCAGGCGGAAGCAACGCACCCCGTCCAATTTATGCGTTTCCGCTTTCACGCCAATTATGGCAGAAGGCGCGGCGATGATGATCTCGTGCACAAGGCACACAGAATGGCAAGACATGTCAGTCAGTATCCCTCGAAGATCCGTTTTGATTGCGTTGTGTCGAGAGAGGATTAATGATCTCGACCACGGAGCAGAATGTCACGAACGTGCTAAGCCAAGAGCATTGCCCGCATGATGAGCATATCGCGCACCACTCATTGGGCGCGGCGAGCCCTACGAGCGGCTCGGAAGATTCTCTCGGTATGTAAGATCAAAGCGTCAGCCAGGAGCCGCATACCCATAGGAACTGTGCCGTGGACACTGAATTTGAACGTGTATGCGAATGCGGCCGCCGAGCATATGATCTAAAGGCTTTCGGCCTATGTAGTAGCACTAGTACATTGAACATATAGCTATATAGACACCCTTGGATTACACACTAATTCAAACTGCACCAAATACATTTGAGCACCATGCGCAAATAATTTTATCCGATACGGTCAAAGCACTCTGACATGTGGAACCTTGAAAATAGCGGTCTCCGCCGGTCATTGCCGCGAACACTGGTCTATCATATATTGCGGAATCTCGAATTTCTGACTTTGAGCCGGCATTACGTTGAACTGGAGCAGTAGTCCAGCAGCCTACAGAAGGTGGAATGAGCTATCGACTGAAGAACACGAAAACTTGAAAACCGATTACTTACGATATGCCACTCGATATCTGCCGAAAACAACTCGTGAGCAACGCAGAGCGGTTAGGACAATTAAAGTCACGTACGGCAGTGGAATGCCCAGTATCCCGGATTGTCAGCCACAAAACGGAGGATCATCCAGCTATAAGCAGGGATCACAACCGTATCCCGACTGTCGAACATCAATTTGATCAAATCTCGCTCTCGCTAGTCAATCAAACGATGGCAACTCACTCCATCGGCGCGGTGTTATTCACGCTCTGCCCTTCGTACCTGCCATCGCCAGAAGCCATGATCCAGAACTACCGGGATCCGACCAAAGGTCGACAACAACATTCATCATCAGAGATGCGTGAAGACGTACCTTGTAGCCGTGCAAATGGAACGGGTGATCGCCATCGTCGAGGTTGTCAACAATCATCTCTACTGTTGCAATCTCGTTGACAGTCATAATGAGCTGTGAACCAGAGAAGTTTGCGGAGCCGTCACTGGTGGAGTTCCCGAGGTGCGCGTAAAGACTCGAGGTGGTGTTGAGGGGCTCCCAGGACTATGCATCCGTGGTGAATACAACAGGGCGAAGAAAGAAGAGAATAGGTGAGCGCACGGTGTTGTTAATAAACGCGAGGTAACGCGAATAGTAGTCCCCGCCCTCAGGGTACTGCATCGAAATGGTGAAGTACGTCGAGCTATGACACCATCAGCACTCGCCACCCATACAAACACAAAGAAAACGCACAACGTAGGCTCCGGCGCCGGGCCTCCACCGACAGGTACGAGGTCCGCCGTATCGAGCGTACTAGGGGCATCGCTCGGCAAACTCGGCGCATTGTCCAATAGCTCGATATCGGGCATAGCATCATCGCCCACCCCGTAGCGTATCACGCCCCGGATCTCCGTCTGGCATCCTGGGTTATCATAGGTGAATGCGGTCTGGTCCAGTGCGGCACGCATCCAGTACGCCCCCGTCGTCTGGTTCGTTCGGAGTAGCACGCTGTATCGCTGCGCGACGGCGATGGAGACGCTAGACACCTCAACCGGGTCGACGGCAGTGCCGTCCGCTTCAATAACCGTGAGCGTGTGGTTGTCCACAGAAAACTCCATCGCCACGAAGGCACCCGGATTGATGAGACGTAAGCGATACGTCTTGTCGCTGAAGTAGTAAGATATTATCAAAATGTGAGTTCCAATTGAACCCTGAGCCGACACTCACGCTTCGAGAGTAAAGTTGAAGAAAGTAGTGTTGTGCGAGCCATATTGACCAACGCCATTGATGGTACCTCCGTCAGGAACCGGTTCATTTCCGGGCGTGCCGTCAATACCGCCTGGCTATAAGCGATAAGTTCAATGGCAATTCGACGAGAAGAGCATTCTGTGCGGCTTACAGTGAAGTAGTACTCTAGAAGATCCGTGGAGAACCCATGGTACAGATCCGAGATCTGTATTACGAGGTCCTCGTCGTAAGAAGGAACCTTCTCGCCCTTGCCATGGACGACCACTGCGCACAAGTGAGTAACGCGATGAGTTCAGCAAAGAGTGCGACTACTGACGAGCACCGGTGATACCGTCTACATATTGAGTGCTATAGTCTACCTTATCGTTAGCGTCTTGTCAAAAGACGCATTACATAGACCTACGGGCATGCCACCAAGTACTGCCCACCCCATCGTTGTCGATCTGCATGCGAAAGTCAGAAATGGTGTTCTTCCGCATATTACGAAGCACTTACCGTGAATTTATACAACATAGATTCGCCAGGCGGAATACCACACTGTCATGGTGGCATATTGGTTAGCGGGGGAACAAGCGTGCTCCCATCACTGTACCTGTGTAACTCCGTCGATACCGTCGTAATAATTCGTGCCGTTTCTGAGCCATGCGTGTGAATGAGGATGGTGTACAGAACAGGTTCAACACAACTCACTGATACAAGCCGTGCCAGTGAATGGCCCTGTAAAATCATGAGTGAACATGACTTAGGAGGACGCACGGCTGGCAAAAGCATACGTGGCATTGACCATCTTGTTCGTCACATTCACAATGATTCGATCTCCGGTGCTTGCCTCGATCGTTGGCCCAGGGTAGAGTCCTTGAGAAAAATATCAACACGGAAGACGGTCACAAGTGGCGCGTTCACTCACCATTGACAACAAGCATGGTCTTTTCGACACCATCCGGGGCACCTGTGCCCTCCTCCACAATAAAATCATAATATCTAGTCGTTGTAGCTTCGTCGACCATATTCATGCTCATAAAATATGCACCGGAATCCATTCTTTGGACCGCTACCACGTCATCGGTCGTGTTTCCCGAGGAAGACGAGTGATGGCTCCGCAACACAAGCCCGAGCCCAAAGGAGATGAGCGCAGTAGCCATGACGGCAATGACAAGGAACAGGATGCGGAGCCACGTCGGTCTCCTCCGAGGCGCGGTAAGCACGATGTCATCCTTCGACGGGGACTCCTTGAGAGCACGTGCGCCGGAAATGTCGGAGGAGACCACACCCTCCTCGGAAGTTGAGATGTGTCTGTATCCTGCAGACTGTGCGGCCCTGGATAAAGAGTTAGCGGAGCGCCCTTGAGCGTCCCAAATACGTATGACAGGAGCGTATCGTACCAAGCTCTCCAAGTGAATTCTTCAGGTACCAGCCTCGGCATCATTCTTCGAGAGGAGAAGTCTGCCACAGTAAGAATGCAAAGACTAACCAACGTGCGCCGGGAAGGGTTCCGTAGGGGTTCCGGCAATAGACGACCACCTTTTATAGGCTCGAGGGGCCGCGGGAAGATGGGCGCGAGGACACGCATATATGCCGATGCATTGAGGCAGGCCCTTCTCGCCTGAGTCCTGACGCGAGTCTGGTATGGCCAGTGGCCACTGACATATCAATTCACGATCACGCGAGGCGCGTCACCGCATCACCAGCCTATCAGCAGCCGCTCATCTGTCAGTCATGTCTTTCCTGCCTGAATACCGCGTTCAAAAATCTGAAACATTCACACAATGTACATGCAAGTATTATAGCCAACGCTGCCTGTTCAGATCTTTGACATCGCATGTTGCTGGCATACGGTATGAGTACTTACAGTGAAGAGCCCCATTTTGACGCTTTCTCGAGGCTCGCTCGCTCGTATGGCTGAACATGGTCGCATGAGGTTCTCAAGTTGGTTTTGTATATGTGAACTCTATGTTGACAGAAGCCGACGTATATTGCGGCAGCCCTGTGTTCTCTGGAAGGAGCATAAAGAGTGAGTGGCTGCCAGAACAAGAATTATATCCAAATAAGGAAGGTTTAGAAGGTCCATTCGAGCTGAGAATGGCGGAGCTGTGTCGGAGAGCATCTAGTCTCGTAATCAGACAGTATCAAAATAGCGGTCTCCGCCAGTCATTGGCGCGAACACTGGTCTATCATATACTGCGGAATCTCGAACTTCTGACTTTGAGCCGGCAGCACATTGAACTGAAACAGTAGTCCAGCAGCCTACAGGAGGCCGAATGAGCTATTGACTGAAGAAACAAAAGTTGCAAACACGACTACTTACCATATGCCACTCGATATCTGCCGTAACGACTCGTGAGCAACGCAGACCGGTTGAGAAAATGAAGGTCACGTACGACAGTGGAATGCCCAGTATCCCGGATTGTCAGCCACAAAACGGAGGATCATCCAGCTATAAGCGGGAATGACAACCGTATCCCGACTGTCGAACATCAATTTGATCAAATCTCGCTCTCGCTAGTCAATCAAACGATGGCAACTCACTCCATCGGCGCGGTGTTATTCACGCTCTGCCCTTCGTACCTGCCATCGCCAGAAGCCATGATCCAGAACTACCGGGATCCGACCAAAGGTCGACAACAACATTCATCATCAGAGATGCGTGAAGACGTACCTTGTAGCCGTGCAAATGGAACGGATGATCGCCATCGTCGAGGTTGTCAATGATCATCTCTACTGTCGCAATCTCGTTGACAGTCGTGATGAGCTGTGAACCGGAGAAGTCTGCGGACCCGTCACTGGTGGAGTTCCCGAGGTGCGCGAAAAGACTTGAGGTGGTGTTGAGGGGCTCCCAGGACTGGATTCGTAGTGAATACAACAGGGTGAAGAAAGAAGAGAATAGGTGAACGTACGGTGTTGTTAATAAAGGCGAGGTAACGTGAATAGTAGTCCCCGCCCTCAGGGTACTGCATCGAAATGGTGAAGTACGTCGAGCTATGACACCATCAGCACTCGCCACCCATACAAACGCAAAGGAAGCGCACAACGTAGGCTCCGGCGCCGGGCCTCCACCGACAGGTACGAGGTTTGCCGTGTCGAGCGTACCCGGGGCACCGCTCGGCAAACTCGGCGCATTGTCCAGCAGCTCGATATCGGGCATAGCATCATCGTCCACCCCGTAGCGCATCACACCCCGGATCTCCGTCTGGCATCCTGGGTTGTCGTAGGTGAATGCGGTCTGGTCCAGCGCGGCGCGCATCCAGTACGCCCCCGCCGTCTGGTTCGTTCGGAGTAGCACGCTGTACCGCTGCGCGACGGCGACGGAGACACTAGACACCTCAACCGGGTCGACGGCAGTGCCATCCGCCTCAATGACCATGAGCGTGTGATTGTCCACGGAAAACTCCATCGCCACGAAGGTGCCCGGATTGATGAGACGAAGGCGGTACGTCTTATCACTGAAGTAGGGTATTATCAAAACTGAGCTCCAAACGGATCTCGATTGGACGCTTACGTTTCGAGAGTAAAATTGAAGAAAGAGGTGTTGTGCGAGCCATATTGACCAACGCCATTGATGGTACCTCCGTCAGGTACCGGTTCATTTCCGGGAGTACCATCGATACCGCCTGGCTACAAGCGATAAGTTCAGTGGCAACTCGACGAGGATACGAGCAATCGGTATAGCTTACAATAAAGTAGTATTCTAGAAGATCCGTGGAGAACCCATGGTACAGATCCGAGATCTGTATTACGAGGTCCTCGTCGTAAGAAGGAACCTCCTCGTCCTTGCCATGGACAACCACTGCGCACGAGTGAGTAACGAGACGAGTTCAACGGAGAGTGCGACTACTCACGAGCACCAGTTATCCCGTCTACATATTGGGTGCCATAATCTATCTTATCTTTAGCGTCTTGTCAAAAATGCATCACGCACACCTACGGGAATGCCACCAAGTACTACCCACCCAACCGTTGTCGATCTGTGCGGCAAGTCAGAAATGACGCTCTTCCCCAGACGACAAGGCACTTACCGTGAAGTTATACACCATAGATTCGCCAGGTGGAATACCACACTGTCACGGTGGATATTGGTTAGTGGGGAACGAAGCGCGCAGCCCTAACTGTACCTGCGTAATTCCGGCGGTACCGTCGTAATAATTCGTGCCGTTTCTGCGCCACACTTGTGAGTGAAGATGGTGCACATGCAAGGATCAACAGAACTTACTGATACAAGCCGTGCCAGTGAATGGCCCTGTAACATCATAAGTGAACATGACTCCGGAGGATGCACGGATGGCAAAAGCATACGTGGCATTGACCATTTTGTTCGTTACGTTCACAATGATTCGATCTCCGGTGTTTGCCTCGATCGTCGGTCCAGGGTAGAGTCCTTGACAAAAACATCAACACGGAAGACGGTCACAAACATTGCATTGACTCACCGTTGACAACAAGCATGGTCTTTTCGACACCATCCGGGGCACCTGTCCCCTCCTCCACAACAAAATCATAATATCTAGTCGTTGTAGTCTCGTCGACCATATTCATGCCCATAAAATATGCGGCGGAATCCATTTTCTGGACCGCTACCATGTCATCGGTCGCGTTGCCCGAGGAAGAAATGCCAGACGAGTGATGGCTCCGCAGGCCCAGCCCAAGCCCAAGTCCAAGGGCGAGCCCAAAGGAGATGAGCGCAGTAGTCGCGACGACAATGACAAGGAACAGAACGCGTCGCCATGTCGGTCTCCGTCGAGGCGCGGTAAGCACAACGTCCTCCTTCGACAAGGACTCCTTGAAAGCATGTGCACTGGAGCTGTCCGAGGCCATCACACCCTCCTCGGAAGTTGAGACGCGTCTGTATCCTGCAGACTGTGCGGCCCTGCATAAAGAGTTAGCGGAGCGCCCTTGAGCGTCCCATATACGAGTGACAGGAGCATATCGCACCAAGCTCTCCAAGTGAACTCTTCAGGTACCAGCCTTGGCATCATTCTCGAGAGGAGAAGTCTGCCACATGCCAGTGTGAGCAAAGTAGCACGCAAAGCAATTAAGAATGCAAAGACTAACCAACGTGCGCCGGGAAGGGTTCCGTAGGGCTTCCGGCAATAGACGTCCACCTTTTATCTGGAGGGGCCGCGGGAAGATGGGCTCGAGGACACGCATATATGCCGCATTGAGGCAGGTAGTCGCTTAATCTTGGGGGTCTCCTTCAGCCTGACGCGAGTCTGGGATGGCCACTGACACACGGTCACGCGAGGCGCGTCGCGATCGGTTGCACTTCGTCACGCATCACCAGCCTATCGGCAGCCGTGCATTTGTCACTTACATACTCATATCGGAATGCAGCTTTCAAACATGGATCCAGTGGACCTCGAGATGATACCATTAATATTACATGTACAGTCTGCGGGTCTTCTATCACTGACTATCAGTACATTACACACCAGTTCAGTCAAACGGAACCGCTCTGATCCCTGGTCCTGACAGCCTCCCGCCTGACTCCTTGCTCTTCTCTGCGGCGGCCGCCCCGAACACAGACGGCACAGGTATTCCACAGCAGTCGCCCCACCCCACCTCGCGCTGGCCAGCGCCCCCGAGGTCTGGGTGCGCGTGGCCCAAGTGCGCGTCGTCTTCCTCGACCTCGCTCCGCGGCGGGGGCATTGGGCCGTCCCACGAAAGAATCGATCCAAAGAGAAAGTGCTGCATGACCGGCAGCTTTCCGAGCACCTCCGCGAGATACATCTTGATCATGCCCGAGTTCACCTTGTCCCACGTCCTTACCTGCAGGAAGCCGCGCTGTGACAACATGCGTGGGATAGAAGACACGGTCGTAACGCACGGCAGAGATGTCATCAAGCATGGGCGAATGCCACCGTAGCGAGGCCGTCTTCACCTGTCAAGAGAAGGCGCAAGACACGGTGAGTCATCGGCTCGACGATCGGTCGTATGACCTGCCTGGTTAATGAATTTGATGCATGCAAAGTACAGGTAGTGCTTCGCATACTCGTCCACGATTTCGCTATCGTGGATTGCCTTGGGCTTGATGTACTTATGTCCTATAATGCCCGATGAAAAAGCGACCCAGGAATCCTGCATACCAGCCACGCACCTCGCAGTTGCGCAGACCCAAACAAAAAGGGCAGGAAATGGTAGTCGTCCAGGCCCCAGACGCCGTGCGAACCTGCAGGCTCCAACCAGTAGGTCGATTGCAACACTCGCATAACTTGCAGATATCTGTCATACAAGACATGAGCAACTGAGCATGTGAAGGAGAACATCGCATAATCACCTCCAAAGTACTCGGATCACAAGCGCAACGTGATCGCTTTCTTGCACAATCCCTAACCGCTCAAGGCAAATGCTACACCAACCTGTATTGAGCACGACCACAAAATGCGAGCCGAGATGGGACGTACAGCCAGCACAGAAAGTTCAGCTCCATGCCGCTTCCGTAGTCAATCCTTGTTCGGTTGCCCCATGATTCACCAAAGTACACAGCAAGCTCGGGTATCGCCTGCTGAGACAAGCCGGGCAACTTCGTATGCAGAGATGGTGCAGCCTACCTCCTCATAGGTTAGCTTAACGATCGTGCCATCAATTCACGAGGGGACCGTTTTTTCGCCAGAGGAAAGGCATAGGATACGTGCGCATACATGCCGTGTTTCATGCTATATTTGCAAGGTCGGGTATTCGTCCCTGTCCTATTTCAGCAATATCGAGGCCTCGCGCAGGCACAAACACCCCTTTCATCAATCATGGTTGCTCGATAAGATTCATTGGAAAAGATTCCACTTTCTAATTCATCCAGAATGCATTTTGTCCAGGGAAAAAACGGTCTCTTCGTTGCTACGAGTAAGGCAACGCACCTCAGCAACCTTGTCATAAAACGTCCTGAATGCGGGATTCCCAAAGCGCGACGCCTTATTGTCCACGGGCGGCGTGGCCTTAGCAATCTTCTCCACCTCATCAAGCACGCCAACGATCGCTCGCACACCCTGCGTCCCAGCGACTTTGTGAGCCTCCAACCACGCAAACGGGACGTCACTCACGCACGGGAGACTCGGTGCACTGATCGGTCAGCTGCACGCCGACCACGGCCTCGTTGAGTGTCTCGATATACGATACAATGTCCTTGTGGGTTTGCGAGTTCTGGAAGTGCTCGAGGTGTTCCTTCGTGAGGATAACTTTGCGCGGGATACAGAATGACATGGTGGTCGTCGGTGAAATTAATGACGCCAATCGGGCGCTAAGCGCCCGACTCAGCAGACATCTAGCGCTAATCTAGCGCCCGCGAATGCAGCTCTGTCTATCAAGTCCTATCAAGTCGAGCTTTGGCCGGACAATCCTTCTCGGTTGTGTTCTCTAGCATTGCTGGTTCTCGATAGCTCTTGAGAATGTCTACATCGACACTTACGCTGCGGAGCTCACTAGAGAAGCACAATGCTACTTTCGAGACACTGCTCAAGCTCATCCCTGCAAAGTACTATTTGATGCAGGACGATTCGGAAGAGCAGGCAAGTCGGCGATGGTACTCCCCTGCCGAGTATATTTTGATGCTATATGCTGTATCTTACCCTGCAATGCGACTTCACGCAACAGATAGCATCTAAATACCAGAAGAACAGCAAAAAGCAGAAGGCACCGAAGCAAGCAATCAAAGAGGCATCGAAAAAGGCCAAAAAAGAAAAGGTAAGCATACATGCGTCCGGCTCCATAGTAATCGAAGTCTGATGTGCAACCGCAGCTTGACCCCGCCAATAATAAGACCGTCATCGACATTCAAAATGAATCTCTGCAAGCGGCGGAGCAGAGTGGTTCAAGCAAGAAGAGTAAGGGCAAGCGAAAGGCAGACGCAGCCACGCAAGGCCTGGCTTCTGATGGAGATGCTATGGACGTGGACGTGATTGTCGATGTCGACGTCGACGGTTCCGCTTCCGACGCAGACGAACGGCCAACGCAAACCCTGGTGCCAATGTCCGAGTCGGGCAGCATCGAGGCACTCAGAGAAAAGCTGCACGCAAGGATGGCGGAGCTACGGCGCGGAGGGAGGGGAGATGGCGGTGATGGGGAGGCAGGGAGCAGGGACGAGCTGCTGGAGGAGCGACGGAAGCAACGGGCGGCGATGAGAGAGCGGCGGAGGAAGGAGACGAAGGAGAAGATCAAGCGTGAGGAGGAGATTAAGGGAAAGAAAGGAACGGATAAGGAAAAGGAAAAGGAGAAGCACAAGGGACCGCAGACGAAGGTACGAACCAACTCGCAGAATAATTGCATTCCGAGCGGAATAGGAATATGCTAATGATGATAATGATATCAGACGCAATTACTAGTTCCGGATCAAGGCTCATCGTCGAATTCAGGTCCATCACAAGATCCCAAGTCGAAGTATGCCACCGTCGCATTCTCTGCGGTCACCGGTAATCCGAGCAAGAAGGCGGACCGCCTCAAGACGGTCTCAAATCCTGCTCAGGCATTGGAACAGCTTGCAGCACGCAAGGAAAGGCTAGCAGCGATGCCGGAGGAGAAGCGCAAAGCGATTGAGGAGCGCGAGAAATGGGAAAAGGCGGAGGCGCGAATGGAGGGTGTCAAGGTACACGACGATGAGGCTCGGCTAAAGAAGGCAACGAAACGAAAGGAGAAAACGAAGCAAAAGAGCAAGAAAGCCTGGTGCGTATTCGCTGTCTATTTCTATGATGTAAAACATGTTTGACTGATGAATGCGCAGGGACGAGCGCAAGGAGCAAGTTGAGACGACAATGGCCGCCAAGCAGAAGAAGCGCGCGGACAACATCGCGACGCGCAGCGAGAGGAGGAATGATAAGCGTAAGGGCGTGAAGACAAAGGGCAAGAGTCGGCCGGGTTTCGAGGGCAAGTCGTTTGGTAAGGGTAAGAAGTAGTATCCTGCGACTCCATAACTACAGTTTGACGCGCTGTCTCATCGAGCACGCTTGCTCACATGTGTACATGGTTCGTCGAGAGTACTGGCTTGATTGGAATACGTCTGTCCCAACCATTTGATGGAATAATGTGGACTGAGTGCGACCACTTCCACGGGCGTCTACGAGCGGTAGCACTTCTGGCTTCACTTCCACCACCAAACTGCAGCATTAGACAATCCATCTCGATGCTTGTGGACAACTAGGCTTCGCATCTTTTTCCGTCATTACAACCGGATCGGCTGATTGAGTGCTGGCGGTGATATAATCGCGCTCCCAATCGTCGACTGGCTTACTCTCGGTGCTGGCAATACACTTTCTGATCCAGCAGCCAATTTGTAGCATTGGTCGCCTTCTTAGGATATGTCCAACGCTGGAATTGCCCAGACAGCTGTTGTACACATGCATCGCCGCAAGTCGAGCAGGGACGAGGACGATAGCGTCCTTGTGTTTCCTCGCGCCCATACACCTCCTTCCAGCTCGGAGCCACCGACGTCTCCGTCCAATGACACCATCGCGAACGGTCATCGGCAATTAGAAGCCCCTTCGTCTCCTACCCGAAGCCGCATAGCGTCAACGCCAGCGGTGAACGGTTCGCAGCCGTACCCTGACCCGCCACCATCAGCAGGTCCACAACGTACCCGCTTCTCCACAGGCGTGCCGCGTCCCCAGAGTCTATACGATACGTCCGAGTCGCACGTCCCTGCTCATAGGTTTCAGCCGCCAGGCATGCGCCAGTCGCTCTCCCTCCCGGGCAACTCGCACGCGCGAACGCGCTCCGTATCCGGGCCATACTCCCCCGCCAGTCCCTCGCCGCTCTCCTTCTCATTCCCGCCACAACCGCCACTGCTGAACAAGCTGTCCAGCTCTTCCACAGCGCCGGAGCTACGGTCCAAGGAGAATGGCATGAGCCCCTCGCCGTCCCTGTCGTCTCAGGCGCAGGCACATGCGCGACGGCATTCGCGTGTGCATTCGCGCAACTTGTCGGTTTTCTTCCCGCGCCCGGGGACGTTGCCATCTACTGCAATTGCCGAAGATGGTGGACAGGAGATCATCTTCGATAGTCCACAGCCCGAAGGCATACCCATGCCATCTGCTTCGCTAGGTCCTGGGCATCGGAACTTCCGCGAAGGGTTCACATTTGGTGCGCGTCCGCCATCGTCGGGGAACTCTGCGCAGCCGATGTCCGCGACCTCGTCGTCTTCGAATGCCACCGCGCGTCGAGGGCATCATCATAAACACTCCCTCTCGCACAACTTCTTTTCCTTCCTCGAGCCAGGCTCGCAGTCGCCCAACTCGCCCGTAGACTTGCACACCACCCCCGCTCTGGTTCCCGTTAGCCCTTGGATGCCAATCTCGCCGTTCCCCCAGACCGCCATGGACGACAGGGGCTTGCAGACTGAACATGCCCGAACAGATCTGGCCGGCCCGCAGAGCCCGATTGGGAAAGTGCGCGCGACACCGAGGGTCGCGCCAGAGGCGGTGGGCGCTGCAGTGACGCAATTTCTGCTTGGCGTGTCGCTCTGGGTCATCGCACAACAGGTCGGGTCGTTGGCTTGCACAGGTCTGGGTTACTGGGTCGTGTTTGATGCTTTGGGTGTCGCGTTGGCCCATGTATTGCCTGGATACCTCGCGAGACCTTCGATGAAAGTCGAGATGAGGCGGCCATTTGGGTGAGTTGCGTGCGATGCTAAGAAGCTCTCCATACAGCGAATGCTGAGTATTGGGCAGGAATGCGCGGATAGAGACGGTGATAATGTTTTCGCAGTCGGTGTTTCTAATATTTGCGTCGGTCTATGTATGTAAAGAGACCGTCGAACACTTGCTGCTTGCTTCCGGAGAAGGACACCATCACCATAATGGTGACGAAGTGACAGAATTCTTTGGGTGCGTTTCTTTACTTTTGATTAACGCGTTGATGCTCATATTTCCTCAGCATCGAGTTCCCGGTCGTCACGTTAGCACTGACGCTCGTTTCGCTATTTATTACCTCTGTTGTCTTCAACAATCATTCAAGGCTCGTCAGCAGTATGTGTTCATCTTCATTTTTGATTGCATCATGAGTCTTACAGCTCCTGGACTCGTCGTAGCGGCCGGTAACTATATTCCACCATTAACATCGCTCTTTCCGACTCGCTATCGACATATCGTACCATACACCTACCCAACCCGCCTAGCCAATCTGCTATCAAATCCGTATTCCCTTGCACCCGTCGGGTTCTGCTTATTGTTGCTCTTTGGCCCGGCGTTCATACCTCCGTAAGCGATCTCTCATTCATCCCGGCGATCCGCTGAGTAGAAGCTGGTCTACAGTTATCAGCATCGGTTCTTCGACTTAGTCCTTGCTGGCCTTGAGACAGTGGTGACCTTCAGCCTCGCATACTCTGCTGCAGTAGCGCTTGGTGCAACATTGTTACAGACAGCTCCAGCACGGGGACTCGCAGGAGGACGCATGGAGGCGTTCCTACGAGCCATGCGAGAGGTAATATTTGATGCTCCAGCTCCCTTTATTCAATAAACTCATCTGCGTTTCAACAGATTGAACGCCATCCTCTGGTCCTCCATCTACCTGCGCCACATATCTGGCAACTTACTCCCAACCTAACACTCCCTCAAGATCACTTTATTTACACCCGACATACATCGTCTGCAGGTGAAACGAAGGTACAAGGACCCGCACAGTCGCTCGTCGTGACGATTGAGCTGCATGTTCGGAGAGATTTGGAGGACGACGAAGTTCTCCGGCTGACGAAATGGGCGTGGGAGCGATGCTCACATGCCTTGCACTTTGGTTCGCGAGGTGGGGAGGGTGGTGAGGCGGAGGCGGAGGTCACGGTGGGGATTGTGAAGGGGTAAGAGCGCTCGCCGTGGAAAATCCGGGTTAGCGATCTTGCTTGGCCGGCATTGGGAGTATTTATACCGTTATTTCGCGTGTATACCCCTTCTTCGCTGTAGTATGAACGGTGAGAGTGCAAAAAGTGAGACATACCATTCGTAAAGTGGCTAAGGCGCTCATTAAGATCGACAAAGTCCTGTGCATCTTCAATCGTAAATAGCTCGTATACGCCGGCTTGCGGTGTGGCCACCCGATCTGCAGCACCTTCCAAATCTGGCAGCGACCTGCTCTGTGAAGTAGACGCCCGCTGCAGGAATGCTCTTCGCGTAGACATCTTCCACTGCCCGGTGCGTCCTTCAGGTTTGCACGACGCTGTGCCTGGCTAACACATCTTATACTCCTGCGCAGGTCTACAGCATGGTGCACGCTCACGAACTGTGTTCATCTCTCCAAAATGCCTTCCGTGTGCGGCGGCAACGCATAGCGGTTCCGCACACCACAGCCAACCTCGGCATCCTCTCCGTCCTCCTCCGGAACGGCTTCATAACCTCTATGTACCGTGGAACAGTAGACGAGCCTGATCCGCTTGCGTTCCTCGACGCTGGGGTGGCGCAGCGGCGGATATGGGTGGACCTGAAGTACCGCGAGGAACGGCCCGTCTTGAACGCCATGGAGCTGGTCAGCAAGCCGAGCAAGGCGGTACTCATGGACTTGGATGCTCTGCGGCTTATATGTTCGGGTAGAAGAACGCAGGGCGTGAAGCCGCTACGGATGGGCGAGATTGCGATCGTACGGACGAAGAACCAGGAGCATGAGTGGGTGGAAGCGAGAGAAGCGCTGCAACTAAACCTTGGGGGAGAGATCATTTGCCGGGCACGGTAGTCATGTTGGATCTCATTGTGAGTCCCTTTACTATCACACATTAGGCAAACACGCTCATCCAATAACTATTATCCCGTTGTCCAGCCGTTTTTTTTCCTGAGGAGCCCTATATACCTTGTCATGGTACAAGAGGCACGGCCATCTGTCTTTCAGCGGTCTCGTCATGTTGTATAACTCCGGGGTACATTTTTGACTCAGGAAGGGTAATTACGACCCAAAGTCTCTACCATCAGCATCTACACTCATTACACGAATTGCATTATACGTTTGACACTGAATACTACATGCTAGGCGCTAGGTAGCAAGTTGCGCAAAACTTCATCTACGTCGACGTCCCTGTGGACAGGCCACTCGCCCTCCCTGATCAACTCGTTCTCCGCCAGCAAGGCCCAGTTCGGCGAGGGCGTGGGCCGGATATGAGAGAAATCTTGCACGGAAAGGTTGTTGCCCATCGGATTCTGTAATTCGGTCAGCGTGGCTATTGAGATCACAGTGGCTGAGCGACCGGACGTACAGTGTCAGCCGACCGTAGAGGAGCAGGGTATAGTGAAAATCTGATGTTGGTGCAATGTTCTATGATTGGTTTGGAAGACACGGCGATGTAGACGTCGGTTTGTGACGATGTATGCATGCGATACTACCACAACGTTGCAGTATTTAGCGGAAAGCATAGACAGCAACAACGAACCTGATGACATCCCAGAACTATGACACATCTCGAGAGATCGTGTAAGAGTGCACTGCCTTCGATTTGAGGCAGAAGAAGTATGCAATTGCGCACATTCCGGGCGTGGAGAGCGGTGATCTTCAGTTTGCTTTGAAGGTCTGCTGGGGTTGAAGGAAGGAGGTTGACAACGCAGTGATCGAGGTCAGATATTACGAGATCGGATGCATCAATAGCCGTCGAGGCAGGAAATGAGGAAAAAGTGAGGTATTCGTGCGAATAACCTGAGAGGCTGAAAGTTGTTGAAGGAAGGCCAGCGGGAGCGCTTATGTTGCTTGACAGTAGCATATTAGGAACGTGCTCTTGAGTAGAGTTTGAGAGTATGGGCGAGATAGATGGCTTGTTCACTTTGCGTTTGAAGGTGAACTTTGGCTTCGGTGCTGACACGGTTCGGAGCTTCTGCAAAGACTCTTCAAGCTCCTTCAATTTCTGCGAAACAGAACATTGAGCAGGCACATTCATCAATTTCCCCGGAATCTGTACATACAATATCGCACTGCCTTTGATCATAGCTGGGCAAGAAGCTAGTAGCTTCCGTCAACTCCTTCCTCAGCTTTGCGATGTCCAAGGACAGCTGATCCAGGGCCTCAGGTGCACATCCGTTCAAAGTGTAAGACTCGAGGCAATTTCCGAGTTCTATCGCAGCACCTGCTCAGCCGCCGATGTGATGCGATAGAGACTGCAGCAGACCAGAATGTGCAGCCTGGAAGTAGGCGTAGAACGCTTGCGTGAGGCTCTGATTCGTCTCGGACATTGGAAGCACCAGTAAATATGTCTGCGTTTCAAACAAGCGGGTCGTGGACGGTCCTCGCGGACGTCAGGACAAGTCACGAAGAGCGGTATGCCGAGTTGTGGCCCGGCGCTTGACTGGTGCAGTAGCTGTGACAAACGCTCGTCGTCGCACAGGTGTCCTTGGTCACGTCACGTTGCACACGACGCTTGCTGACCTCGCCATCCACGCCTCCTCCGTTCATCCTCCTCGCTCATCTGCGACGATCTGCCATGGCTGATATGGACGTCGACGTTGAAAATCTCGCGGTTGCTACCGCAAAGGACCAGGAGGAGAAGAAGCGTTTTGAGGTGAAGAAGGTACGATTGGGATTAGCCATCATGCCCGAGGCTTGGTGAGGTTCGCTGACACGCACTCTTTGTGTTGCCGTGATTTTCAACGACAGTGGAACGCTGTTGCGCTTTGGGCATGGGGTACGTTTATTGGTTTTACTGTAGACATTCATTCGCCAATAGTTGTGTAGACATCGTGGTGGACAACTGTGCCATCTGCAGGAACCACATCATGGATCTTTGTGCGTATCACGATTAAACCAACGACAAGCCGCGTATTCTGATTATGAGGCTTAGGTATTGACTGTCAAGCAAACCAGGTGTCGGCCACCAGCGAGGAGTGCAACGCTGCGTGGGGTATCTGCAACGTGCGTATCCAATTGTCGTCCATCGTACTGATCTTACAATAGACGCTGATAACATGCTTATCTCGTGTAGCATGCGTTCCACTTTCATTGCATCTCTCGTTGGCTGAAGACGAGGAACGTCTGTCCCTTAGACAACCGGGAGTGGGAGTTGCAAAAGTAAGTGACGATCGCAAATCTCCGCACTCTCAATGTTGACATAGCTCCAGGTACGGCCGGTAGAAGGCGTGCTGTTAGTGTTTCCCGTTTTCTACCATGTACACTAGAATCTTATCGGTTGCGCGCGCTGCCGGCATGGCCACTGTATGACATCGTATGACATCGAGCGCGATCTGGTTCGCACATGCCTGATGAATGCGCTTGGCAACGAGTTTCTATGCGCATTATAGGATCATGCAGTTGTTCCGAGTGCGCTCTGCATAACATTCGTCGGAGCGGGCGTAACCGGGAAGGTTTCCCTGTGCTACGCCACTATCGTTCCAAATGGCGACTTTTCGGGCGGCATCCATTCGATCTGAGAAGTCCGCGAATTCAGATTTGAACTTGAGTGATGAGCCAGAGTTAGCAGTTTCACGAGGTTTGTCAGTACGCTTCATCCTGATGCTGTTGCTCACCTTATGATAGCTCGCAGACGTTACTGGTCATGAATATTGTTTGCGACTTTAAACACCTCCCAGGTTTCCATGAAATGGCTGATATGGATCGAGGAGGCTGACATACCAACTAATCATCGGTGTGGCGCAGCGGTAGGCTCATACTCGCCAGTCGAGTCGGAGCGTTGAGGCTGGCAGTCAGTCAGCCGCCGCCGAGATAAGCTGACTTTCCCGGATTTTCTCAGTATCCTCTGACTCACTGTCCGTTATCAGTCGCTTTGCCAAGTACCTGCTTGTCTCTAGCTCGCGCCATGCTATCCTATTCATCCTCTATTCTTGCTATTCTTGATGCTCTCCGCACATCCCCCTTCTCCACGGCTTCCCTTCACGCCGCCGAAAGCTCGACCTCTGAGCTTAGTCTAACCCTCGACGATGTCATAAACTATCCTGATGACGACCAGTGCATCAACCAGAATTCGGATTATGTCTCTGCTCCAATAACACCACCGCGTCCTCGCTCAAACGCCATGTCGCTGGACTTTATCCTCCGTTCGTCAGCGTCGCCTCCTCGCAGTGATGCCTATGCCAACCGAGCACACGGGGTGCGGCTTTCTCTACCATCTACCGGCAACGAGGACACCACCAATATCCCCGCTCCATCTTCGAGGCATTTTACGCTCAGTGCGATGTCTTCGATGTCCAATATCGCTGAGCAGAAACCCCTTGAGATGGTGGATAGTGTTTATGGCTGGGTGCCGCCGAATGGGCATGCATACATCGTGCTCGACGCTCATGATTCGACTATAAATACTCTGTGTGCGCTGTCTCCTCGTTTCCGTGTTCCGTTCGCAATGCGTCCTACAGTCACATCCGGTCCCTCTCCCCTCCCAACCGGTGTCAGCTCATCTGTCCTTGCGCATTTTACTGCTGCAGTCACTCCTCGGCGCGCTAGACCGAGAAACGAGGCTGTCGCCGCGTTGCACGAACCGCCCATCAAGCAAGAGCCTCTTTCATCAGTGGCTGCGGCGTTGCCTCCACACTTCGACGGTCAGCCATCAACATTATCAATAGCCTCATCGCAACCGTCGCCCTCGATGTCTGCGCGGCTCGTAGCAACCCAGCACACCGCTCGTGTCAAGCTTCCGGCCACCGTTGCGCCTTCGACCTCTGCGCTGCCAGTGTCCGTGCCAGTGCACGTTTCTTCTCCAGCAGGTCCTACGACGCCGACACCGCAGTCAAGGCGCAGACCACCCCCTCCTCGTGGTGGTGTCGCGCCTGCACTCGCGCGGAGCATCACGCACATTCGCATGGCACGCGAGCGGGCGATGCACCTGCGGACACAGGCGGATATAGGTGCAGCAGACGGGGAAAGACCCCGGGCGCCAAGCGTGTTGGGGCGGTGGCAGGCTGGGCAGAGGTAAGGCGGCGTGCTGCAGGAGGAAAGGGGTTGTGCTTGTGCTTTCGTTTGTTGGCTGCGTTCTGCTCGCTCAGCGATGGCTTTCTTTGGCAACGCCCCCCTTTTTATCTCCCGATATAATCGGAGAAATCACTGTTCCGGCCTCTACACAGTAAGGACACGTACCGCCCAGCGGCAATGCTGCGGTAAGCGTCCATCACATAATCACTGCTCAGTATGATACATGACATGCCATTCGCAACGGCGCACGGTGGGGATCAGTGCCGGTGATGATCGAGTCTCGTCCGGAGGAAACGCAAAAGGCATTGTTGAGGGAACTGTTTCATGAGAATTCTCACAACCGCAGCTGATGAACGCGAGGTTGCGGCGAAGGCACATTGGTCCAACTTGGCGATCGACGCGTCCACGAGCGACTGACCGGAAAAGCCTGCGGACCTGAGTAATGCGTTTGTCATCACAGTTACACTTAAGCGTCGCGGTATCCCAAGTCCTGAAACGCAGTACGTTCTGACATATGGTGAGAAGCCATGCACAAAGACCAACGTTCTTCATCAATCCGGACTGTTTCAAGGATGATTGGATATCAGCCCGATGGTTAAAGTGCATGGTGACCGTTGTAATCTGACAGCTTGAGAGAATTTTGCGCTTCATTCATGAGCCGGTCCCCTGTGTATCTTACCATTACGGGCTGTCGCCGGTAGATAAGGTTGAGCTTGACCATCAGCAATCATATGGCGTAACTCGGAGCCATTATCTAAATTTGAGCTCAATTTGAGCTCAATGCTACAAATGTTAGACATGCTGAAGGATATTGTATTTTTGATCGATTCCGTCAGTTACAGACACTTAATTACGAGTCTCCACAAAGAAGATGAGCGCGTTATCCAGGCTTGAGACGGATGCTTTGCGAAAAGTCATCAGAATTCCGATCGTGAGACATTATAGGACAGGCACAGATCACCGCCTGCGGCTTCTTGACTTGAAGTGCATTTGTGCGGAACAAGCAATGAATGAACTGTAGCTATCTTCTTCACCGTAGTACTTAAAGGTTATCTTTAAACTGTGGTTCTCGTGATAGTATGTTTTACGAGCAGCATTGCGGACATACCGCTGCGAATGGCAGCCGAGAAAGGCCGCCTGGATCTTCCGTGCACGCTGTCTTATGGGAATCAATCATGGTCATGTGCATCATGTCTTGACTTGGAAAGCGCATATCAGATCGATTGGTAGATCACAAGCTCATAGACGTCATCAGTTTCAATTACCCCGAACGGCAAGAGGGCCGCCATATGAGGAAGGTGCGCGAAGACCATGTCGAGAAGCACGAGTTCAAGCTCCGCTCAGCGCCTCGTTATAAAAGACGCATCCACCCTATCAAATCTTGTAAGTCCCCTCCCCCCTCTTGCCGTTCGCCCCAATGCTGCACGTCTCGGCGTGCCACGATACGCGTGCTCTGAAAATGTTCGATTCCGCGTCTTTCAAGTCGCCTAAGAGTCCCAATCCTGATCGTGTGGCGACTTACAGTCCAAGCCATCTTTTGGCAACTTCTTGCTGTGCATTCGGAGTTGGCGCTTCGCGAAGTCTGTGCTGTTAATCTCTCGGTCAAGAGCACAATCGCCGTTCGGTCTTGAATGACATCCGAGTGCACCTGCTTCCTGCACGCACGACAGTTAATGGAGGCCATTAATACACGAAAACACGCTCAGATTCCAAGCTCATCGACCTCAAGCTGATCCTCGCGAGACACTGCATTTCTGTGGCGTGAAAGTCTTTGGACGCCTTGACATCCAATATGCAATGTGTTGGCAGCGAGGAGAGATCATGTATCCTCATCTACTCGGCGACTGCGCGAGTGTGCCATACAAGATGCCACCTGAACTTACGTGGGATGCTTTGGGGAACATTGCAAGTGGCTGACCTACGTAAGTCATTCTTGCTCGCTCTCATGACTGCGAAGTCGAGACGCAGATGCAGTACTAGTCTCGAACAGGATGATCTCCGTGCGGGCTGCGAGGGATTTCTCAACTGGGTGATCTGGTCACGATGTTACCTTTGAATTAGCCAGTTGTTGGACTTTGTAGGTCCGGGAGAACTGCCGAGGAATCAGAGTTCGAAGCTCAAAGTGGGCAAGGTGAGATCGTCGGACCTAACAGGCGCTGTCGCGTGCTGATGCGCCTCCGGTTGCCGAGATGCGCCCAACTAGGCCCTATCACCGTACCCTTTGGTCAGTGGCCCACTCGTGCAATGGCATGCTCCCGCAGACCAATTGCGATCGGAGGCTGGCTCCACGCATCGGGCACAACCACTCGTCAGCGACTCTATGTCAGCGGAGAAAACAGCCCGAAAGGGAGGTTTACTCATTTCGGATTTTGTCATGCGGTCCGATTGGCGGAGAGCGGCCCATACATCTAGGCGCCTATCGCGTCACTCCCGCAAAGACAGGCTAAGCCTGAATCACAAGCCGGCTTTGCCGCCTTCCGCGCGTCGATTGCAATATGCATTGCTAACAGCGCCCGATTATATATAAGCCCGGTGCGGGGCGTCGAAAATCTCGACTGCACTACCTTATACCTTCCTCTATTCTCGTTCGCTGGGTCTAGCGATGGATCCCTCTCATTCTGAGCCCGATATCCAGGAGACCGATACAATCTCTGAGCTTCCACAGGATTTGTCTCCTCGCTCTCATCATGACTATTCGCCAAACCGTCTGGGAGCGCCGCTAACGCGCACTCTTAGTCATGCACAACACGTCAATGTGGACTTCTTCGACCCATCAGGAGTACAGGAATTGCAGCGGACCTTGTCTCGCAGGTCACAAATCCCTTCTGTTGCCGAGAAGAAGGGTGAGGGCCTCGGGCCCTCCATCAGCCGTCGTCTCTCTCGCATTTCTCGAGCGTCCCGTGTGTCGGAGGCGATATCTGAGCTCACGCTCATTCCGACCGAGGGCCCTTTTGACTTTGAGAAGACTCTTAAGAACATGGTCAGGAGGTGAGTATTCCGATCCGTTCGCTGCTCGCTTCGGTACCGACTATCAGCCAGGATCGATCAAGCAGATATTAAGAAGAGAGAGTTAGGGGTCGTTTTCGAGGACCTTCGGGTAGTCGGCTTGGGCGCATCTGCAACATATCAGCAGACGCTGGGTTCCATGCTCAATCCACTCACTTACGTGGAATTCATCAAGCAACTTCGTCATCCGCCTGTTCGGGACATTCTTAGCGGCTTTGAAGGATGCGTACGTCCTGGAGAAATGCTCTGTAAGTGTTTTCAGCCAGATCTGCATATCTGCTTCCCGACCTATCTTCCGTGCTTCAGTGGTTCTTGGCCGTCCGGGCGCTGGATGCAGCACGCTCTTGAAGGTGCTCGCGAATCAGCGAACGGAGTACCATGCGATATATGGTGATGTGCGTTACGACACATTCACGCCGGAGCAGGTTCACAAGCATTATCGCGGAGACATTCAGTACTCTCCTGAAGATGACGTTCACTTCCCTACCCTGACTGTCAAAGAGACGCTCGACTTCGCCGCCAAGACGCGCACGCCGCATTCTCGAATCCACGAGAGTCGCGAGGAGCACCGGCGCATTGTGATTGAAGTGCTCATGACCATCTTCGGTTTAAGACATGTCAAGGACACGCTCGTGGGAGATGCGAGCATCCGAGGTGTGAGCGGTGGTGAGAAGAAACGGGTATCCATCAGTGAGGTTCTGGCGGCGCGAAGTCTGTTGACATCGTGGGACAAGTATGTGACTCTAATGCTTCAGATTGGATGAGTATTAATTGAAAAACTATCTGCAGCTCGACGCGAGGCCTTGAGTGAGTTCACAAGCCTTTATATCCGAATTCTTCCTTATTCATTTCTCATGCAGCGCCTCTACGGCGCTGGAGTTCGTTCGCGCACTCCGGCTTGCGACTGACATAGGCCGTGTCTCGTCCATCGTCTCCATCTACCAAGCTGGCGAGTCGATCTACGAGGTTTTTGATAAAGTCTGCGTTATCTATTCTGGCAAGATGATCTACTTCGGGCCTGCAGATCGCGCCCGACAGTTCTTTATCGACATGGGTTATGAGCCTGCCAACCGTCAGACCACTGCCGATTTTCTTGTCGCCATCACGGACCCCAACGGACGCATTGTCCGGAACGGGTTCGAGTCGCGGGTGCCGCGAACCGCGGACGAGTTCGCTCAGTATTTCAGGGAGAGCGAATTTGGGCGGATGAATAGGGAGGACATGGCCTCCTATAAGGAGGAGGTACACGGCCAGCCGGATCGCGCAGACCAGTACAAACAGAGCAGCAAAGCGGAGCACGCAAAGACAACTTCAAAGAAGAGCCCGTATATCATCTCGATACCGATGCAGGCTCGCGCGTTGATGCTCCGGCGTGTGCAGATCATCAAAGGCGCGGTTGCCGCACAGGTGGTCCAACTCATGTCGTTCATTCTGCAGGGTGTCATTGTAGGCACGATCTTCTTGAGGATTAGTGACTCTACAACAACATTCTTCTCGCGTGGTGGTGTGCTGTTCTTGTACGTTGCACTTCTCTTCTCGCCGCGCCATTTCGTCTGACGATCCTGATCTATTCCAGTGCACTTCTGTTCTCGGCACTCTCGACTATGGCTGAGATTCCTGCCCTCTTCGGTCAGCGCCCAATCGTCTTGCGGCATTCCAAGGCAGCCATGTACCATCCATTCGTGGAGGCGCTCGCCCTCACCTTAGTCGACCTTCCCATTTCAGCCGTCACAGCCATCTGTTTCGCCATCATTCTATACTTCGTCGTCCGCCTACAGCAAACTGCCGCACAATTCTTCATTTTCCTGTTGATAACCTACTCCATGACTCTTACGATGAAGGCTTGGTTCCGCGCGATTGCCGCTGCATTTAGGAGCGCGGCTCCAGCGCAAGCTGTTGCTGGTCTGTCGACGCTGGTTTTGACGCTCTACACCGGCTATACGATCCCTCAGCCGTCGATGATTGGTGCATTGCGGTGGATCACATACATCAACGTAAGTTTGGTCTGTCTCTTGTGCTGTTCTTCCTTATCGCTCACCGTTTGCTGCTTACAGCCCCTGAAATACGGATTCGAGGCGCTGATGGTGAACGAGTTCCACACGGTTAACGGCGAGTGCGCATCGCTCGTTCCCTCGGGCCCCGGATACGAGAACATCTCGCTCGCGAATCAAGTTTGTACCACCGTCGGCTCGCAATCCGGTCAGTCGACTGTCAATGGCATGCTGTACTTGGAGAAGTCTTTTGGTTACTTTTACGACCATCTGTGGAGAGTGAGTCTTATCATATCGGTTGATCGTTACAAGCGAATCGGCTGATGCGCAATTGTCATCAGAACTTCGGTATCATCTGCGCTTTCGCTTTCGGTTTCATAGCCTTCCTGCTCATGCTCACGGAGGTCAATACTGGCCTTGCGGGCGACAGCACGGTGACGCTATACAAACGTGGCTCTAAGGTTAATGCCTTGGAGCAGGCCGACTCTGCCGACGAGGAGAAGCAAGGTAGCAGGGATAGCGTGTCAACGCAACATGGTATCGACAGCGACGACGTTGACACGAAGCAGGCTTTGAACGAGGCCGCCGCTCAGAGCAGTACGTTCTCGTTCGAGAATTTGACGTACGTCGTGAGCGTCGGTGGTGAACAGCGGACACTGCTCGATAACGTGTCGGGGTACGTTGCCCCAGGCAAATTGACTGCCCTTATGGGCGAGTCTGGTGCTGGCAAGACGACCTTGCTTAACGTGCTTTCCGAGCGCACGACCGGCGGTGTCGTCACCGGTAATCGCTTCTTGAACGGTCAACCTCTCCCTGATGACTTCCGTTCTCAGACGTGAGTGCATCGCCACATATAAAAACGAAATGATTGCTGAATGTTGTGACCGTTACAGCGGTTATGTACAGCAGATGGATACTCACTTGCCATACGCAACCGTTCGCGAGGCATTGCTCTTCTCCGCCAAATTGCGCCAGCCCGCATCCGTGCCACTTGCGGAGAAGGAGGCGTACGTCGAGAAGTGCCTGAAGATGTGCGGTCTGGAGAATCATGCAGATGCCATCGTTGGCTCGCTCAGCGTCGAGCACCGCAAACGCACCACGATTGGTGTCGAGCTGGTCGCGAAGCCGTCTCTCATTTTCTTGGACGAACCGACGTCTGGTCTTGACTCTCAGAGCGCATGGGCTATCGTGTGCTTCTTGCGGCAACTGGCAGACAGCGGGCAGTCGATTGTATGCACGTACGTTCATGCATCTTCACCTTCTGCGACCATGATACTGACGGCCCGCAATGGTTAGTATCCATCAACCGTCAGCTGAACTATTCGAGGTGTTTGACAGGCTTCTATTGCTGCGCAAGGGTGGTCAGACCGTGTACCACGGGGATCTGGGCCGCAACGCCATTACTCTGATCAACTACTTTGAGAGTCATGGTGGACGGCACTGCGGTGAGGCAGAGAACCCGTATGTGTCCATGTGTCTCTTCCTATATGAACCTAACAGTCTATTAGCGCGGAGTATATTCTCGAAGTTATTGGCGCGGGTGCGACTGCGAGTTCGGACATCAACTGGTACCACATGTGGAGGAAGTCTCAGGAGGCTCAAACGTTGGTGCAAGACCTTGACGCCATTCACGTCGAGGGTCGTCAACGCCCAGTTGCCGAGTCGTCCACGCACGGAGAATTTCCTACAAGCTGGTGGTACCAGATGGTCACGCTGCTGCATCGCGACGCGCAGGCCCACTGGCGCGACCCACAATACATGCTGGCAAAGCTTCTTGTCAACGTCCCTGCGGGTCTCGTCATCGGCTTCACGTTCTTCAAGGCAAAGGACAGCATTCAGGGCACACAGAACAAGCTATTCGTACGTGCCACGCTCCCCTCATCTGCGCAAAGCTCCAGCTAATCCCTTTATAGTCGATCTTCATGTCTACGATCATCAGTACGGCGCTCGCGAATCAGCTGCAGGTGCCATTCTTGGACATGCGCACCATCTATGAAGTTCGCGAGCGGCATAGCCGCATGTACAGTTGGACGGCGCTGCTCACGTCGCAGATGTTGATTGAGATCCCATGGAACATCGTTGGCTCGACGTTGTACTTCCTATGCTGGTACTGGACCGTGGCCTTGCCGAGTGATCGAGGCGGCTACACGTATCTTATGCTCGGTGTCATGTTCCCGATATACTACACCACTATTGGCCAGGTAAGCACTCACTATCCGCCGACTTGAAAGCGGTTACTGATCAGATATGTGTAGGCCGTTGCAGCAATGTGCCCCAATGCTCAGATTTCTGCACTTGTGTTTAGTTTCCTGTTCTCCTTCGTGCTGTCCTTGTACGTGTCGCTGTGCTTCATCTTCCTATAATCGCACTAACGGATGTATATAGCGACGGTGTACTTCAGCCATACCGTGAGCTGGGCTGGTGGCAATGGATGTACCGCTTGTCTCCCTTCACGTACCTCATTGAGGGTATGGTCGGTCAAGGTATGGTTTCTGCTGATTGTTCGTTGCCCAATTGCTCATTTGCTATATGCAGCCATGGGCAACACCCCGATCCGTTGCTCTTCGACGGAGCTCGTCAATTTGAATCCACCCTCGGGTCAAACATGCTCTGAATACATGAGCACATACATCTCGAATTACGGCGGGTACATCACCAACGGGGACGCGACCAGTGGGTGCCAATACTGCGAGTTCAGCACGGCGGACGCATTCCTGGAGACCAGTTTCAACATCTTCTACAAAAACCACTGGCGCGATTTCGGTCTTTTCATCGCATACATTGGTTTCAATGTGAGTTTTCTTGACCTTGGAATTTGACTGTATCTGAGACAGAGCGTGTAGGTTGGGTGCATCTACATGTTGACATACATGTTCCGCATCCGTTCCGGGAGCATGATTGGAAGCGCCATTGGCTGGCTGAAGACCCGGATCGCCAAGAGAAAGTGATTCAACGCGGCGTGCATCTATACCATTATCGTTAGACGATTCGATCTTTAGACTAGATATACCATAGGGAACGTTGTTGAGACAATAATGTCTGCGTTAACGTAGAAGAGGAAGTTGGTCACGGGACAGCACTTATGCCTTTTTACGAACTTGCATGTTGGACGCGATACTCAATGCATCGTAGATCTGTATCATAGCAATTTAAACCTTCTGCTCCTTGTCGCGTCGAGATGCGTCATTGTCACATGGGCGCGACACCGAGTGAGCTGTCGTTGACGTCATTTGGATGTGAAGTCCATTCTGCCTCAACTGGTATATGGTCGTCATATAAAGAGTCGACGCCACGGTGAAGGTGGTCCTCCCCCCCTCCCACTATTAGCACCCTCAGATTGACCAGAACACGACCGGCACCATGCCGCCTGTACCCAAACGCGGATTTAATATTGACTTTGCAGGTAGAGGTGTGAGCTATCGGCGTGAAACCAGCACTGAACCTTGTGGGGTGTGGATCGCTGACAGACAAGTGCATCATTGTAACGGGAGGCAATCGCGGCATTGGGCGCGCTATCTCGGAGGCGTGTGCGGAGGCCGGGGCACGCGTCGCAATAATCTATAGAAGCTCGAAGGACGCAGGACAGGTTGCGGAGACGATCGGTAAAGAGCACAACATGGAGTGCAAGGTCAGACGAGATTTTCTTGTGACTGAGGGCATGTCAATTTTACTCTGATGCGCGAATTAGGCATATAAGTGTGATGTTTCCGATCCCGAGAATGTCACGAAGACCTTACAGCAAATCAATAACGACATGGGTCCGGTTACTGGGCTTGTGGCGGTAAGTCTGGCGTTCTATTGCTTGGGCAACTTGTCTTATAGTTGTACGTCTCCAGAACGCGGGTGTCTCGGTCGTGAAACCGGCACTTGAGTTGACGAAAGAGGACTTTGACAAGGTGTACACCGTGAATGTATTCGGAGTATTCAACGTTGCACGAGCGGTGGCCGACCTCTGGGTTAAGAACAAGTACAAGGGCGGTTCTATCGTGGTCATTTCTAGCATGAGCTCGCAGATCATCAACCAGGTTGGACCAGGAAGGCCACTCACCCAGGTACGTCATCCGATTATGCATTGTCTGCGAAGCCACTAATACAATTGCATAGGCGTTCTACAACTCCTCGAAAGCAGCAGCGTCGAACCTTACGAAGGGACTCGCAGCGGAGTGGGCGCAATATGGCATCCGCGTCAATGCTGTTTCTCCTGGATATGGCACATTCGTTCAATGATCGCAGTCTATCTAAATTGGCTGACCTGTATAATAGTCAATACTGACCAGACATCTGGCATGGAGCAATCTATCCGAGACCATCAAGCAAGCCACCTGCCACTTGGTCGTTTCTCGCAGCCGGAAGAGATGGCACCGCAGACACTGCTGCTGCTCTCAGACCGTGCGAGCTACATGACAGGCCAGGAATATTTCGTTGATGGGTAAGTATCAACGTTGATCGAAGAATTTCTGTTAAGTGCTGAACCCCATCGCCCAGCGGCCAATTGGTATACTAAGCGGTCGAAGGGTTTTCCATGAACGCGACCATCGTCGACTCGCTTTCTCACATTTGTGCATGTTGCTATCGATATTGTTCTCATAATGTTGTGGCCAAGTCGCTCTGTATAATAGCTCGTCAGTAGTTCAGTGAATGTCAAAGACTGCATAATCTTGAGCATACAGATGAAAATGATGATTATTTGTTAGGAGACGCGTTGTTAGGAGCAACTATGCGGAACGAACTGTTCGCCTTGGTGGAGAATTATTTATGCCTGCTGTATGGAGAAATATGAACGCGTGCGAGCCAAAGAGAGCGTGGCACTGCATGCTTTTCATGGGTGAGAGGTTATAAAGACTCAGGAAGCGAATAGAAGTGCGAAGCTTGGGGCGCCGCGGCGGCACATGCAGTCCAGAAGTGAGGATAATGTCAGATATCATTACTACTAAGATATATCGAGCGCATGGGCATGAACTTCGCACCACGAGTGCTGGGGATGTCGATGATCGATGAGGGATAGTAAGCAGACGGATTTCAAGAGAAGCGTAACCACGTCGCATCTCTCACCAACTTCGCGCTGCACCGTGCTTGTCAAGATCGCTTGCCGCTCATCCGACGGGTTAACTAGAGCTGCAACATGATTCTACAGAGCCCTATGGAGGACATCGATATTTCTAGGTTGTTAATGATCGTTATGTGGGATTGGCGGGCCTACCATGTAGTTTGCGAGTTTTCATGATGTCTTTACGTTTGCATCGCCTGTCCACCAACTCGTTAGCGAGCGAGGATCGTAGCCTATTCAAAAAGGACGCAATCTGTTCTCGCATTCCCTACCTATCTGCCCGCAATTTGGCTCTGGATGCGCTTCTATGTGTGGTACTCTTGAGAACACATATCCTGGCCGACGCTCGTCCCACCTAACGCCATCGTATTCTTGTGGCACTAATTATTCACCTTCCCATGAGCTGTTTCTGCGTCTCCGCAATCGCTAGGAAGCTATGGTGAAAGTCTCCTTTGAAATCTACGCTCACGAGGATCCAATTCAACGCCGTCATGTTCCGTCGACTACGAAGTTGTCAAAGGTTCTCCAAGCAATGATGTAGTACCAGAGCCATGATGCATGATGCATGAATGCATGCGTGACGCTGGCGCTGAGCGTGCTTGACACGACTAGTCACGCGACGTCGACGCGATCAGTCACAACCAGCAAGTCACGCAAACCCAGCATTTGATCCCGCTTTCATGTTGATACTCTGCGACGATTCTGAAGAAACATATGCCTCTACAACTTTCGGCTGTTAAAAATTAATGCAAGCATACGTTATTGGTAAAATGGACGAGTCCCGGGGGCACATCCTGGCACATCTGATCAATTACCAACCATGCGGTATCGGCTTCGCGATGTCGCTCGCATTCTATTCTGCTCCTGGCCTTCTGTCCCGCATGACCTCTACCGTGATTGCCGTCCGTGCGGCCTGCACATTAAGTTACCAGTGCGGCCCGCCTACAGTGCACATGAGCCCTTCGAACGTAGCCCGGTGATCAGGAACCGTCGAGAATCGACTCAAGATATAAATATCGTGCATTTCAATGAGTGCGGGGAATCACTGCATGATTGTCTCTGCATCTGCTTTGTTCGTGATGCGCGTCTCTTTTGCTCGACTAGGCGTGGTATGCGTGCTCCTGTCTGGCCTGACAGGCGCGTTTGCTGACGCTCCGGACAACACGACTTGTACGCATATCTGCTCATATAAGTACCTGTATTGATCTTGTACGATAACCATCAATTAATCAGTGCTCAATCCCGCGTATCAACGCCTCAAGACGGGGACGGTGAAGCCATCCGGATGGGCATATAATCAGGCGCAGGTGCAGGCGCACGGGCTCGCCAGCCAACAGCCTGTGTGGTACAGCTAGTCAGCAACTACGATTATGCATAGCATGCGTCCTGTCTGATTAGAACAGTGTGAAGGACTCGGTGTGGTTCGGAGGCATGCTGGAATATAGCGAGATGGAGGAGGCTGCGCCGTACTGGTTGTAGGTGTCGTTGCTCGATGTGCGGCTATGCGGTGCTCATGGTCATGTAGCAACGGTTGGGTTGCGCTTGCGCATCAGCTCCAGAACGATACACTGCTGGGATATGTCCGATCTTTCTTGGATTATGTATATGCCTCGCAAGAGGAGTCGGGCAACTTTGGGCCTCCGCCGTTCAACACGTCTCTCCCCGTGCTGCTTTGGCCTCGATATATGGTCATGCTTGGATTGATTGTGAGCCCCATTCGACTCGCATCTCTATCCAGAATTCCTCTGATTTGGGCTCTTAATAGCAATATGCGGAAGCTGATCCTAGCGAGTTCACGAATATAACCAATCTGCTGCATAACTTTGTTCCATACGCCGCGGAGCGATTCGCGTCCGGAGATCTGGGCACCGCGGATCAAGGGGACCAATATGCGTACCAGCAAGTCCGGTGGGAGGAGGTGCCGTATCGACTCGTCTGTCCGAGTGGTGTTCTAGGCTGATGTACACATATGACCTTGCAGCTCGTGCTCGTCTTGCAGTGGCTGTATGACAACGACCCCCGGGACAAACAGGCGGAGCTGATCTCGCTGATGAAGGCGGCGCGTGCACAGGGATTCTCGTGGAAGGACGACTTTTATGTGGATAATGGGACATTCCCGAGAGTGGCGGTCACCGCGGAGAACGAAGGCATGCATAAGTGAGCGTCTTCACATCGGTGAGGTTGGATTTGTGTCTGGACTGACGATGCGCTGGTTGCAGTCATGGAGTCAACGTTGGAGAATGTGAGGACTCGTTTGAGCTGTTTGTGTGGATGGGTGCTGATGTACCGCTTCAGCTATCAAGTCGGAGGCACTTGCATGGCGTATGACAGGAGAGCAGAGTGATATCGATAGCACGTAAGGCACCGTCGACATTGTGGCATCCTGTGTCGGCATTGAACTGAAGCATTCCTCGTAGCTATGCTCGCGTAGACATGATTTGGAAGTATCATGGACGACCGCAAGGGATCTATACCACGGATGAACACCTCGCTGGACTGGAGCCATCGAGGGGGTGAGCCGTTCGTCCCACATCCCAACTGCTGTTTTTCTCATATATGCGTATATAAGCTCTGAGTACTGTGCGAGCGTGGAGACGCTGTTCTCGCTCGAAATGATATATGCCACGCTGGGCAACCCTGACTGGGCAGACCTCGCCGAGCGGATTGCCTACAACTCGGTACCGGCACAGGTGAGTGTGCTCTTCTGCTGTCTTCTGCATGGACGTTGAACGCACATAATGTTTAGAGCACGCCGGACTGGTGGTCGCATCAGTACCTTCAGCAAACGAACCAAATCTGGGTGAAGAACCACACGGATGGCGCGCCGTGGACGACGCTACCTCCGGATACCACGTACAGCAATGTGATGGGGATGGAGCCGAACTATCCATGCTGTGGGTTGCCGCTTCGTTTTTGTTTTCCTGCGCCTAGAGTTCTTACGTAGCATGAAGGCACTGTCAACCACCCCCAGGGATGGCCAAAGTTTTGGAGCAATAGCTTCCTGCTCGCCGATAACGAGACGGCGCTACTGCACGCTCTTCTCGGTCCTGCGACACTCTCGACGAATCTTGCCAGCGGTGTGAGCACCAACGGTGAGCATCGTCGGTTGATCCTTCAGATCGTGCAAACATCCATACTCATTTGTTCGAGTGCGTAGTGACGGTCGACACGCTGTATCCGTTCGGCTCGACTGTTACATACAGCATCACCGCGTCCGCACCGTACACGCTCTATATTCGCATCCCTAACTGGGCACAGTCCGCCAGCAATATCAGCGTGAACGGCGCGCAGGCCACCGTGCTCTCACCTGATGAGGACAGTGCACTCCAAGCCGTGAACATCTTGGAAGGAAAGACTATCGTCGAGTTGTACCTCGATATGCAAATTGAAATTGAGGAGAGGACGAATGGCAGCATCGCGGTCTATCGTGGGCCGCTGCTGTATGCTGTGGATTTGGCGTACAATGATACGTTGATGCCTGCGCTGAGGTAGGTCGATCTGAATTTCTCGTGGATTCCTCGCATTGTGACAGCCGCCGATCAGATCCGAGAGTCCGCTGGATTTCATCGAGACTTTGCCCGACGTGCCCGCATCCGACCTCACTCCTGTAAGCCCTTTGAATCAGCATGAATCACCCGCGTGTCCTGACCTGTATGCGATCACAGTATGATAATCACAGTCACGATCACACATGGCTCGCAACTGTCCCGTGGAACATCGCTATCGACCCATCCACGCTAGCCTTCCACGAAGAGAGCGTCGACGAGCTCCCATACCACGTTTGGGAGACGGGTGAACAGCCTCAGTCGATGACGGCGGCAGCGTGTGAGATAGTCTGGCCGCTGTTGTGGGGCGATGCCAGCTGGCCGCCGCAGAGCCCGAACGCGTGTCTTGGGGACACGTTTGAAGTCACGCTGAGGCCGTTTGGGGGGACGAGGCTGAGGATTGGGCAGATTCCGACTATGACGGTCGGCTCGTGAGCAATGTCGGGGTAGGACGATTTAATTCTCATCTACGTGATGTACTCTTCTTTTCTTGTATGTGAGCTCGGGTTTACATATACGAATTATGATTATGTCGATGCCAAAGCGTTAATTGTCGGACGCGACGCGGCAGTAAGCGCCGAAAACGCGTCCCCGTGACCGCGTGTGCGTTTTGGGCGCTCATGTCGCCCTTCGCGTCGAGTCGGTCGACCACGTCTCCTGTCCCATCACAGCACCACCAAGGTGAAAGATGGCTCCAGTTTTTCAGCTCAATAAACTGGTTGCTTTCGCACATCAGCGGCAACTCAACACTCGTGTCGAAGCGTCATCATTTTTTTCTTGTATAAACTCTCACTTCTTTGCAATTCCTGTCAGGTCTGCTTGTCTGCATTTTATTGGAAATATCTAGGGTTCACACTCAAATACTTCACTCGCACAATTCCGGGGGAAAGGCGTGGAGATCTTCATCACTCACAATGGGGATGGTGAATGCGCAGCAATTCACCCCTATTTATCTCAATGGCTATCTCACTTTCCGACGTAAAAACTATTCATATCGAGCCGCCATTGACACACGCAACACCGATCTGCGCATACAATGAGGGTTGTAGCCCTCAGCTGCACTTGCAGGAAGCCTTTCACGAACAGATCTGAATATTCGATATGAGGAAAAAAGGTGTTCCAGGACGAGCAGGCAGCAGTCGAGATTGTAAGCACGGATCAAAATAAGTGTATTACACTCAATGCCTCACTGATCAGAACATACGATCCTTCAGTTGCGGCGTTAAGAGGTTAGTCTCCGATTACGGCCTTTCAAAAGAACTTACCATATCCAGCGGAGAGCAGGTACCACAACGCATCTGAATCCGCAGCGTAAAATCATCTTATATCCAAATTCCGAGCTCATAGTCACAGAATGCCTCACCAAATTTGAAGAAAAACGGGAGGCCGAGGATCGAAGCAACGACCTACCGCTGAAATGGTCCACAATAATCCCTGAGGAAGGAATGTAATAATCTGATCATTTGCAAGATTGATAGAGCTAGAGCAAGAGTTCTTCCGCTATCTGAAGGCCCTCGCGACATATACAATCACGCACACACCAGTTGTAGAGAATCAAGTCGACGTGGTATGCAGTAAGTTGGTTCGACTACCTGACACACAAAGTCGTCTCCTTGACTGATGTCTCATTGACCCGTAGCGCGGCACTCTATGCACGCGGTATATCCCAAATTGCACTGTCTCATAAGTACGAATGAGGAATGCTGTGCGTGGAAGCTGGCCGAACGTCCCGTGTGCTCTATAAATGAGATACAGCCGCACGAAGCGAGGAGTGCACGCACCTACGACGCGCAAGGACAGATATTGCCGAGTAGCGATGGTGTCCTGTCTCGATGGAGGCGCTAGGGTCAAGTACGTGTCAATGATATCGGTTGAAAACTGCAGACTGCGAATTATCAAGACCACACCATCTCACCAGCCATATGAAGACGGTACCCTTACGTCGCATTAAGCATTGACCACCTAGGACTCCGCGTCCCTCGAGCTTGCTTTGTCTTTCCACCTGCCCTGTCGATGGTCCTGACTCCTCGGTTGTATTTTCAATCAACCTGGGTTTAACAAAATGAAGCATAACATTCCGAAGCTCCGACGTCTTTAGCAGCCCACCAAGTACGTCCATCGCGACCTCTGTCCAGTGGTCAAGAAATGGTTTCATCTTGTGCGCGTGCATTCTAACAGCCCATGGCAAAGCTGTCCAGGATGAGAACGCGTATGCATTATAGAGACGGCGAGTCCGTTAGGCCAAAGAAAGAGCGAGGGAATCGATTGGACGATCTGCCGCGGAAAAGTAAAAGAAACAGCGTACGCGAAGTTGATCACGCTCTTGAAACTATTGCTGACATCGAAGACCAGGTGCAACACTATATAGCCTCGCTTCATGGCATTACCTCCGACGTTGTAGCCTTCTTCATTCCATGTGGCAATACATAGAGACAAGCAGCGTCGCCTCATGGCCATTGTATCCAAACGCGCTAGCTTTCGGGTCTGAGACCAGTGTCTCTGAACGATGTGCCATGACGAGCAGATAAGGTTTGTTGGTCGCTGCACTCGCGCTTTCGGCAGTCCTTGTACATTCCTGGGCGGAACACGTGGTCGTAACGCGTACGCGTTTAAACCTGCCCTAAAGTAGGGTTGCTAGCGATCAAAACACGCGTTCGCCGTCCACCGATCTGCTTGTTCTCCGCGGGCACTTTCTGGTGGCCTCTCGGTTGTGATTTCAGGGTGTGCTGATGTGCTGACACAAAATGACCGAATATTCGACGACGACACCGTCCACGAGACCTAGGTCGCCTCTCTTTGGCACCGCCACATTCTCAACACTTTCTCCCTCGCGAACACCCATATCTCCTTCCATTTTCTCTTCCGAACGTTCAGGTGAGCGGGCCGTTCGTTTGCATCTTCGCCACTGGTGTGTCGATACCGAGGTTCTCAAGAGAGTGCCGGTATGCTTGCCTGCAAGCTGATGTCACTCGGTAGGACGGAGCGATGAGCGCAGGGATCTTCTCGTACCAAATGCGCAGTGGATGGTATCTATACTCCCGTGGAGTTCTTTGAACTGCTTCCGCGGGATTAATATCTGCGAATATACTTTCATTTGGCTTTATCGATTCTTGATCTGCTCATGCACGTCCTGCAAGCGCGCAAGAAATACTCACCCTCTCCTCTGTAGATACACCAATTGCTTCATCATACGATAGTGACGATGCTTCGTCCTTACTTGGAATGCGTCGCATCACCGTCTCACCCTCTCCTAGCTCAAAGCATTCTGATATATACCCGGACGATACCTCTGCACGAGGGGTAGATGCTGAGCTCTCCTCCATTGACGATCAAATTGACGACTTTCTGTCTGAGATGTCGCACGATTCCCCTGCGAGGACGCCTTCCACCTTCACTTCTTTGACTGGTCCGTCAACCTACACTTCATACACGGAGCCGTACGCTTTCACTTCATACACTGGCACGCAGACAGCTTCCGGCTCTCTGTCTTCCGGCTCGCAACCTTCGGTCGACTATCGCCCTGCTGGGTCACCGCTCATGGATCGTGACAGGCGCGTGCTAAGCACCATCTCTGAACACACCGAAAACACGCGCTCCCGTCCAAACTCGTTTGAGCAGCCCGGAGCTAAGCCGACCACTCATTACTCGAATGGATCGTCTGGAGACGAACACAAACAGTCAGGTCATGCTAGGGCATCCACGGAGCCAGGAGGAACAACGCACACACCAGGTCGTGCTCTTCCTGCAACTCCGGGCCTGCGGGTGGTTGAGAAGATTGCCTTCTTTGAGGACAAAGACAAAGCTTCTGGCACCAGCCCGTTGCGGGTGCTTGGTCATTCTAGAACTGCTTCCGCTCCATCGGGACCGCGATCTCCTAGCCCAGTCACACCGACACAGAGCCATTCAATGCCTAATCTGAGCACTGCTGGATACGGCTACAGCACCACTGGTTATGGATCGCCGTCGAACAAGTCACCGGCGTCGCTTTTCTACTCCGGTTTCGACTCAACAATGTCCTCGATGTTGTCGCCACCCCGCCCAGCGACATCCCTTTCGGGCGACTCTCGCGTTCCCCCAAGCACGACTGGAACGGCAGTGTTCACCAACTATTCTCCTGGGCATATAGGGTTGCAGACGGCTTCCCCCTCAACCTCATACGTGAATGGAAGCTCAAGTACGTTCACACCATCCTTCACCGGCACGAGTCTGCACACAACCCCAACCTCGTCTACTGCGACGGCCCAGCCGATGTCTCACAGCGAGCGCTCGGCAGTTAATCAAGTCCGCAGCGTAATCAACAGATGGAAAGAGCGGACGCCATCAATGGGCAGATCTGACCATTCTGTCGACTCACCGTCGCCAGCTGTGAGCGAGGGATTGTTCAGTATCAGGCGTAGGGCGAGCCGCGGGAGTGCGAGGCTCCGAGATCAGGCGCTGCAGGCAGCGTACCGTCAGTCGGGGAGGAGCATTAGCGATCAAGTCATACCTGAAGCAGGTGTTCCTGAGAGCACCAACGGCAGTGAATCGCTGAGCACGAGCGGGTTGCTTCCACCTCCGTTTGATCTTGCCGAATTGGGTCAGTATGCAGGCACTTCTGACTCACAGGAGGTAGGTTTTCTGTCCTTGTCCAGTTTTGTTTCCATCGTTCTGCTCTCTAGGGTCCGTTATTAAGTGAAATTTGTCTAACTATTTTCTTTCCCCACAGCCCGTACGCATTGGTCTACTATGGTATCTGAACGTCCATGCCCCTCCGCCATACAGGTGGCAACGTTGCCAGGCATTGCTATATCCCCACATGCTCCTCCTGTCATGGGTCGCTCCGGGCGGCGGACGCGGCGTCGTGACGTTGGATTTGCTGAATTGTACGGAGGTCCGATCAACGGCGTCGCCGACTCATCATGCAGCGCAAGACGATGTGGGAACCTTGGCCGCGATCACGCAGAGCCAGAACGCGAGTACCGCGGGAGAGGCACAGATGGGCGAGCTGGAGCTGGTGCAGGCGCTATGTCCGTTTCAACTGCTGTATACTGATGGGATAGAGAGGCTCGGCACGGATAGCCCGAGAGAACGGGTTAGATGGGTCAGTGCAATCTGGTAAGCATTTTCGCTCGTGTCGGTTGCTCAGTTGATAATAAGCATTGTGCGCTCTTCAACAGGGATGTACTTGATCGTGCTGTGTCTATTCCTGACCGGTCGGCCACAGGCTCGCCCACGGGCTCGATACGTACGATCCGTTCATCCACCAGTACTGCCTCGACGCAATCCACCTCCGCTGGCTCCGCATTGACGCGCTATGTTCCGCTGGTCGAGAACATTCCTGACATTTCCGATCTGGTATCCCTTTCCGGCTCGAGCACTCACACAGGTCTTTCTCGTCATCCTTCTCTTGCGTCGACACATCGCACCCGTGCCGCTGATGACTTGGCTGTGTCTAATCAGACATACGTATATCCCGGAGACCCGCGCGTTATCGCTTCCAGCAGAAGTAGTTCCTTGCGCCGGACGAGCTCCCTCACCGATCTCGATGAGGAGTTCGCCTCTGCGGTGCGAAGAGCGCGAGACGCACGTCCAGGTCTTGGGTTTGGGCTATCACTTGCGGGTGGTATTCCGGTAGGTGACGGATCACCTGTGACAGTGTCAAGTGGGCCTCGGCTAGGACGCGATGTCTACATGTCACCACCGCCAACCGTAGGAAGAGTGGGCGACAAGGTTCGCGGTCGTGAGAGCAGTACAGTATCTGTATCTGATGGTACGTTCTTCACTGCCCCATCATTCACCGATAGAATCAAGACACCGACATCAAGCACCTATTCGTCATCCTTTACGCACACGTTCACGCCTGCGGTTACTAAGAACAGCACTGGCTTGACTGAAAGCGAATCTGCTCTGGAAATCGTTTCGGGTAGCGGCATAGACATTGTCACCTCGACTCTCTCATTGAGAGAAACAACATCTGCATCTTCACTAGGGGATTCACAAAGTGGCTCCAGCCATCTCTCCGTTCCAGCGTCCTCGCGCAGTACGTTATCGAGATCGAGAGAAATCAGACGAAGGACACCAAGAAGCAGCTCGAGATCACGATCTGCTTCTTACGTGGGCAGCACTGATGATACGATAGACAGAGACACATCGCCCGGTTATCCGTCATCGCGAGGACGAACGGCGACGGATGATCTCAGTACACTAGAGAGCTACTCACGGACCGACACGTACACGTATACGCCGACACCGTCAACATTGTCTTACACGAGGTCCGCCACGGAGACAGCCAGCGATGTACCGACGCGCTCAGTTACGACTGAGGCTTCTCTTCCTTTTCGACCCAGAACACCGTCGGAGTTCTCTTACATGTCTTTGGAGACGATCCCTTCGCTGCATACTACAGAATACGAAACAGCGGAGGTATGCTCTACTGAGTACGAAACGGCGCCCAAGTGTCCCACTGAGCGAACTTCGGAATATGAGACGGCGGATGTTTGCACCACAGAACCTGGGAGCGAGTACATTACAGCGAATGTATGCTCGTCCGACGCATCCACAGATTACAGAACAGCCGAATGCCGGTGCCTCAAGCCTGACGCGATCGATGACGATGCCATGAGCACCATGGCTCCTTCAACTATCCCGACGATACCATCGCCGCCGCCAGAAAGTTTCATGGAAAGAGAGATCCAGCCAGAGGACGCTCCGTTACCATCGACGACGTTCAATCCCTCGACGGAATTCAGCATGTTCGTCGAGCCGACTCCCTCTGTTCTTTCTTCCAGGTCAATACCCGGACCTTCGCCCATTCAGCCGCCTCCATCCGTCCCTCGAAGCCTTCCCTCCATGTCGAGCATCTCTTCTCCCACGGAGTCTTCAGTGACGCCAACATCGTCTAGTCTACTCACGCCGACAGTGCCCTCAACGCTGCGGCGCTCGCCAATTCCGCCGAGTCCTTCGGTGCCCGAATCGCTATGGGCCGCCGAATCCGATGGGTCATACGAGTCATCACTGCTAAGAGCGTCACCTTCAGTACAATCGCTTGCATTGCCCGAAGGGGTGGATGCGTCATTCGACACATCATTTCTCCGACCTACCAGTTCTGTCCCTTCTTCTACGCTCACGCCGATCACTGAAGTCAGCACTGGGGCCACTCTGTCCTCGGCTTCCTCGTCGCTCACTCCTACTCCGTCGAGTGCGTCGTTGCCTCCGAGTGTGCCTTCTCCGACACCTGTGTCTTCAAGGTCAAGTTTGGCTGTCCCTAGCCTACATCTCAGTCGCACAGCCTCTTCCGTTTCTGCAGCTTCATCTGTCTCCATGCGCTCATCTGTTCTTGAACCGAGGTCTCTTATGGATTTCCCAATGTCTGAGCCATCTACCATGCCATCTCTGCCATCGACAGTCAAGTCACAATCCCCACCAATTCCTGTTTCGTCATTGGCGAGAATGGTGCGTTCTGGTTGATTTCTCAGGGGTACATATAGACTCATTGTTGATCTAGTTGTCACCGCCATCCGTACCGCTTCCGCCATCTCCGATGCCGTCCGCACCGTCAGGGACTATGAGTGTCAGCATCAGTACGCCTCGCGGCGACGTGCCTTCTATCATGTCCGACATCGAGACGATCCCATCTCAAGCATCGAGCCATATTCTCACTCATGATGTTAACCGCCTCCTGCAATATCTGCACGAAATCGACGGGCAGCGTGGCGCTGAAAATCGAGAGATTGCTCAAGACATACAAGACATCAGACGACTGTTGGAAGATCTAAGAGACAATCAACGTCCGATCGAAGTGCAGATGCCGGAGACTCCACCTCCTGTTCCAATGAAGGATAGATCTGTTGGGGGGAGTAATGCGATCTCGTCGGCACGGTTGATACCTGCGGCCCGTCGCGAACTCTCTATGCGCGACATGGCTCCCGGGTCTCGTTTGATCCCGCTCACTCTCACACCGCCTCCGGTACGACTGCCATCGCCCTTGTCGGAGACAGAGTCCATGTCCTTCCTCTCCTCACACCATTCAGATGACCTCAGCTTGCTAGAATCAGAGTCCTACCCACCGATGCCTCCATCTCCTTCCTGGCCGTCCTCATCCGACTCTTCTCCCGCCTCGTCTCCGCAGTCAGCAGGGCCACGTACTCCGTCGCCGTCCTCTCCGGCTCCCTCAACGTCTTCTAGCGGTACTGCTCGCCCCGTGCCCAGCATCAACTTGGGCGATCTTCGTGATGCTTTGACGCGGATGCGAGAAGAAGTAGGCGGCCTTAGAGATGGTCAAATCGAGGCCAACCACGTTCTCGATGAGTTGCGTAATAGGGCTCTTGGTCAAGATGTAGCAGATGTTTGCCGGAGAATAGAGGATGGGTTGCAACAGCTGCTGTATCAAGCACAACAACCAAGATCAGCTGAACAACAGCAGCCAATGCCACAGCCGCCACCTCCGCAATTCCCTCAAGCACCACAAATGCAACCTCAGGCGCTCGAAGACCTGCCCGAATCTGTCTACTCATTGGGCTCAGAGCCTTCATTGCGAGACGTCGTTCAGCGGCTTAGAGAGTTGGGCCGTGAGCAGCCACAGATTCAAATGCCCATTCCCCGTCGCGCTGGGCCTTCGTTTGACGAGAGGTTGGTTGATATCCTGTCAGAAGGTCAACCACCAGTCCAACAACCAGTTCAACCCCCACCTCCTATAATCCCGTTGACATATCGCCCTGGTCCCCGCGGTACTCGCCCTCGCAGTGCAAGTCCAATCTTCGAGGGTGACTTGCCGCCTCGTCCGGGCACATTCCCTATCACTCGACCTGTACATACTGAGAGGCCCCCTGCTCGTCCTATCCGGACACGGCAGCCTGCGAGCCAATATGCGATGCCTCCCTCATCGGAAGGAGGAGAATCAATGTATCCGCCCCGCGGCGGACCCTTAGGGACTGGCCGCCCTCCGGTAGGTCCTCCCGGAAGCGATATCGATTTTGATCGCGAGGTTCGACGACTGCGTAGGCAGCGTCAGGCAGGGGGTGATGGGTTTCACGACATAACGCGGGTGAGCGTCAGTGATGACCATGCATAGCTGGACTGACTGACTTATCCTCAATGTCAGGGTCCAGGCAGAGCTCCGACTGCCCCTGCAGCTTTGGGTGTTCCCAGATCCATTGGCCCTTCAGCACCGACTGAGGCCGGTCAAGCAGTACCTCCACCGGGCGCCTTTGCCCATGCAGTGCCGGTAGGAACTCGATTAATCTGATATGAGCACGACTGAGGTTGTTTGTAGACAATCTTACAAGTACCCTTTGACGAGATATTGGGTCTTTTGCGGGTGAGTCTTCTCGACTGAAGCGGGATTATGTACCTCAACGATCGTATTCCACAGGAGAACCGAGCTGCGCACAGTGCATCCATCGACCAGATCCGGGAAATCATGAGGTATCTCAGAGACTTCAACGAGTGGCATGGGCGAGATGTCCAAGATAGACATACAGAGATGAGCGGTTTGAGTACCAGAATCGATCAGATAGGTGGCCTCCTAAATGAATTGCTGGACAGACGTGCCGAAGGTGAGCTTTGGTCCATGCTAATGCATTGAGCTCGTGTCAATGTGATCTTAGGCATACCTGGTGTCATTCCGACTTTCCCGGGGGCCCAGCGAAGCGTCGGTATGCCTCCAGGTGTGCCACAGACAGGTATCACCATGCCTCAGCCTCAACCTGGAGTAGGAGTATATCCACCGGGCTTTGTGCCGCAGCCAGGAGTAGCCGTTGTCCCTCCAATTGATGGTAGCAGGACTCCGTCGCCAGGCTTCCCACCTGTCATACCGCCTACGCCTCAGCAGGCTCAATATCCATCCCAATTTCCGGTGACTCCACCAGGGCCGCAATATATGCTACCCGCACAGCCACCCCCGGTGCTTTATACAGGTCCAGCGGTAGTTGGTGAGGAACCGCCATTTATGCCTCCTTCACCGACGTACTCTGGTTCCAGCGACAGGACACTGACCGACAGGACACGTTCGGATGAGGGATCTATCCGGTTTATCCCTCCCCAAGGGGTGCCAGTACAGCAGGTGCCAGGAGGGCAATTTTTTCCACCCCCTGGTGTCACTGTCCTGCCACCACCGCCATCACAACCGCCGGTTGTTAACGTAGAGCGCGATTATACGGCCTCGCCCTCCATCCGACATTCCGGCGAAGAACGTCCTGCCGACATTGGCAGCGGGACTCGATCGCCTCCACTCCATGTTCTCACTGAGCCACGTGTGGGGTCTCCACGGCATCCTGATGCTCCCTACGGGCAGCCATCGACGATGGGGGGGCTTCAACCTCAGCACACATTGGTCGCCCAACCACCACCAGGCACTCATGTTTTACCTCCGGAAGTCATACGAATGCGTTCTGCCTCGCCTATACGTTCTTTCGGTGAGGAGGATCGAGATGCAGTGCCCCACGGTACTTTTACACGCATCGACCAACCTCCCGGAGGACATCCATTCGCACCAGGCTATCCTTCCCACGCGGCAGCAGAGCCAGTTCCTGCTCAATTTGATCAGCGCGAAGAACCTGTTTTGATGCAACAGAGCCCGCCTCGATCTGCGAGGCCAGATTTTGTGCCTACACCGGGGATGCGCACGGCTGACCCCGCACGCCCTCATTATGCCTCTCGTTCTCCTTCCCCTATCAGGGTACACGTTCCTTCGCAGGTTGAGCCGGAAGTTCCATATGGTCGAATCCCTTCGTCCCATCCACGAAGTATAGCGGGCGCCTCTAGACCTGTGACCATTCGAGTACCGTCTTCACGGCCAGAGTTGTCTCCGCCTCCACTTGAAGGCTACGAGGACCCTCGACAACGGCGGGCCCGTCCAGATGAAGAGCCACACGAGTCTGATAGAGACCGTGGGGGACCTGAAGATCATCGTCGGAGCGGATCCCGTGCAGGCGGCGAATTCCATGATCCTGACCGTTCCGGACGAGGGTTTGCCTCTGGCGCTCGTTCTCCTGGATACTCGGATGCGGAAGAGCCTGCCCGCCAACGACCACGATCTCAGCGAGCGGAGCCAGGACACGTCGAACTCGTGCGCTCACCACCGCCAGGAACGCCGCATATACAGGTTGAACGTTCGCCTCAGCCATCCGTGCATGGTTCATCTCCACGGTCTGAGTATGGACCTCTGCCTCCGCATTCAGAGCCCCATCGCATGGAACGGTCGCCTCCAACATCCGGCCATGTACAAGTGCCATCATCAGAAGAAGAGGAGCTACCTCCACCGGGCCCATCGCGTCGCTCTGGAGTTCCTCCTCGTTCTCCAGCGCCGCCGACATACATAGAGGTATCAGAACCAGGAGCTGAACCTGGTTATGGCCGCCAAGAGTTACATTCTCCTGAAACCCGCACTGTCCATGTGGCTCCTTCCAGATCGGGCTCAGGTTTGTGCCACAACTGAAACCTTCGAGCTATGCTGATCCTGTGCAGTGACCCCGCGGCCGCATTCTGCATATTTACATGGTCCTGGTTCACCAAGTCATGAGATTGAACGATCTCCAAGCATTGGTTAGTTTGCGGTTGTGGCGCTTATACTGTACTGACGGCCCTCTTCAGCTTCGGACTTGGAAAGGACATATGGCGACGCGGACAGGCGGAGCCCAGGAGGTGAGCTTCGGTATTGTCCATGACCACTATTCATTTCATCGTTTCATTTACACTTCGACAGCGTCTCGCGTACCTACTCACCCAGCCGAGCCGTCCGCATCGTACCGTGTCTCCCGCAGTGAAGAGCCAAGACCTGAGTATACTCGATCAATTGCGCCGAGCGTTGAACGTATGCCATCACCATTGCCAGTACCCCCACCGCGTTCCGAGGCTTCAGGGCCTCCTGCTGGATCACAATATGCGGAGCCCCGCGATGTGGGAGTCCCGCGCACAGCGTTCGCTGAACCTGGACAATTCGAGCGTCCGCCAGCTTCAGCTGCCGTTGATCAATATAGGGCGTCGGGCCCCGGCGAACTCGGGTTCGAAGAAGCGGAACGGGAACGTGCCGATCGCTTCGGAGCACTTGATCAGCAGCTTACTGACACGCTTGCTGCAGCCCAGAATGCGGAAGAACGACGAGAGCAGGATTTCAGAGCAAATGAGGATGAGCGAGAGCATATTTTCGAAGTGAACGAACGCCGCCGAGATCAAGAAGCCATGCAGCGGCGAGATGAGATCTGGAGAGAGCTAGAGCAGCGATTGGCCTCTTTAGTCCCACAAGCGCAAGAACCATTACCTGTGCCTCCGCCAGGCGAAACTGGCGCTGTTACCGAAGGAGAGGTACCGCCTACCGCCGAAAGCGAAGCCGGTCGAGCACTGTCTGTGGTGTCGGAAACTCCCGTCGAGGGCACTGCTCCCGGTGTTGACACCCAGTCCATCATCGAGTCCATTCAGAGTGCTACTCAAGACGCTGCGACAAGGCATGCACACGAGATCCTAGAGACCGTTCGTCTTGAGCGAGAAGAGCTGGCACGCGAGCGTGAGCTGGCACAAGCAGAACGGGATCGTCATCGGGAAGAGCTACAAGTGGAACGTGCACGACTGGATGAAGAGCGCGAGGCGCGCATACGCGCGCTGACGGAAGAGAACGCTGCACTGCGGGAGGAGAACGCGTCCATCCGGGCAGAGCTCGAGAATGAGCGGCAGCTGAGGCTGACGGAGGACAGCGAGAGGCGCGAGCGTGAGCGGGCCGAGTTGCTCGAGCGGGATGAAGCTGTGCGGAACCAGCTGAGCGACATCACGAACCTCGTCTCGGAGCAACGGGATGAGCTCACCCGCACGCGCTCGGTGGCAGACGAGCGGTGGGCCGAGAAGCAAAACTGGAGGGAACAGGACAACCAGCGCCAAGATGAGCTGCGGGAGATGGTGGATCGTATTATTGCAGACAGGGAGGCTGACAAGGCTCAGATGGAGGAGGAACGGCTTGCTAGATCTAACGATCCTAGTGAGTAGGCAGTCTCATCTGCGGACACATCACACGTCTAATCATTCTGCAGCGATACAACATGTTTTGGACGAGATGGCGAACTTCAGGGCAGAGCAAGATCGCATACTGCGTGAAATGTCTGATGGTAGAGAGACTGCTGCGCATTTGACGTCAGCATTAACTGACCAGTTTGCTCTCGTTAGAATGGCGTAATGAGTGTGCGCAGATGCACGAACGAACCATGGATGCTGTGAGGGCCACGGCACATGAGCAGATTCCATTTAACATCCAGGGCGTAAGTGACCTGACTGAAATTTTGTTTACACTGTTCGTTGACTGGCGGAGACAATAGTACCTCGATGAGTTCAGCAGGTCCCTCGCGAATGAGGTTCGCATGCTGCTTGCCGAGGTCGGTAATTTGAGGGAACAACGGCGCAACTTGCAATAGTACGTGCGCTGTGCATCCTATAGGTAGACATAGCTGACGGCGCTTCCCAGCGAACTGGGCTGCCTATTAACGATGAAGGCGAAGATGGGCCCTGGTGGCGAATTTGATCCCGATTGGTATGGTCGATGCATGTTTGTTGGTAAAAATGTGATACATCTTCTTCTGCAGGAGACCTGCAACCGGACCTTGCGCGCAAAATCCTGCTACAGGCGCTCCGCCATCTGAGGCGCCCCCACAGTCCGAAGCACCGCTGCCCCCGCCCCCGCCAGAAGAGCCCGCCCCCGCCCGGCCTGGATGGCGTACGATGCAGCCCCGTCTATCTCGTCGCTCGCGGAGAGCGCAGGCTAGTGCGCCACCTCCGCCGTCTGAACCGCCGGCCCCTGAACCGCGCCCTTCAGAATCGTGGGCTACGTGGCAGCGTGAGTTTGCGACTTGTGAATCATATGTTCCTCGAATTAATATCCATTTCATGTGCTCGCCTAGCGAATCCTGCGTTCGTCCCAACCCCGCCCAGTGTATCCGTCCGACATGAGCTCCTCGCGCCGCCGCAGCCGAGCCCTGGGTTGTTTGGACCACGCTCGCCTCGTGACTCGCTTAATCGCGGATGAACACGATACTTCAACACCGAGAACCCATGACCTTGTGACGATGTTTTGATCTACGTTTGTGATATGACCAATTTTTCGTCGACATACCACCTTGCTGTACCATACCCTCATGACTTGTTTGATTCCTCAGTCTTCTTGCTGTCGCCCTTCTGAATATCTTGTTGTGCTATATACTACTTGCTGACGCCTACTCACTTGAAACCATTGGATCTGTACTTGCAACCTTACGGAATGTTAATCTTGTGTTGTGCTTGGATCGGATAACCGCATGTGTTGTAGCATGTATCTGTCAGAATTTTAGACCTCTTGATCCCCTTGTAAATATGATTGGTCGATATACAGTCTGCTGTCTCGTATTACATCTCCATCAAGTGAGTCCGAAGCTGAAATCCGTGCGGATGCGTTTTTAGAGAATAGGTCAAGATAATATCCATATTCTCAAAAGTACCAGGCAGAGTGTGAACATTTATATCTGAAAGTTGAACGAGACGAGAAAACTCAGCGGTGGTTAGCGTACGCACAATCTTAAAGTTGAACGAGACGGGACATTTCAGTGACAAGGCACGCACGCGCTTTGACGGGTTCGCGTCAATATTCCAGCCAGACTCATAGGACAGCGATTACATGCACTTTGGGAGAAGTTAGTGCAACAAGTTAACAGTGAACGGCAGCAGAGTCTCCTCATTCATAACATTGAACATGGCTGCTCAGCGCTCAGCACCTATGCCCTATGCTTATTTTTTTCGCGGGTTCGATGAGTCAACGGATGCAGTTTGCGGTCGTTCTGGCGTGTACTGTCTCATGAGACATTATAACGATCTCATCGGACAATGTATGCACCTCCTATAATTACAATTTGACTGCAAGATTGCAAAGGATTAACTATGGATGAGGCGATCTTGATGCGATCGCGGTGCCGTGCGATCGAGGAGATCATGTCTAAATCTCAGATCCGAGCACGAGGCGCGATGGAAACGTCACCCCATCACGGGCAGACGCAGGAACGTTTCTCTGTGCATCGGTTCATCATCCACGACTTCCGTTCGCAATCGAAATCTTCAGCCTCTCCAGCCGGGGCAGTTTACGTCGAGTATCATCGCGGCCGTCGACAGCTGCGCCAGGTCCGCTCCTCAGATAACTAAGTATCTCCCCGCACACGCTCTGAAAGTTCCGAAAGCTTCTTCAGCAGCCTTGCACCAGTTCGCGCATCCCCTTGGACTGATATGTAGTGAAGGGAGCTCTATTAAGCATCGCGATAACGAGTCAAAATTCGCACAGGAGCAATGTAGTCGGCAGCACCGGAAGATGATGCTGTGCACTGTCACAAACGAACAAGCAGCCTTACGGCTCGCATGTTCGCGCGAGGATTTCAAGACGGATCCTCCTATTTCCCGAGTACGAGCGCTATGGACCATATGGGCTATATATTTTATCAAGTTAACTCTCGCTGTGGCGCTGTAACATTAAAACAGTAAGTCTATGGAAAAGAATAATACGAGGCACAGCGTGCTCACTGGAAGATACCTCGTTTGACTAACCCTGGAAACCGCGGAGCAAGTTGCTCCTCCCATTGCTTGGCATCGGGGACGGCTTTGGTGAGTCTGTCGACGGCCACAAGGAGGCTTATGCTTTTGAGGTCTTTGAACGTGTCAGACGACAGAAGCTTGTCTATCTGCGAGCAAACCGAAGGCAAGCAAGTGTTCAGGATGCTCTCCAGAGTGCTTTCCTTTGTGTTCCCGCAAATGTCGAAGCACAAATGTACGTCCCCAAGGCTACCGGAGCTGACCGTGAATAAAACACCATGCATCCAAGCAATGTTCACGCTTGCAGGAACCGGAATGGAGAGCCCTAAACTCTGGAGTACAGTGTTCCGAGCACACGAAAACACCCAATGTATGCATTCCTTTGTTAATGAAAATGAGCATACGATATCAAAGAACATACCAACGTTGTCTGTGGCCAACTCCACATGCGACATCTCACCAACGTGCACTTCGAGCGCCTTGAGAGACGCGCCTGCAGAATCCAGCAGTCCTTGAAACCCCACTTCATGTAGCACACGAAGGTCGACGGGCAGCCAGATGCCTATGGTCAGAATCTGGAGCTTGATCCAATACCGGTGGAGACGAAGAATTTAATCACTTCTCCTAGGCCTGTCCCATTGAGGGATAGCTCCCTAATCTTGACGGGATCGCGGTGGGCGCCGAAGACGGTACTATTAAGAGTGCCCTGCATGAATGTCAGCCCCCAGCAGTCCAGTCCGATGAGGCTGCGCAGAGCACATATGAGGAGCCCGAAGACGGCAATGGACGGGAACATTACGCTAGCAAGGTTGAGATGGGAGATGGAGGTGAAAGCGAACAAGTGCAGGAAGGTGTCCCTGTGGATTGTCGACGTTTGCCACTATGCAAATACGATGGAGAGCTTCTTCAGCCGGGGCACTTTGCGTGCGAGCATCATCGCCGCCGTCGACAGGTGAGGAACTGGCTCTGGCTTCTGCTCTCCCAAGTGCGCACTCCCTTGGATGATCATCTGTTCCACTCTTTTCGACAATTGTGGCGTCTTCTTCAACATCCTCGAACAAATTCTCACGTCTCCTTGACTGTGGAACCAGACCTCTCTAAGCAGGTAAAAGCGACTGCGAGGATACCATGTACGGCAAACGAGAGTGCAGGCCGTCAAGGCGTTGCTATTGTCTCGTATATGATCTATTACGTTTTCCCATACGTCGGCAGGAAGCACAGGCAAAGCTTTGATGAGCATTTGTGTCAGCACAGGAGTATACCGCAGAATCGTAGGCACTTGCTTTTCAACACACAAAGCTCCCTTGCTGCCATTGTTTGTACATCCCCGCATGCGGTGAAATTGCCTTCGTGCATTCCGGCTGCAAGCTTTCATGACGTTTCATAACGATTTAGGGTGCAAAGTTACTCACTATCCCTTCGAGATTCGTTGTGCTTTGAAGTGGAAAGCCCACCCTTCGACTCGGAGCCTTTGTTCAAATGAGTGCAGAAGAGCTTCGGAGAATGTCACTGAGGATGACACACGATGGTAGGGCGACTCGTGAGGGAGAAGTTGCTCTAGAGATGCTGGTAGTTGGGCTTTCGTATATACTCGATAGCGTAGCTACGGTGAGCGATACACATTCATATGAGCTCTGCAGCACTCCCACGTCCTACGTCGCTCCCACCGTCCATCAGCACAGATGCGCATGTGCAGCTGTAGCACGGGACACACACTGAATGTCATCCGATATCGAGGACGTCGTGTGCTCTTCCTACCTGTAATTTCCAACTTTATATCATATGCGAATTGCAAGCCTTCCCGTGTTGATGGAGATGAAGGCCCTTCACAAACTTCGTTGAGACGGCGTGCCTATCTGGGAAGTCGCTTCCTGCAAAGTTCACTTTTGTCCGAGCCATCAACGCGTACTTGCCCAGCCGGGTGTGACCATCAGAAGCTTATTCCAGCTAAGGTGTATAGCGACTGGGAACAATCTACCCCATTCTTTTGACATCAAGGAAGCTGGTCTCCCATGCGACAAGAAAAATATGTCAAGCAACGCTGTAGCAAGCACGCCTTGATGAATGACTCACAAGGCAGCGAAATTACACAGGCGGGCTTTGCGGCGTGAGAGTGAGCGATGCATGAAGGTGCAGCGCTTTCCAGCGCATTTCGATACAATTCTCTTGCCACGACAGAGTTGCCGGGTGGGCTTCACAAGCAGCGGCCGGGATTTATCGAACAAACATCAGCGGAACTGAGTCGATGCAAGTTTCGGTTCGAAAACAGACCCGTCATGAACTGACGGGACGTTATTGCTAGCCATCGACTCGGAACCTAGACGTTCCGCATGCGCTTCTTATCAGCAATTGCGTCTATGCCCTGCAAGGTTGCTACAGAGAGAAGCTTGGAGAATTTAGCCAATGTCCCCACGAGCAGCAGGAACTAAGAAGAGAGTAGTGACATCCAGCAACAGACCGGAGAAACATTATCCAGCGTCTGAGGCTCAATATGATTACGAGGATCGAGAATATCAGACGTCCTACGACACAACCAAACAAGCACTATAGCAAGGTGAAAACCAGCGAGATGTTGATTTCATGAAAGCGTTACGCGTGTGACAGTAGAGAACGGGTGTGGATTCCCTTTGGGCTCTGAGCACATCCCACCTCACAAACAACTAGTATTTGCACAGCGTCACCGGGTCTCGTGCGTGCAGAAGGCTCGCCATGCCCTGAAATTGTGATAGTGCAAGTGATATGCATGTTCTGGAGGATGTGTCAAGGAGCAGCATTGTCAAGCAGCAGAAGACATCTCACAAGAGAGCACCCTCTAGCTGTTCAAGGTCCTCGTGCTGTTTGCGCAGCGCCATTCGCTTGTTGCGCCTGGGCCTCTTGCTGCTCACGCACCATAACTCGTAGCCGCATACCCTCCCAACCGAGTACGTTAGACTTGGTCTTGAGCACGTACTGGTCGAGTCCTCCGTACTACATCCGTATCCTCCGGTTAGCTACAAGTTCCTCTCGGTCCATCTAGAAGCACAACACACTTTCTTGATCGTCTTCAACGCCCGCGCCGTCACTTTTATCCTCATGAATTGCTGCAGAGTGTCGGAGAAGAGCCGCTTGTTCTGGATGTTCGGGAGCCATGAACGACGCGTTTTGTGTTTTGAGAACGGCACGCTGTTACCGTACTGCTTCATCTTGCCATGAAAGAGACCCAGCTGGGACCGCTTGAACGGCTGGCTGACGATCTCCTTCAGCAGCGGCGTCGAGGGGAACATGGGTGGCGGCTCGCGAGCGGTATCACTGGAGGCCCCGGGCAACTCTCATATATGAGTGTCGCAAAATAGCATTTTTGAGGGGCCCAAAATCATGATTTCCTTGTCGCTGATTGCATATTTAGGGCCTCTGAGGCCGTTCCAAGACCCCTAACCTTATCGCAACTTAGCATATTTTGGGACCTGATGGGTGTCAGGAGGCCCCCAATTAAGGCATGTCCGGGTGGCTAAAGCTTGATATCCATGCGACAAGGCCACCCATGGTAGCCCCATATCAATATAAATTAATTGAGTGATTTCCTGAACCCGATAATCGTTATAATACATGCAGGCATTGTCTGCATTGTTACGTCCAAGAGCATTCGAGCCTTTCCTACATCCTCTCCTTCCCCTGAGTCTCACTAGTCACTCTAAGCACACATTCTATGTATCCCTCGATTATCAGAACATCGTTATGCAAGAGCACCATGCTGTCTCGCCAACAAATCCGTATGTTTTCGACTCTGACATGACGTGACATATCGTTACATAACGTGACATAGTCACGGGCCTTGTCGCACTTTGCATACTTCAGGCCAAAAACTTTGCATATTTTAGGCTGATTTTGGAAGATTCTTGCGACACTCATATGTGAGAGTTGCCCGGGGCCTATCACTGGTAGATCACTGGTGCACGCGCTGAAGTTAGCCGTCAAGAATGCAGCCCGCTTACATAACTATTGCCGTTCTTGGAGTTGTGGGGGGAGCATCAGCTTTCCTTTCGACAAGTGACAGCTCCAACGACCGAGTCCGCTCCTTTTGCGTTTAAACCCGCTCGATACCCATCGGTCGTCTTGCAGCTTCTCAATCTTGCAGTACTTTGGAGTGCACGCACTGGGTCAATCTCAAAGTTGCTACGCTAGGCTACAGTCCTCGTTCTCGACCCTTTCACGTCACGCACGACCCGCAAACCATTTCAAACGTTCAGAGGCTAGCTCAAGGCTGTGTTCACCAGTTTTCCACGGGAGATCAGTGAGCGGACGACCTGAGAATCCTCTCCGTTGAGGTGTTGCTTCGAGACAAAACGCTTACTTGGACATCATCCCGCCCCTGGCACTCCCATTGCCTTATCACCATGCCGGTACCACCCATGGACGTGTTCGGGATAGTCTACCTCATAGAGAATGCACAGCAGTTCTGGTCAGGTACGTGGCTCGCCCGACGCATTTTACATGTGGCTACAACCTTTTCGTAGAGTTGGAAGACATCCTGCACATCGCGGATGGTCTCACGCTTGACCGGCTGGACTCGACGTTGAGACGCTTCATCTCCTTTTGTGCAGCATACCATGGTAAGTGACGCAAACACTCTGTGTATTCTCGGATGGACAAGATGTCATAGTGGCGCACAGAACAGTACCTGCAGAGCCCATGGCAGATGGAGCATGCATTTGACTTCTTGGTCGCCTCGGAGCTCTTCACCTTTCACTCGGAGCGTATGTCTGAGATACTCTTAGAGGACTCGCAGCAGGTATGGCTCTATTTATTCATACTGCCCAGCAATCTCAAACAGGGCGTCACACGGACCGCAGGCCACCGACCCACATCAGCAGTTCATCATATACAGTGTTCTCCTCGCATATGGCAGACGAAATCCGAACTTTCTGCGTGCGCAGAAACGGTGGCAACCCCTAATACCACTCCTTATGGACAACGTCCTGATGGACATTGATCCCGATGTCGAGGATACGTTCTCAGGATCCACATCTGGCACGAGCTCGGGTGTCCCTCGGGCGATTTCAGTGCCTATTGAAGCGAAGCTTCGTTCTTTGTCCGTCCGGCTGCTCTATGAAGTGTGTAGGGTTCAGAAGATGTCATTGCAGGATCTAGGTAGATATGCGTGGTCAAATTTCTCAACTTGTATGTACTGATTCATGCATAGGGATCTTCTCGGACACCTTCATTGACTACCTTTTTGAGCTGGTCGAACAGACACGGCATATGCAGGATGATACTTTCAACTACTCTGTGATCAAGTTACTGGTAAGTAACTGATTTTACCCGGTCGGTTGGAGCTTTAGACTGAACCCGTTTAGGTTGCTCTGAATGAACAATTCATGGTTGCTTCACTTCACTCTGGCTCCGACGATGGCAGATCCTCGCACTCGGATCGCCATAAATCAGAGAAGCCAGAGCATCAGAACCGCGTGCTTCGAGTGCTAATGGCACGTTCCGGCTCCAGCATGACATTCGGAGAGAACATGATTTTCATGCTGAACCGTGCAGGTCAGATTCTTGCTATGATCGGTTGATTTCCGAGCTAATGGCAGGCACAGATCGGACGCCGGAGGATTTGTGCATGCAGCTTCTCGTCCTCAAGCTGCTGTTTCTTTTATTCACCACGAAGGGCATGTCAGAGTATTTTTACACCAATGATCTATGTGTCCTGGTAGACGTATTTCTCCGCGAAATCGGAGACATCGACGAGGACAACGAGTCGGTGCGTCTATCCACTTTTCCGACATGTCAAATATTGACTTTTCCTAGCAGCTCCGCCATACGTATCTGCGCGTACTGCACCCTCTTCTCACCAAGACACAGCTCCGATCCATGCCGTACAAACGCGCACAGATTGTACGCACCCTCGAGTCGCTCATTGAGCATGAGTCGATTCGGGACGTCGACCCGACGACCAAGCGGCTCGTTAACCGCTGTCTCTCAGGCGACTGGTGCGTTCAGTTTCGCAAGTCCAGACCCAACGAGCACGAGTACAGGCGCGTGGGCAGCCCGAGTTTGTCTGTCATTTCCTCTCCGCCAAACATCAGCACGTTCAACGTCGAGCGCAAACCCTCGCTCCGTGGGAAGAACGCCATGGCGAGCCGGAGTGCAGAGAATCTCCTACACCCAAACCAATCGAGAATGAGGTCGGGATCTGGGGTGCACAAAGAGAAGGGCCATTCGAGCCGTGCAGGACATCCGGAGCCGCAGCGTCAGTCGAGTGTGGATAGCAGTGCGAGCTTGCCGAGGGTCGCCGTTGCGGCGATGGGCACCACTTCCTCCGCACCGCGGCGGCGGGAGCGTACGGGTTCGATGTGCGGGGACCCAGCAGCGATGGCGACGTTCTCGTCACTTTCGATCCACGAGCGAAAACACACGCTCACGGACGTGACCACGCTGCAGCAGGAGCCAGTTGAGATGCACGTCGCATCACCGCATATCCGGGTCGAATGCCCAACAACCGCTACGGAATCTCCAGACTCGCCCGTGTCGGCAACTTCGTTATCGTCGGCAGCGTCGACCACGAAGCCGCATCGGAGAGCTGCGCCTGCGCCACCGTCGAAGCGGCGGAAGCCTCCAGCTGTGCCTGTGGGCCGGAAGCGCGAGAGCGGGACGATCACTGCTCTTGCCGCTGCATCTTCTCAGCCTTCCTTGACTTCTTTGTTGCCGCATAGACACTTGTAATGACAACACACGTACTTTCACGCTCATAATTCCTACTGCATATACTGCATAGACCTCAGCTAGTCATCTTTTCTCGTGCATTCCTCTCTTCTATTCCCCAGCGCGATCAAATAAGATTGAAGCACACTGAGCTCTTCGCCGTGTGTGAGCGCAAAGCCTTTGTGCATTTCCGCTAAAGCTATCCTTGGAGAGGCAACAAATATTTCTCAGTAATTAGTTGGATAACCCGATTTTCCGTCCTGGCTATGCAGAGACCTCAAAATGTCATGCCAACAAGTGGCCAGTGAGTCGAAGTCGGAAGAGTAACTTTTAGGAGCTTTTAGGTGACACTTCTCATACCAGTTGCCGACGCCCCCGCTTCTCTCGGCTGTGCAGATTGAATTTTCTACAAACCTCTATCGTCGTTATTCTTCGCACTGCTATCGAGAATCTGTGCATCACAGCATTAAATGTGATGGTGTGGGCCACCTTTGTGACAGCTCGCTGATGATCTACGGTCACTCATGAACGCGTCTGTCACACCACGCGAATCGACTCATACCCCTTGCCTCCTCTTACCTTCGTCGCAGCTTGTTGCATCGCACGACGTAACGACGCTGGTGCTGGATGTTGGATATTGAATATTGAAGATGGACATCACTACTATCCTACGGAATGGCTTCTGCGATCTTGTCGCCGCAAAATACTTCCTGAGCATCGTTCATCGAGTCTTCCTTCCGACATGTGGACAGCACATATTCTTCCTTCCACACCGAAGTATCAACCTCAGTGACCGCATTACAAGAATCTTGATGCAAAATAATGTTTCTGCAAGCCGCTGAGGCTGGCATTCTCTACATCGGGAATGAAGCGGCTGCCGAGCTCTGGTGATAATGACGGTCAGCCTCTTCGATGGCCATATATAAGAGCTCCGAATATATTCTTTCTTGTGCATTCTCTCCATCCTCCCGCGCCCAAGATGCTTCCCGATTTTCTGTCCCTCATACCCCTCGGCCTATACCTGCTCGCCGCAACAGCGTTACCCCTCATCGATCCCATCGAACTCTCTGATATTCCGTCTGCCGACGCCTCGGACACTCCTTTGTTCCCACTTCCCTTCACCCGCAAGGTTAACAACCCAAGCAATGCCAGTGTAGCGAGGTTCGACCAGCTGCGTGCTCAGACTCTACGGACGCGTGATCTTGGTGGCCAGAATGAGCAGGGGATTTTCGACATTTCCGCTTCTTCCCAGGTTGTCAGTTACGTGGTAAAAGTAAGAATCTTCTTCTAATTTGGATGCGAGATTTGACAGATACATCATGCGATCAATATTGCAGGTCGAAATCGGAGACCCGCCTACGACTTGTACGTTTTTAAGCATTCATATCATCTATGCTTGAAGAATGTGGAAGAATGTTGCTTATTGCATCTTCACAGATGAGCTCCTAATCGATACCGGTAGCTCGAACACATGGGTCGGCGCAGGCAAGCAGTTCGTTCCAAGCCGAACCACCGTGCCGACGCTTAACCCGGTGGTGAGTCCAATTGAGCTACATTGCGACGGTGGCTGTTTATGACGACGGCATCATGCAGTCCGTCGAATACGGTTCGGGCTCGTTCCAAGGTGCGTCCGACGCACCGTAGTATGTATGAGAGGATGCGGACACTGATATGCCGATGTCTTGCGCAGGCGTCGAAGTCAAAGACCGAGTCACGCTAGCTCCGGGGCTGACAATTGACAACCAATCCATTGGCGTCGCTATATTTTCGCAAGGGTTCGACGACGTCGACGGTATCCTAGGGTAAGTTGATCGTGGAGTAATACTTACGACCTCTAATAATGGTCCACTCAGCATTGGGCCAATAGACCTGACTTGTGGTATGTTGGTCTCGTTAAACTTATTATGCATTGCATCGGGTGACGGGCGTTCAATCATAGGAACCCTCTTCCCATGCATCGACGAATGCATCCCGACCGTCACAGACAACGCATGGTTGCAAGGCCTTTTGGCCTTCTACGGAGTCGGAATATCGTTCGCGCCTGCAGTGTCGGCGCCCGAGGAGAATAGAGAACTCACCTTTGGCGGTATTGATTCGACGAAATACACCGGCACGATCAATTATGTGTGAGTCAGTGTCTCTCAGCAACGGCAGTTGTACTCACTGTTGAGCTAGGCCGATTACTTCACATGAACCGGCCAATAAGTTCGTCGGAGTCGACCAGTCTGTAGCATATGGCGATACAGTGATCCTTGAGGAAACGTCTGGCATCATAGATACGGGGACAACCCTGATCTTGCTCGCAACCGGTGAGCCTTGTTGAGGTGCCTTGCTGGCTGAGATGATAATGGGATGCGTGTTCAGATGCATTCAACGAGTACAAATCGCTCACAGGTGCCGAGATGGACAACAACGTAGAAATGCTCAAGATCACGCGCGAGCAATATTCGCAACTGAAAAGCATGTATTTCAACATCAATGGTGTGAGTAGTTCTAGGTATTCAATAGCTAATGGGTCTTGAGTACCGCTATGGAGCAGATAAAATATGAATTCACCCGTGATGCACAAATATGGCCTCGATCAGTAAGTTTTCGAGTATCTGTAGCTCCGGCTACGAGGCACTGACAAGCTTTCCTACAGCTGAATTCCGAGATAGGCGGAGACGCAGATGTTATATACCTTGTGGTATCGGACAACGGCTCACCTTCTGGCAGTGGCATAGACTTTATCAACGGCATGACATGGCTTCAACGCTTCTATATGGTGTACGACATAGGCAACTCACGAGTGGGTATCGCCACCACCCGGCATACCAATGACACTGTCAACTTCTGACTTGCATATATTTATATTTGTACTTTTCATTCATCCGACCCTCTTGGATTCAAAAGTCGAGGCAACCAGGCCGACACGTGACGTGCCATGAGACGCGCTCGCGGAGGCATGCGTTAGTACGATCAGCTCGAGGCATTTCATCTCCACCTTCGGGATGATCCATTTTTCCGCTCGGGAAGGTGCAGAGCATATATAGAGCGGTCCCGTTATTGTCTCGCGTATCTTGTCTTCGCGCATCCACGTCCTCTTTCTTGTCCCAACTGACAGGCTCTTCTCGCACTTGACCAAGATGGGAATAGCTTGCATCTTTTGCATTTTGTGGCTCGTGTCGCAGGCGACAGCGAGGACGTTTACTGTCATCAACAACTGCTCGTTCACGATCTGGTGCGTCCGTCGTTTGTGGCGTTCGATCGAGTAAGGAATGTCTGATTTCGCAATGTTTGCAGGCCGGCAGTAAGTGTCAAATAGGTCTGCAGGTGGTCTGACCCGAAGCGCATCTGCCTGGCTAGATTTATACTGGGTCTGGATCGGATAAGCCCGATTATGACACAGGGTAAGAATTCTTCTCATGCTCTATTTTTGCCTGTGTGCCTGAACATGACCGTTCACCGAAAAGATGGAAAGCGGCTGCGGGATCATCAGTGAGCTTCACCGTTCCGGACGACTGGTCGTCCGGTCGAATATGGGTGAGTGGCGCGTTGGGATGGACGGGCAGCTTTACAGAGGCAGATACGTCTGGCAATACAGGGCAGGAGCGATTGCAACTTCACAGAGAGCACCACTACTGGGACGTGTGTCTCCGCGTCATGTAGTGGTGGCTTGCAGTGTGTTGCCCCGGTACGTTAGGCCACATCGTCAATTCGGAAGTCACTGACGCGCCGCATGGGTACCTGCAGGGATCGACCCCGGCGACTCTGGCAGAGTGGACGCTCTCGGCAGGCAGTGTGGACTATTATGACGGTACGGGCGACATCTGCACGCTAGCCTAGTGTATCTCACTATCGCCACAGTGTCTCTCGTCGACGGCTTTAATCTACCTTTGGCAATCACGAACAACGTGGGCTGTTCCGAAGCCAGCTGTAAGGTTGATCTGGACGCTACTTGTGCGTACAACAGTGATTGTGGCCCTTCTTTCCCTGTTCATCCGATTTATGTGCAGGTCCGAGCGCGCTCGTGGGTCCGACGAACTCCACTGGTGGCGTCCTGGGATGTAAAAGCGCGTGCGATGCCAATGTGGGTGGCGACTACGGTGTGCATACTACTCCGATTGTTCATAATAAATTGCACTCATGCACTGCATTGCAGCAAACTCTCCGGACTGCTGTACTGGCAGCTATGGCACGGCTGCTACGTGCCCCTCATCCGGGGTATCATACTACAGCTTCTTTAGTAAGCACGCCCGGCCACACATTCCGATCATCCTGACCGTGTCGAGCAGAGGACAACTGTCCGGATGCATATGCGTACGCGTACGACGAGTCGAGCGGCACTGCACTCTGGACGTGCGATGCATCGCTGAATGCCGATTATACACTGACTTTCTGCCCGTGCGTCGTCCATTGTTGTCGCAACTCATATCGTTCCCATACTGATACCTTCTGCAGAGCGCTTGGAAAAACGACCGCGTCGGTATCAGGCAGCTCTGGAGTGCCTTCGAAGACGTCGGTGGCGACGACTACGAGCGTACCTTCTGCTACATCTACCGCCAAGTCCACTAGCACTAGCTTGGGACCGCCGAAGTGTGCTCTCAAACCGCCGTCGGACAAGCAGGCTGTGTTCGCGCTGTCGTGGTGAGCTGCGCAGGCGTACCATCCATATCAGCAATGTGCGCAGTGGTGTTCAGCTTACTCGAGCTTATGTCCGCACTAATCAATTTCTGCACGACCTGCGATAGAACCAAATCTCTCATGCCCGTGTCTTGTGGATACTATACAGTCGACTGGTCGGTGTATTCTTATCTTGTGAGGCCTTGTTGCGTTATTGAAGTATATTTCTATGGCATTTAAACGCGATTTCATCGGTGCTGTGCCGCGTTTCATGTGGAGGTTTCATTGAAAGTGAGGTTGGAACATGTTTGATAGCCAAGAGCGAAGGCAGCGAGTAAGACTGAGCGCATAACGCCCGCAATGGCCTGCTGCGGGGGGCCCATACCGCAAGAGTGGTCGACTGCAAGCAGAACGCCTAAGATAAATATGAAAGACCGACAGCTCTCGTAGTACCTATCACGAGATACTTGGTAATATGCCCTCCTTCCTTGCCCCAACACCTGGCGGTGCCGATTGGATCTCCAATGAACATTAGATGACGTGCGGGGCGGCTGATGATGATATCTTACGTTGACCTCACGAGAGTCGGCAGCATCCAGGAAATAGTCGACGTAGGACAGCTTTCGCTCTACTCTGAATGTGCCTGCAAGCGTGGAAATCCTTCGCAAAAGAACCTATACTTGTTGTAGGATATTTTCCGGATAATAAGAGCTTGAAGAGGCTCCAGCGACAAAGTAGCATCGGCTATTCGCCAGCGCCTTTCGAGGCACAGTTGACGGCAAGACGGCGAAGATTGCGACACTCGCCAATAGCCATTAGAGTCTGCGCATTACGACAGGCACCATAGAATCGTGAGTCTTGAGCGGTGAAACATAGCGAAACGCCGTGTGTAAACCTTTTCTAAATCATGCATGTCAGTGGATGGCGCATCTGCGCCGACTTTGTCATTCGTTCCAGTCTCATGGTGTGTATGGTGGGAGTCATGATTGTCGGAAAGCTCTTGTACATTTTGCCATTGCGACAACAAGTCTAATTTGCAAAGCAAGGTCGGTCACTATAGGAACGGGCTATGACGGACATGAGGACGCGATCATCGCTGGACTGGACATAGACCTCGTGGATGCGCCGAACGTAGGAGGAGCCCTCACACATTTTCCGGGAATGATATGATCTGCACGGACTGCGTGGAAAGTGACGATATTGGCATGCGTGGACGAGTGTCGATTCGTTAAGAACGTCACTGACTCATGACGCACGGATTGATCGTAACCAATTTAACTTGAGGTTAGGCTGTTCTGGATCGTTGGAATCGTGCCTACAATATAGCGCATCTTATCAAGTTCCCTTCGTAACGCCTCCAATGCAGCATCTGAGAAAAAGCGGCAGACACAACTTGAAGCAGCTCCGACCAGAGGCTCGCGATCCAAGATTACGAGCGAGCTGTTAACTTCTGGGAAATATATCGAATATAATTAAGATGTCGCGAATGTTGTCGACATCCGATGCATCATCATCACAACCAATGGCCGAACCGTTGAAGGGGAGGGGAGTTGCAATAACGAACGTAGTACCTGTGTCTCTATGAGCGCTCGGAGTCTTCCGGGGTCACGTTTCTAACGAGATGTTCAGATTGGCGCCGGAGGATGTTGACAGACTAGCATGTGTGTATGCATCTCCAGTTTTCAGAATTTCATCAATGGGCCAGGACGTGCCAGAGACCCAGGCTGAAGCTGAAGGTTTAACAAAATTGTAATGTTGGTCAAGCATTATCATCATCTCGTCTAGTGTGACATGACTGACTTGCTCGTTCGAATCTTCCTGTAGATGTTTTCATTTATTGCTCCTCGGTAGGTGCTGTATTGTGTCAGTTGTGATACCAGTGGTCCACTGCCAACGAAGAAACACGTCTGGCATAATTTTTATCATGCCACGCCGCCACCATCAATTTTGCACAATGCACAACCCATGCACCAACTCAATGAATGAAAAGGGGCAACGTGGCTGATCGATATCATTGTATGTACTTGTTTCTGTCGTCATGATGCTCACGGAGATTACAAGATCTCATCAGCTCCCGCCTCCGCCATAAGCTCCGAAGACCTCGCAAATTCCGGCAATTTGGCTGAGCGCACCACTGCTCGTCGGTTTCTATGCGACACCGCTGAGTGCCCTTTTTCTTGCGCTGTCTCCTTACCCGCATTCCTCCAGCCAGATTCCGCTCAGCGTGAACTGTCACTCTGCTGGGCTCTGCGGTAACTGTAAGCTTATCACGATCTGTCCGTGTCCGCAGGTCTTGATCCGCCAGTGCGACTTGACTGTTGTGTTTTGGACGTGGGAATTCGTGTGCTTTGTAACATCTGAAACTACATGAAGATAATGATCCGATATAGGAGGCGGCCAGACGTAAAATAAATTATTCATAATGTGAAATGTTCCCCCGGCATGCAAGCCGCCCCAATGGCTTACCGGGCAGCATATTGCCACACTCTGCGTCTGATGTCATCCGAAGTTAAGCTCATTCAGTGTGTCACGTCGCATCTGCAACGGACGAATCTCAAATGAGCATTTTGTTCTGCCAGCAAGACCAGTCCCCCTTCGATATTCATCGCTGCATATACGTAATACCGGGCTATCTTAGTCTAATGCTTGCGTAAATGTCCAATCGCTCCGTATAATGTCCTCCCCCTTGTCAACAACGGTAGTACATTACTTTTCAAATGGATCGCATCACATCACAACGTATTGAGCTTAGCAGAAAGTAGATGCGATTAACACTCCGGCCCATACCCTCACGCAAACAAACGGTGCTAAACATGATTTTATACCAGATAGTCGCACCCCAAAACTTGGTATACGTAACTCATTGCTTCTATTTCAACTTCACTCACTTGTCTTGACCGTGTCTCACTCCACTCAATCCCACGCTTGTCAATCTCCTTTGTATATAACGTCAAGGCAACATAAGATGGGCCCCTCCTGATCCTTCCCCCAGCCCTGTTCTTCCTTCTGCGCACTAATAGTGGTCGAGTGAAGCGAGTCGTGCGGCAAATGGGAGCATCACTTTCGAAACAAGTAAACGAGAATAGAATGGTTAGTGAATATGTTTTCCATGACTCGGAATATCTCAATATATACTGTTCGACTGCTCCAGGACTATCACTGCGTGGGTACCCGCGGAGCGCTGAGTCCGCTGCAAATGCAAGTGAAGAGGGAACGAGAGCACTACAGAGCTCCATATCGGCAAGCACTACACCATCCATGACCATTCGGAAAGCATAGTAGCATTCTCCTGGTGGCAGAACTAATCCGCGGGTCGACTGCGCTCAACGATCTGGGCACGCGCCAATCAGCTACCCTGTCGACAGTCAAGTCTCCGCGCGTGACCCACTTCGTGACATATCGTATCACACACTCAACTACGAAAGGCCATATATATAAATCGTTCATCGTTGGTGCCCTCGCAGTGCTCAGGCTCCCGATGAAGCTGACATACGTACGCGGACGGCTGTTGGAGACTCACCTTGTCGCGATGTTGTGCAAACTCGTGGGCTCGTGCACAGGGCCATCGGACGAGTCGCTTGAATCCTGGTCAACATTCTGCGACGACACGTCCGCGCCGCTAACCAAGGGTGTTGTTCAGATGCTCGCCTGTTGAGGCCTGGACTGCGCCGCGGGTGAGTGGTACGGGCGCCGCATCAGCCACTATGCCAGAACATTCTGAGCGCCACGGTCTTTTCCATCCGGTGTTTCCTTCTCACATCTTCGATATAGTCCAGTCTTCTGCATCCTCGACAATCGACGATATCTATGGAAACATCGTGTGCAAGAAGGTTCCGCAACGCGAGTCGGAGGGATGCTACATCTCCCTCTGAGTTTAGCGATTTGAAGTGCTCGGGATATCATCATAGTAAGTGATCGCGTCAGGACACACATAGACTGATCCGAAATGATCAATATCTGACCTCGTAGTCGTCTGGTAGGCTCACAGCGAAGAACCGGGGTCCAGGAAGTTGTGGACTTCATCGGCATTGATCCAAGCCAAGCACAAGCCTAGAATGCCGGTCGGATCCCCGCAACCGCTGCTTTACCCCGATTGGCACTTCCGGTCCCTCGCGCAGGACGGAGCGAACAACAGTAAATCGTCCCGATTGCAGGGGTAAACAATCTGACGGGGCAGAGCGGAAAGCACGTTCAGGCTCAGATTGAGCTCCGTTAGTGCGGCATGTCGGAGCCTGAACTTGAGCACTGGAGAGGTCTGATGAGTAAGCCGCTCTTCCGCCGGAGCTCCAATTGCGACTCAGATCACTGTATTAATGATCTGGCGCTCCACATGTTCTCACCCTCAGACCGTCGCGCCTTCGTCCCGGTACATAGCCAGGAGGAACTCAGGTGAACTTCCTTGACACCGTCTCTGCCATCATGCCAGACATATGCAGCTGACCTTCGTATGCCTTCCGTGCCTGCACAGACACGATCTACAGCTCACGACTATCACAAGCACCACCTCCATGTCCTCAGACTACCAGGTATGCATTGGTTGCCATCGCCCGTTTACTCCGCTCAACTGATCGGCGTCTAGCAAGCCCGCCGCGCGGGGCCCTCCCCTATTGGCGACCCAATAAGTTTCACAGCCGGCCAGTATGCCGGCCGAACCCTGCGCGCGGAATTGGAGGAGTTGCAGAAAGCGGATTTAGGTCGCAAGTGCGTGAGAGCAGCTATCCCAGGTGTGCGAGTTTCCTTTTCTGACCACCTTTCCGGCCATTCAGGTACGCACGGAAGGACCGACGGCCCCTTGATCCGCCGCCCGTCGTGCAATTTCGGCTCTTTGACGTGTTCAATGTGGGCACTTCACGGCAAACGGAGCGCGAGATTGACGACTACGAGTACGTATACATGCATGCTGCGAAGTTTTCGATGCTGCCTCGTGATTCTGACCGATTGACAACAGTGAGATCAAAAACTTTGGTGCGCTTTGTCATGTAGACCTGTTCCCTATTCCGGGAGACGACGAGGATGAAGAGGACGAGACAGAGGAGAGCACGGCACATCACGAACTACCACCCAGCTCGTTTGCTGAGTCAGCCCATGCATCAATGTCGGTTGCTTCGGGGTCAAAACTTTATATCCACGGACCAGATCCATATCAATCAGGCTACTCGTTAGTGAACGCATACGCAGTGCCGCCACTATTACCATCTTCAATGTCGCACGCGCACTATACCATGCCAACGTCACTACCCCCGCCGAGCGGGATACCTACCGCCACACTGTACCCGATCGCGATGCTCCCAACGTCGTCCTTAGCACACACATATTCAGTCCCTGCGCCTTCGCTGCCACCATTGCCGCTGCAGATACCCGGATCGTCGGGGAGTAACCAGTATGCACCGACGCGGCATCACCAGCCATACCCGCAATACCAAGAATACCGACCACCTGCACCACCGGACCCGGATATCATTGCGTATATGGGCGATTTTGCTATACGAGAAAGCTCAAAGTGCACGACCGCGCTCGTGGGCGCGACGTTTGTCCAGTCGGCGGTAGTGGAGTTCAAGGGGAAGAAGGCGCTGATGTTCGTGTTCTCTGTCCGTATCTGTCTTTTGCTCTTGCTCGTCTCGTCATCAGTGTGCGGCGCTGCTTCCTGGCTTCTTCGCACGCTGTGCTGTTCTGGGCTGCTCGAAGGACTTAGTGCTAACCATGGTCTTGGCGTGCTGTGGCATGCTTGTAGGACCTTGCGGTGAAGAACGAGGGGACGTTTCTCCTGCGGTATCGGGTCTTCAACATATACTCCAAGGCATGCGGGCCAACCGAGATACCGATTTTGGCTGAATGCTACGGCGGGCCGTTCAAAATATACTCGACGAAGGAATTCCCAGGGCTACGCGCTTCGACTGATCTAACGAAGGTTCGCCGCACTGGTTGCTTAGTAATGGTCGAGCTTCTGATCGTTGTTCTGCAGCACATATCGTTCTTCGGTGTCCGACTGAATCTCCGCGAGAACGAGCGCAGGAGGCGGAAGAAGAGCGAGATCGAAGCCGACAGGCGGAGGGAGGCCGAGCTGGCGGCGGCGACGGCTGGAGCTGAGGAGGTCTTTGGTGGCTCGCTGACCATGTCTGCGTCGCCCGTGTCGACGGCGGCCGCTGCGATTTACCACGCCGCCAGTGTCAGCCCGAGTACGAGCAAGGGAAAGCGCAAGCAGAGAGCCGGAGATGAGGGGAGCGATGGAGGTGGCCTGTTATAGTTGGGCGAACCGCGGGTATAGGTAGACTATCGGATACCTTCTTTACTTCGTTAGTCCGTTGCATGCAGTCCGGGTATGTCGAGTCCGAGTTTTGCGGTGACCGGGCCGTTGATGTGTGTTTTGCGCTGTCATACTGATGATGTCGGAGTGCATGCCGTTTCTCGTGTGTAGGTTAAACTATATGATAGCCACGGCCTGGATGCAGACTGATGCGGCTGGGCTTTGTGAGGGATGCGGGGATATCTCGGTAAAGTCTACGGAGATGGTTTATGTTGAGACGGATGAGGATGTGGAGGAGACAGGGGTGAGCAGGGGGGTGGTCGTGGGGAACGTGTCGTATATATTGGTGACGGCATGCCATCTGGGCAGACATACGATGCAACTTACCGAAAATAAACCACGTACGTTGCACGTTGCTTCTCCTGACGCGACTAGTGCCTCGGGACCGGCTGTACGCCTCACCCATGCTGCCTCCCTAGACAAATTCAGCTCCAAGAAAAGGTGATGGATGGTTGACTCTGATACACAGAACGTTGGATATCACGAGCAAAGACAGCACAAACGAGTAGAGCGATACCAAGTGCTATTGAGTCAACTCGAGACGACGAATTGATGACGTTGCAGATCAAGTGTACAGCCTAGCGGGTGAGCTCCAGCGTCCAATGCCATCGCAGCCACCGGCGCGCCAGATCAGGCGCTTAACGAGCCAGATCCACCACGACGGCAACCAAGAGAATACAAAAAAAAGAAAAACAACCACGAGCGGCGGTCACGAGCGGTTGAATGAACACAGACGGCGAGGCGGCGGAGGGCAGAGAAACTTTCGGGCGTGCGTGGGCGAAATATATGGAGGGCGGTGTGCGCCCGGCAGGTAGGCGGCGCAAGGAAGGCCCGGATGCTATACACGGCATCCTTCGAGATCTCGAAAGGAGGGACGGAAGGTGCGACCCAGCGGCGTGGCGGCCGCGGGGCGCGGATGCGAGGGGTTGGCGCGGCATGAGAGCGGCCTCGGCATGAGAGCGGAGGGAAGGAGTCTGGACTTGAGATGGTTGGTTCAGTGGTCCGAAGAAGAACGGCGGGTTGGGAAAAACAAAGGAGGATCTGCGTAGGACTACATAGGAGAGTCGCGGATAGCGTTGCTTCCTGGTCGTTCGTGCTGCTTCGCTGGCTTAGAAATCATGAAAATATAGCGGGCGCTGCAAGAGCTCATGAGCTGGTGCTGACATCGGACTGCGAGGCATAAGTGCTTAATTTTGTTCCACACACCGCCTCTCCTACCCTGCTAGAAAACGTAGGTATCTAGTGGCTCGAAAGCAAGTAATCGATTTTGCATAGATATACCTGATAGACGCCTTGCATCATGGCTAGTATTGACAAGCGAGTCTACGCCGAAAACAAGTCCTCTATCCCTGTAGCGAATGATTCATGTACATGGTGCTGAAAATGTTGACGCGAGTGGCAGAGGCTATTAGCCTTCGATCCTAACAACGATAAACAAAACCGCTTTAGTAGCAAATCCGAAGTCTTCCGTTCTCGAGGGCTTGAACGAACCGGTATTTTTGAGCACCCGTGTATGAGTGCCCAGATAATAGCATTGGCCTCAATATTGCTGTTCAAAGGACGATGCACGCGCCGCTCAAATCACCAATCGTTCTTGTGAATAGGCACGGGTCAATTTGGTCAAGAAGATTATGAAGAGTCACATTTCTTATGGCCGACAGAGTTGTACAGAGTTGTAGAGGTCACTCGCTGACGTGCATAACAAGCAACCATGATGGTGGAGATTTCTGCTAACTCTCGAGCGCCAAAGCGGGTCGATGCCGACAGGTACTGCAAACCGACCGCTTGGGATCCAAAAGACCTCTCGACCGAATCTTCATAACGAGCCCCGAACGTGTAGAACATGCAGGAGAACGCTGCCTTTGATACATGTGTCCGGACTCATCGTCATGGGAAACAAGAGGACCCGGCCGGCCGATTCAAATGTGATGGCCATGTCCCCGCAAGGTGTGGTGCTCCTCCTGCTGCCAGGCTCATATCAGATAGTGCCTCATGGCCAGAAGATCATGCATTCAGTGCTGATGAATCCTATTAATATCTTCAATGCGCTCGTCTACAAAAGCCGGGCTCGCCAGCATCTCCAACACTTGCAGTCCACGCTTCGAATTCCCCTAGTGCTCTGCGATGGCCGAGCGCGGCACGCTCCTTCTCGTCAATGCCACCCCCTACGAGTGGACAATATCCTCTGTGTCCGAGCATGGCATGGAGTCGTGGCCTTTCGTAAGTGATCAGACCGTGGTCTCCGCAGGTGAGCACCCGTGCCTCGCGTCCGTGCAAGTCCAAGCGTTGAAAGCCACGTACGAATGCACCAGGGAATTCGGCCACGTTCTCTATCGAGTTCAAAGAGGGCTTCTTCCACCGTGCGGACGACGACGTCGCCTACGCGACCTTCAACCTCGTCGGCACCCCATACTCCTTCCAAGTCCAAGCGATCGAGCAGCAACTGCGCATTTGGCTGCAGGCCATCGCGACCACGGGCAACGACGTCGACGGCGTGATCGATCTCGCGTGGGACAGCAAAGGGATCATGCCATTCTTCCTCGCAGGCAGGAGCGGCGCCTTCTCGTCCAACAACCCCCCGATGGACTGGATGCAGAGCAACCTGTCTACGCTCGGTTCGCGCCCGCTACGCCACCTATGCATGCCCGGCACGCACGACTCGGGCATGAGCACGCTTCGCGCGCACAGCGCGCTCGTCACGCACAAAGACACGATCACGCAAGTGCACACCATCGGTGGGCAGCTCGCGCTCGGCGCGCGCTACTTTGACTGCCGCCCCGTCATCCGCGGCGGCCAGTACGTCTCGGGGCACTACGCGGACGTGAAGGACGTCGGCTGGATGGGCGGCACCGGCCAGTCGTTCGCGGACATCGTCAGGGAGATCAACGACTTCACCGCGGACAACGCGGAGCTCGTCGTGCTCAACGTCTCGCACGACCTCAACACGGACGCCTCGCGCTCGTTCACGCAGGAGGAGTGGGACGCGTTCCTCGAGCTGCTCATGGGGCTCGAGCGTCTGTACGTCGCGCCCGATCCGGCCAGCGTCGACCTCACGCTTTTGCCGCTGGAGGCGTTCATCGGGAACGGCGACGCGGCAGTGGTCGTGATCGCCGAGCCGGATGCAAAGGAGAGCGTCTCGCTGGGAGCATATGTGTCCCGTGGGGTGTACCGCTACGCGCAGCTGGACGCATACAACAGCTACAGCGACACGCACGAGCTCGAGAAGATGGTGCACGACCAGCTCGACAAGATGTGGAACGTCCGCCAGAGCCCCGGCTCGCAGTACTTTTTGCTCTCGTGGACACTCACGCAGGACGCGCTGGAGGCGATCGGGGCGGGAGAGACCATTCTGTCGCTCGCGGCGCCGGCGCTGCCGAGGTTGTATACGAAATTGCTGCCTGCGTGCTCGCCGAACACGTACCCGAACATCATATACCTCGATCGGTTCCACACGTCGGACGTGGTTGCGTTGGCGATGGCCGTCAACGCTCTTGCTGGAGGGTTGATTCGAACGGACTTGCAGGACGAGTCGATGAATGAGATTCTCGAAGTGTAGAATTGAAGAGAGATTGTACGTGTTAGGCACCAGAAGTTCGTATTGCACTGGAATCCTCGTTAGTCAGGTAATGTATCATTGGAATAGGTAGTTCGAGATTTAAAAAATGGTGTATTCGAGACACAATAGGCCTTTACATGAATTCCACGCGGATTCAGCAGCACTAATGAGAAGTGAGCTCTCACGCGGCCAGAATGGGATGTATAGAAGCCAATCTTGTTCTACATTTTGAGCTCCCACTGTTGATGGGTACTACAACAGTTGTGATCATTGAACGCATGCGATTCAGTCCGTTCAACGCATCGGCAGCCTATTTTTCTAGCACATATAGCTTGTAGGTATCATCGAGAATATGCGGCCAATAGCCTGTGCAGGTTCGATGCCGCACGTCGTTTCATCGTGTCGAGCTCAAGGAATATTCTCACACTGTAGGGTTCGAGAAGCCTTTTTGAATGACCGAAACAGTTTTTTTCTAGCTCAACGAACTGTTAGTAGTAACCCAACTACAGCCGTGTCCTTCGCGTCTAGCAGTAGTACAAAGTAAAGGCCCACGAGGTGGCCTTCCGCGACAACTGACCCGCTCATTGTTTGACAGAGAATCCACGGTGAGCAGAGCTGGTATACGTAGGCTCTCCGCTGCACTGGGTATATAGCATCAGGTAACTTCGACCGTTAAGCAATACACGCAAGTCTCATCCATGATTCAGTATATAGAGCTGCTGCGCAACGTCGAGGTCGAGCCCGATGAATACTCCGAGTCTTCTTTTATGCTCGTTCCTTGGATCACAGCAAGATCCTTGAGGTCTTTCTGCAGGACTTTCGTCAAATGCGCCAAGCCCGCCTGTTCTTCCGATAGGATCTGTGCACCAATACTCGCATGTCAGCCGTGAGCAGCAGACGTCAGAGGGGGGCATGACACGTACCTGAGCAATCTGACTCAGGCCCTCGTCATCCACAACGGCCCACTCTACCCCGCCCGCGTTACGATCTCTCTCGCGAGCAGCCGTGACGGCGCCCACGAGCGCCCACAACTCGTTGAGCTTGCCGCGCATCCTGCCCGTACCGCCCGGCCTCCGGATCTCCTGGTCGATGTCCTCCAGTACAGCACGCAGCGCCTCCTCCTCTGGCCGGATGGCAGACGAGCGCAACGAAGGTATGAGGAGGTGCAGGTGCTGCACGACCTTGAGCACGCGATGCGTGAGCTGCGTCTGCAACGCCGCAGCGCGCTGCAGACGGGACACGTTCGACAGCTGGTGTCGTTGTGTCAGAGCCGCTATCCGCGTTTGTATTTCCTGGAGCACCGGTGAGCCTCAATCGTTAAAAAACTCGCTCCGGATTAAACGAACCTTCAATCTCTCTTGATGTGCTGCAGCTTGTTGCGACTGCGCCTCCACCCTGGTTTGAAGATCGTCGAAGCCCGTGGCGATCACAGGTACCAGGCTGGGGAGCACTATCAGAGCGAGACGCGAAACCAATGATCGATCTGAGCGTACCAACTCGGGTCCGGATTCTCTCGCACAGCTTTCTGCCACAATGCATCATTCGTTGCATTCGATGGCCTACCATACAAGTGAACGTGATTGGGATCCACCAAATTGTAGAAGTAATGCTGCGAAAATATATTCTCAGCCATGGTGAAACAAAGTCAGTTTGCTAGGAAACGTACCTGGAATCGGCACTGCGGTGAGGCCGGATTCCATGCGTGATAGATAGCCTCAATTCGCTGTGTGAGCGCGAGGAACTGGGATTGAGCGTCCTGCTGCTGCTGTCCGGGCGCTAACGCGGGCCGCGATGCAAACAGGTTTCCTTGTGTCACACCGAGCAGCGTCGATTGACCGAGATTGCTGCCGAAGAGCATCCCGGGCTGCTGTTGCTGCCCGACCGTCGAGCCAAACAGTGACGGCTGGCCCGCGCTTAGACCTGCTTGGGCTTGACCGCCGAAAATCGATCCAGTCGGCGCGGCAGTGCCGCCTCCAAACAGACCACCGGTAACTGCGGTAGAAGGGGCGTTGGTAGTGCCACCGAAAAGACCACCAGTTCCCGAGCTAAAAGGGGCTGCCGTGCTACTTCCGAACATGCCTCCGCCTGTGTTTGACGGTACATTGCTGGCAGTTCCAAAAAGACCACCGCCTGTGTTGGGCTGTGTGGCCGTCGTGCTACCGAACAAGCTTCCTCCTGTGTTCATGGGAGTCGTCGTCGAGCCTCCGAAAAGCCCTCCTCCCGTAGCGCCCGTCATCGTGCCTCCAGGAGCGTTACCAAACAGACCGCCAGTCGTACCTGTGGTGCTCCCGCCCGTCGTGCTGCCAAACAGCCCCCTTCCGGCATTTGTAGCACCCATCCCTCCCGTGCTGCCGAATGGTCCACCTCCAGTCGCAGTAGTACTAGTCCCTCCCGTGCTACCAAAGAGACCACCTCCCGTGGCAGCATTGCCAAACAAACCGCCTCCAGTGCTACCTGAACCCGGGGTATTCGTGGATGCACTGCCGAAAAGAGAAGTGCCAGCCGGTGCAGTCGTTCCCGCCGTGGACTGGACGCTAAAAGGATTCCCAGCTGCTGGCTGTGTGCCTGTATTTCCGAACAAGCCACCACCGCTTGGCTGCTGGGCTGGTGTACTGCCAAATAGGCCTCCACCAGTTTGCGTGTTCGCAGTACCGAACATCCCCCCGCCCGTGGCTCCCGCTGTCTGCGATCCTGCTGGGGCGTTGCCGAAGATCGATCCGCCCGTACCAGGCGCTTGTTGGGTTGTGCTCCCAAACAAAGTTGATCCTCCGGCTGCTGGCTGGGATGTGCTTCCGAAGAGGTTGCTGCTGGAAGCACCAGGTTGCTGTTGTCCTGCAGTCCCAAACGCGCCACCGCCAGACGCGTTCTGTGTGTTTCCCAGCGAAAACATTGGATGTGCGACGGACAAGTACCTATGCAGATAGATGGTATATCGCGTGCCAAGAACTTTTCTCCTTGAATGCAGAGGATGAGGGAAAGGAAGAAAAGGAGAATGAGCTCGCTATGAGCTCTACCACGAAGCGATGCATGATAGCGGACTTGGTTCACGTTGTGGCCACGCTCGTTTGTTTGTCCTTGTTAGGATCAGAAGCTATAAGCCTCTGCAATTGCAATTCCGATCACTGCCTGCCACATCCTCGAAAAAGCGGACTAGTAGCTTCACGCTTCGGAGAACTTAACGTGCGGAACAACCGCTCGGAATTTCACAGTAGCCAAATTTTATGGACTAATGCCACCCTCATGCCATAGATCCACCATTAATATTCATCCCTCAGAAGATCGAACACGCGACCGCCAATTTATTTCCAGTCTGGCGTTGAAATAAGCAGCTCTCCGCGAATCCCATATCGAGCTATATCTCTAAAAAGACCCCAGTTTGTGATCTTTTCTCCACCCGGTATTAAGGCTTTTGCATGGTAACAGTTGGCTAACCCGGAGTTACACTGGCAACGTATATTTGATTCCTAGAGTATAGCTCACTAGTCTTAGACCAGATTTTTGGATCTGATACATTTCTAAATAGATATTATAAAATCCATGCCCATATGTACAGCATTCTGCGATCCAGGCGAAGAATAACGGAGGACCTTGGCCGCAACCAGATATTCGTGTCTGGCTTCCTTTAAAATAGTCCGAGTGAGAGTGAGCAATCTACAGTTCAGCAATCGGCGCCTCTATGCACCATAGCATATACCTTTGTGTGTGTATCCGCTGCTCTACCCAAGGAGACGTAGGATTTGTCGAGGGTAGAACTTGCTATCGAGGTAATAGCAGTCGAGGGCGGATATGACTTGCGTGGCCAGTAAAATGCAGGCGCTCTGAATCCGACCGATACCTCCGTGTGTTTGATTCCTTGGAGATGCCCGACACAGCGAGAGACTACTTCGCGACAACAATGCTAATCACAAAATGATGAGATCGGGTGCAGTCGTCTAGATTAGTGAAGCACATGAAATACATCCGGTATTACGACGGATGGCAACGCATCGAGGCGGTGCAGAACAAAGCCGCGAAAGGGTACTGTAAAGGCAGATTCCTGTCATTCATATTAGGCTGTTCATTGAGTACACCGCGGCCGGCTCGGCAACAAGTGCCATGATGGAGTAGTGCTCTCTACCGTTTGGAGATAAGACCCGGTTCATCTTGTGATGATATGTGAGACGTACAGCAATCGACAGACGGCAACTGATGTTAAGCGAGACAGAGATCGACCGAAAGGCAGTACTTGCTGAAGGCCACGAATTTTGGTGCACCAAGTATTATCCAGGCTTGCCAGTGGTTATCAGTAGTGCAATTCCAACGGCTCTGCGAGTGGTCAGAATTTATGGTCTCAGTGGAGCAATGAGACAAACATATATCTGCTAGAAATAGCGAGAATGGAAGAACAGTAGAGCCGACAATCTAGACCCAAGACAACGTAAACACGGTATACCTATTGAGTCTGATTAAAGACGGTCTTTCCGCCGAGACGTTTGTACTCACAATCAAATTATCAGCCAGCCATATGCTGAAAACCGATGCGGCGTCTTTCTCGACGGCCATATGGTCGGACAATAGATATCGCGTCGAACACTCCAAATGCCATGTCGAACGACATCATAATGATCGATCCCGTATTCCGGGTGGGCTTCATCGAGAGTGAATCAAGTGATGCGTTGGATTCTTCCTGGATAGCGAGAAGACGTACTCCAAGGCGGACGTGTTCATTTATCCAACTGTACTCCTTGACCCGACGTTGAGTTTGTGCGCGGAATACTGTTGTTGAAACGTGCTCTGCTCTTTTATAATGCGAAGACAGATGAATATATCATTTGGCTCGGAAAGGCAGGCGCATCTGGCTGTGGCTGAGAATAGATCGTGTGAACTGCAGTCATCGGGCACCGATTAACCACCGATCGGCAGCGACGGCAGCGCTTGTACCTCCATGTGAACCAAGAAGGTCAACTATACCCCATTATCGGCCGCTCTCCTTGCTCAGACATGACCACAATGCTCGCTAATATCCATCCTACTGCGTGTTTCCCGACGTCAACGCTGGAAGATCATGATCTTTCAATGTACTCGGTCGACTTCGAGTTTGACAATGAAGGACACTCGTTGGGTCTCGTCGAGCCGGTGCGCAACCTCACGCTGGCCGACCTCAGCGATATGGACATGGAACAGTCACTCGCGGACATATCTATGACGATAGAGCCCCTTGACATACCCATACTTGAGGCCGAACCCAAGGCTGCCAGCCGCCTACTGACAAGCTCGCCTCGGCCACGGTACCGACGCTCGTACTCTGATGCCCTCCTTTCGGTTCCGCCTCGTCAAACGGAGGTCTTCCAGAGCATTACTTGTACGCCTGGACTACGTGACACCAGTTTCGAGGTGAGCTCTTCGGTTGGGACTGGGGAGGATGATCAAAGCCGACCGTGAGCAACTAACGCAGGAGCTACGTCTCGGATGCTACCGCAGCAGCTTTGATGCTACAGGCACGCTTCCAAAGCCGGTGCCTGAGTATTCTCCTCGAGAAGCGATTATTCCGCCTTTGTATGCGCCCTTCACAAGCGAAAATGTGGCGGACCGTAGGAACGATGAGCCGGACATCGTAGATATATCAATGTCTCTCGAGGTACGTTCATTGTGTACTCTATCGCTCTCGGTTTGAGCTTATATTGCTCTAATTGACAGCCAAGCCTGCTGAAAATCTTTGATAGGCGTCTCCAGCTTCGCGAACATTGAGCAACGATCTATGCTATTTTAGATCTGATTGAGCGGTAGCTCTGGAACTCTTTTCAATGTATCCAACCTTCAGAACTGCGCATGCTGTGAACTGGGAACGGATGCTTCTATGGAGAGTATGTTGGAAGGACATGACTTCGTGTGTAGTTTTTCTCTGCTGTACCATCATCTAACCGGCTTAACGTGTTGGGTTGTAACTGCTTTCATATCTATCTTAGACAAAGTGCTGTATTTACAACTAAACATTTGTCATAAATGTGTTGTTCTTTTATTCGAGCCATGTTCGGGAGTATATACCGTGTCCGTCGGACATTTGGCTGGACGAACGCGTCGCGTGTCGAATCAAATCGCGGTCCCGTGACCTTCCCAAACCATACCTGGTCTCTTTGGCCTTCGAACTCTACATCTTGCCCAGTCAAGAACTGACAGGTAGTATGTGTTTCTCGAAATAAACAACCAGTATATCGTCTTGAAGATGATCGGAAAAGCTCTAACAAATCACGCAGTGTCAGACGGCTCAGGTATTGCCGAACATCCATAACATGTCGGAATCCAAGCAAGCCGTGTACCAATGTCAATGGCCGTGGTCGATCCTTGCTCGCTTTTCCAAAGCCCTCAATTCTGCTGGTGACCCTCACATCAGTTGGTGTGATCACGTCACTTCGTTCATGAAGTTCCTTTGCTGCTGGTGCGAGTTTCCGTATTACGTGCAATTGGATAATGCTGATGCAGAGCTATCAGTCGTGCGGTTTTTTGGTGCCTCGCTCAGATATCACGCCTGCGGTTATCACTGGCGAAGGGCTACCTCCGTGCCACTGCACAGACAATCGCCACTCAGCTCAACTAAGAAAACCGCTTTTCGCTCCGAATTCATTGGGCATTGAACAATCAGCGTATCTTCCTTGTGTCCAACGAAGATGTCTTTCACAACTCGCCGCCTATCGATTGACCTTGGCAACCCTTTCAGTGCCAACGATCTCCGACATCTATTTCTTCCAAACATGCTCAGGGTGCTGCTGGTTTTTCAGCGGCCATCATGCCGCGGAAGATTTACCTCGATTCCGCCCTGATATACGCCGACAGCGATGTCGATCACCCTCTCCTTGAACTGTGGGACGACTCTGGTGTGGCTATGCAACCAGAACTATTACCTGTTAATCATCGCGGAGAAACTGACTCAAGTTCAGAAAACTGCGAGGATCAATCGAGTCTGTGTAACGAGACCATGAACATGAGCTCCAGGCGGTGCGCTGATCTCAGCATTACTCGGAGCGACACTTTTGCTTCTTTTTGAGGTAGACGACATGTAGAGAGCAGTCCGCTTGAATGTGAGTCATTTCATCGGTCAACCATGATCGAGCATGTTCAATACGACGTCTCTGATTATTCCTTGAAGCCGCACGTGCGAACATTGATTGTACGCAGTCTCTCGGGAATCCTGACGATTCTGTCCATGTCTGCAGTAGCGGCTTTCTCGTCAAGCATGAGGAGAGGATCAAAATGGTTGATGGAGGTGAGGTCGAGGAAAGGCCAACGTGACGGGAAGGCGATGTTCCATCGTGCGTCGCTCGTCGTCAGCTCAGCTTCGCTCCGACCGTTATTCATCAGTATCTTATCTTGCCGGAATGCAACACCGTGCACATCAACGTCAACGGTCACGATCACGATCGCATGCAGCTCGATGAAGTTTCTCTGACCAGCGGTTCATGAATTGGTCGCTCTGTGGACTAGCACTGTCTAGATGCCTGGACGTTCGGCGCGTGAGATGGCTGTTTCTGTTTGCAGATGTTCCTGGCCTCACGGATGTGGTGTGAATGCGGTGCGTCGACGAACGCTTCCTGTTAAACCCTGCGCTGTGAACATGAGATTGATCCTAGGTATTTAGGCGCCTAAATGGCGATGCATTTCCTGCCTGCGTGTGGCGGACCGCGGCCGCCCATCCTGGGCAGGCTGTGATGATGGTATAGCGAGCCGCACACTAGAAGCGTACCCTCAGCAGCGAGGACAGATAGGCTGCTTCATGGTCGCACTCGTGGTGTCCGAGCCAGTGCGGAGATATGATCGCCTTGATGAAACACGGGCGACGCGGTCTGATACCATCGATCCGATACCATATTCTGAAAAGAAGTGAACGCGGCAAAGGACGGCACGCCGAAGCCTTACGCCTTTCCCCCCCTCTGCTTGGCAGTGACCGCGGCGTTGAAGTGCGGTGCGTCCACGATGCTATGCAGAACACTGGTCGTTCCGTTCCCAGAATCGTTGCGTACTTCGAAGCGGCGCAGTAATGTGCGCAAATCCTTCTAGTCAGGCGCTGTATATGGGAGATTCAAAGAGCTTCACGGATGTCTACCCGTCTGCAAGTCTGCATGCTTGATGCCCATGAAGGTATGAACGCTCGTACCGATTCGGAAAAGATGAACTGATCGTTATATGCATGTCTTGCCTCGCGTTTTGTCTGCAGCCCCCCAGATACACATGGTCGTGCCTCATGTGTGGGTTCCAGAAGATATCGCATACGGAGGCACGTTGCGATGCGATGAGATGGATACATATATCTGAAGAGTTGACCTGGAAAACCACACTGATTACCATCTGCCATCACTCGACACGCACGCTATGGCGTCCTCCGAACAGCAGCTGAAACACATCACGAAAGCTTCAGGGGACAATGTACAAAGGCTTGCACTAGTGGTGAGTGGAAAAGCTCTGTGCATGTGTCGTTGACGCTTTAGCTTTATGTGCTATGCTGTGTAAGGTCAATGGCGGAGTAGGGCCGGTCACACTGGCTCGCCCGCAAGGAGCGAGGAGACCTCTGCCGCAACTTCCGATCGAGGTGTGGGAGAACGTGATCAATCATCTGTGGGATGCCCAGCGGACTTTGAGGCGGTGCACCATTAATGTCTGCCGAGCATGGTACCCTCCCAGTCGCTTCCACTTGCGCGTGCAGATCAAGATCAAGAGTGTTGAGGATGTGAAGGCGTATGCAAAGATGCTGAAGCAGACGCCGAAGTGGTCGGGGCGGGCGCACGATATGACTATGATCATTACCAACAATTGATAGATCTGTCAGCACTGTGGCCGGCGGCGATCATGCTCGCTCCCATGCTGCCCCGGCTCGAGCGGCTCACAATTTATGCTTCAGCGTGGGGACCGTCGACGATGCATAGCGACACTTGATATCGTATGTCGTCGCTTCCTCAGACGATTTTATAGGTCTGCCTAGGGGAGACAAACATCTTCCTGCATCTCTCCGCCTTCTCCGTCACTCGCCTCTATCTCAATATGGTCACATTGCCGTCAATAACTGTCTTCGCACGCCTCGTCTCCGCCCTGCCAGCCCTGGTCTGGCTCATACTTTGCAACTATCTGGTCTTCATACACGACCACTTTCACCATGATACATTTGGTTTGTTTGAAAATCGCGTCAAGATCAGGTCCTTGTGGCTCAAGCCAAGGGAACGCGTATCAGAGACATTCATAGACTTCCTTGCTCATCCTTCCATCTCGGGTCACTTGCGAAGACTCATCCTCAACAGTGCAGCATATGATGACCCATTCACTAAATGGCAAACGCAGCAAATGCTGAAGATTGGCTCTGGCTCACTCTTGGATCTGCGATTGGAAATGGAATACTACGACCCATTCGGCGGAACAAAGACAGAGGTGTTTGCTGCAGGTGAGCACTCTGGTTTCATGTAAGCATCTCCACTAACCAAACTCTCTCTAGGTTTAGCTCGGTTATCTTTCCGTGACCACACCTCATTGCAGAGACTACGGCTAAAAATTTACTCATGTCACGCAATATTTCAACCTGAGCACATTGTGTCAAGTGTTGTGTTCAGTCAAGCCAGACCAACTTCGAGAAATCGTGATAGTTTTCACTTGGTTTCCACGTCACGCTGCAGTCAGCGGGGCGAAGGAGGAATTGAAAAGGTTGTTTCAAATCTACGAGCCCGCCCATCACGAAGAAATGGACAATCATTTTTCATCTGACTCATGCAGGATGCTGAACAAAGTAGAATTTCCACTTCTACGTTTTAGCACTCGTAGATACGAAAATAGCAATGCGGCAAAAGCAGCGGCCAAGGAGCAGTGGAGGCAGCAACTTCCACCATTATTCCCACAACTGACCGAGCGTGGTATCTTCCGGTGAGTATCTCACATTTTATGTCTACACCCACGCGTTCATCTGCGTCGTGACATTGGCACTGCAGCGCCACAATGGGGGATCTTCCTGCGGAAGGAAAGTTTTGACCATCGCAGCCGTTGTATCTCCAGTAGATGCTTCCCGCGCTCGTGGTCTTGTCTCCACTCTGGCGACAACGAAGGGCATGCTTAAGTGGCCTGCGAATATGTCGACCATCCTCTCTCCCGCTCTTCGAAGTGTCATACGGTCCTGCACGTTCTGGGTTACGTAACGCAATTCCTTCCCCAATCCCCTAGTCCACATGTATCACGCGCTACTACATAACATATCTGCGCATTCCAGCATTCGGTTTCCTGCATACCGCCACCGCCATCCGACACTCAGATATCTTTGTTCTCCTTGTCGTCCCCAACCCTTTCAAACCGCATGCTCCGTCAGCAATCGTGTATCTCACGACAGCTACGTATCCCATCGATACATCAAGTATGCGCTATCCGCTGGAATCAACCCACGAGGTCCGGCCAGGCGATCTTAGCCAGAATCTTTCAAGCGACATCTAACCAAACATCGCGTCGTCTTCACGACAACGTTAATGACAATCAATTCGATGGGTATCATTCGCAGTTGCGGGAGGACAGGCTCCGACTCGGGCCAATGACTCGTGATGCCACAGCGTAACGACCCTCATATATCGACCACGGCCGGAACGTACAATGTCAAGGTAGCCTCGTCGTGCGATTCATCGTGGCGACACAACAGCGACCAGACAGCGCGACTCGAATTCAAACCAACAGCTTTCGCGACAAGTACCTTTCAACGGCCGAACGCGCAAATGAACTCTCACGTCCTCTTTCCCTGCAACCCGCGGTTGCTCAGTCAACCGCCTTCCCCATTCGGATGAGCTCGGTCCTCATCTCTCTTCCATACCCAACTCGAACGCGTAATTCCTAACACGGCGCACGGCACGACTACCAGTACCAGCCATCCCGTCAGCACAGCGCTCAAGAAACGACACACATTCGCTCACCTTGATCATCATGAGCGCGAACCCGCGCACGGAACGTACGTGCGGAACGTCCATACCCGTGAAGGTCAACACATACGAGTGGCCTCTCCTACGCGCGTAGCGGGGTCGGCCCTTCTTGACCCAGCGCCCCGGCTGGAACTTCCTCATATCAAAGCTTTCAGAACGCTCGGGGCGCATTCATGAAATGGACGGGGACGGTATCCATCCGGCCTGCGCAGACGGTAACGATTTCGACGCATGGGCGCGGAACGCCGCTCGCACAGGAGATGGAGAGCGGCATAACGGTGTCTTCGATGGCCCACGGAGCAGTGTGTGAATAAGAAGGGTGGAGTCACGCAAACGTAGGAAGTGGGGTTTGACAGCGGGCCACTGCGAGTTCGATGACCTCGGGATGCGACCACAGCGTCTATTGGATAACTGCATCAAGGTACACGAGCGTGCGAACTAGCCATTCCCGCGTCGAATAGATGCCTCATCAAGTGTACGAACTGCTCACGTAGCTTGCGCTGGACGCCAGGCTGCTCGCAAAACTCGTCGATCTCAATGAGACGCCACTGCATATCTTGCGGATTTGACATCAGGATAGTGGGAGACCTCGACAAGAAGTGTTGCTGGAATAACTGGATCAGGTCGGGGTGTTCAAGGAAGTGTCGTGATGAATCGGAGTTGTGTGGCCTCACTGAATGTTGTCGCATACCCGGCATGTTTTAGGACTTTATTTAGTGATAGCGCGACGTAGTTATTGTTCCACGGCTTGTATGTAGTACAGGAATCGGAAACGGACTTTTATAGCACAGCGTGCATAGCAATATTTTTCCACTGAAGAAACCGTGAAAATATAGTAAAAGAATATAAAGCCCTGCCTTGGAGAAATATTGTGCACATGTTTTCATATTTGGGTAGCACATGCCCATATATAGCAATTTAATGATGGAGGAAGCTTCAATTCCTTCACCATTTTCCCAAATCAAAGCTTAATATGTTTTCAGAGTTTCTCTACTGTTTTCAAATGGAAAAATGTTGCTATGCACGCTGTGTAGCTTCGCTCCGACTTCGATCAGCGTATCTTCCTTGTGTCCAACGAAGACGTCTTCCACAACATACCCATGACGTAGCAGGGTCCACTGTATAGTCTAAGTGTGAGTGATAGGGTCTGTAATGCAAGTGTAGCTGGCAAGCTTGTGAAGTATCAAGACGTGGGGAGCTCGCATACAGACTCGCGTACTACAGAGTCGAAAGGATGGCGCACTTTTCGGAACTTCACATCTGAGGACGTTGCAACGTTGAATGGGAAAATAAACATGTATGGTATAGAGCGGATTGTTTCACAGTCTGAACATCGTCGGATACATCATTCAAAAATTTCACTGTCGAGTAAAACCATAATACGAGAGTTCGTGATAAACAAACCGTTATGCGGAAGGGGGAAATTAGCACGGCAATCGTTGCTTTCAGCACTACTGCGAATGGAAGATGCATTGACATCGAGACATCCTCGCATCGAGGTCGACAGCAGCTTCCTGATCGCAAAGCGATACAAATTGTGTTAGAGCATGAGTATGCGGGAACATTCGCGCAACAATTGTCGGTACAAATGGTGCATGCCCCCAATTCGTACAAATCGAGCCTGCATAGCACTAGCTGTTATCGACTATAGCCTTGAGAATACTGGTCGTAGGGCTGCTGCTGCGGTGGGTCGCCTTGGTAGTGATATGCACTTTGTTGCTGCACAGGAGGCGATGGCGAAGCATATTGCGATTGATATGAAATCGGCGGCGGAGGAGGCGGCAAAAGAGAGCCTGCATGTTGAGATTTGTTCGCATACGACGGCTGCGACGGAGGAGGGTACAGAGGCTGGTGCTGCGGTTGAGAATATATTGATGGTGCAGATTGTGCATACATCTCTTGTTGGAAGGGGGGAGGTTGCTGCTGTTGCTGAGAAGTAGGGTACTGTTGAGGAGGTCGCGCCGGCGGCGGCTGTGGCGCACGTGTCGAGTGTGGCGAAGGGCTACTACTAGTGCCGAACATACTCAGGGAGGCGTAAGGATCGAGGGGCGGTGCTGAGGGCGCATATCCTCCTTGGAAAGTCGAATTACCTGACGCAGGAGGCGGATATGGCAAATTTGAGGGTTGGGGTGGTGATACTGTAGGAGGGGGAGGATATGGTGTCCTTGACGGCTGAAGTGGCGGTGGTGTTGGGTACTGAGCAGTCGGTGCCGAGCCGAGGGACATCCATGAATTCTGGCCTGGAGGCGGCGGCGGAAGTGGCGGCGACAAAGGCCCGTTCCGACTGCCCTGCAAGTTCATAGATGCGAAGGAGGACTCGAAACCTGGAGGCATTGAAGAGCTCTGTGACCGAGGCGGTGGTGGAGGAAGCGGTGGCTTCCGCGTCGACGACGACGTGACACTCGGTTGAGACAGCCTGCGCTCCGTCTCGGCTTGCGCTGCGAGCGCCTCGCGCTCACTTGCCCTTTCTGACACAAATGACTTGACGTTTCGCTTGAGACCTGTCGTCAGTTCAGTGAGTTCACTGTAAAACTGTAGCCCTTTTCTGCAGTCAGAAAGAAATTAATCGAGTACACGTCATAGTTCATGATAACAGAACATACGCAAGGCCATCCCGCACTTCCATATACCCATCGCGAGCCCGTGAGAACCGGCGTATGGTGTCTTTCTTCCGGCGCTCTCGCTCCTCCCACTTCTTTGCACCCGGTCCGCGGCCTGCAAGGTCTCTCAAGCCGTGCCAAAGTGTCGACAACTCCTCAAGCGTGAGCTGCTCGTGTTGCACTGTAGCCGCAAGACGCTGCTGATATGGCTTGAACTTCTCAAGTTCACCAGCAAACAAGCTGTTCTCGATACCACTGTTCCGGCGATTAAGCAGGAGCAAGTGTGAGACGTCGTCTGACTGGACCTATCAGTAAGGGCGAGTTTAGTTCCAACGCTAATGATGTATGCGTCGATACGGCAATCTCACCTTCTCTTTGAGATCTTTCAGCACCTGAGTCCTTTCGTGAGCAATCTTGTTCAGCCTACCCAGCCGCTCCTCGAGTTCGTCAACAAGCTGAGCAATCTTCACTCGCTCTTCCTCGTCTCGCGTCTCGCTGGTGACGTCCAAGTCCAGCAAGTTCTCTGATCCCGCTCCAGTGCCCTCTGTGCTCGCTCGGAACACCTCCTCAACCTGCGGAGAAAGCAGCAGGCGGATCTCGCTCTTGACGGACTCCCAGAGAGCAACAACTTGTTGATCGGACTGGGCCGCTGCCTCTAGCGCGCTGTTGTGAGCCTTTAGGTCTTGGCGCAGCGGCTTCGTCAGGGAAGCCGAAGGTGCCTGGGTCCACAAGTGATCATACTTAACGCGCATGGCTTCGCAGTTTTTGCTCTCAACCTCCAGTTCTCTGCTTATACCGTCGAGCTCTGCCTTCACAGCTTCTTTGAGCTTATTAAGCTGCGCGATAAGCGAGTCGGCACCCTCGCGCTCTTCCATGACGCTGATATCTTCGCGCCACCGGCGCACCTCGACGGGCACCTCATCTCCACCGCCGACGCCGCCCTCCGCGATCGCCTTGAAGCGCACGAGTCCCTGCTTCACGCCCAAGGACTCTAGGGCACTCTTCACTTCCGCGTCCGCGTTGTCCGCCTTCTCAACCTCGCTCCGAACGAGCTTGGCTTTCTCTTCCGAGTACACACTCGCACTTTCGTGCACGCTGAGCGGAATAAGTCGCACGAACATGTCCGTACCAATCACTTTCTGTACATCTGGGCTCGCATACACCTCCTGGATGGTGATCGGCGTCGCCACTGCAGCTTTCTCCAGTTGCGGCAAGGCTTCGGGTGCGGGTAGCACAGCATTGTAGATGAGGTCGTTTTCTCTTTGCGCTGTGTTCTTCTTGTCCGTGCATAATGCGAGGTGAGTCTTGGTTAGATCGAGTAAGGTAGAACCTGCATCTGGTGGAAGATTGGGCGACATCTGGGTGACGAATGTGGACGCGAAGGAGGAGGCAGAACGATTCGCTTCTTTGGCCGCCGTCTCTGCAACAGTGAAGCGTACAAGCGCATCTCCATGCTTGCCCGCAGCGCTGTCTGCAAGGCCTCTGTGAAACTGAGCCAGAGATGTGAAGTACTTGGCCTTCGCCTACGATTTGCGTGTAAGTAGGATCGAGAGCTACTCGCGAGATCACCCATACGACGCACCTGGATCACAGTAACCCAATTGCGGTCGAAGATACCTTTGCCCATGAACTCCTTCACTTCCTCGCTAAGGGATGTGTACATGAACGCGGCCTGAGCTGCAATCTTGGCCACGAGCGCGTTTCCCTTCTTCTCATCTGTGCACTTCTCGAAGAACACTTCCGTGGCCTGGGCCATGATTATACCGACAAGGAATTTGACGACTTCACGGCTCAGGTCCGTTGATGGCGCGTGCAGAAAGTTGTCATTGATGTAGGTGAGCATACCTGCGCAAGTGCGGAAGTAGTAGAATGCCCGCTTCAGACCCTCAGGATCCGCACGATTCTGGGAAGCAGCAATTGCAGAATGTGTAGCTGCGATCTGGAATATGATGGATGCCTTCTCGTACGCGATGGAGGTCTGTGTGATCAACTTGTTCGTGAACGCATCCCGCCACGGGAAGTTGACTCGGATCTCTGCAAAGCGCAGCTCCAGCAACTCGAGCTGTCCGAAGTACTTGTACAGGAGGTCCCGGGCTTTGAGTGAGACATCAGTGAATGCGCTGTTGCCTCAATGCATACGAACACACCTGTCATGTCACTGCCCGCGCCCTTGACGGCATCCTGCCTGCATCTCTGAAGGTTCGCGCACTCCGTAGCGTAATTATCCGGGTCCTCGCCATACGAGTGCGAGATTGCATTCCGAATCGGCGTCGTCCAGTCCGCCTCATCCGTGGACTTCTTTGGGATGGATACCATAGGTGAAAGATGTGCCATGGTGGTGGAGTTAAGAGACGAGGGTTCGGACTAGTTGACTGCGCCCGTAGGATGTCGTAAGCTCGGCTTTGCCGGAACGTGAACTGGAGAGAAGATAAGGGTATCTGACGGTGCTGTGCTCACGAATCAAACATGCATATGAAATGAGAAGAAGTCGACTCGACGTGCTCCAAAAGAGATGGATATCTGGAATGGTCAGTCACCACAGAGCAGTGACCCAGTCACTTGTAACTCCGCTGGTACTTAGGCTTCAACTGATTTGTACGGGAGCTTAGATGTAATTTGTAATGGTGTGATATTTCGGTTACGTTGAATTGTGACCGCGGGCTTCGAACGGTGGCACTACATAATCCACCGCCTTGGAGCCACTCTCAGCCGTCACGATCTCTCTCTTTCCTTAACAATGCGCGTCCGAACGCTTGAAATCCGCTGGCACGATAGCAAGCCCATCTCTACCTGCGACTTCCAACCCGTGTCGTTCAAAAAGGCGCGTCCCGCGCACGAGAAGCACTTCGCGACGCAAGCATACAGACTAGCCACAGGAGGCGAAGACAACCATGTCAGAGTGAGTGCACCTGATAAGGCCTGTAGAATTATCAACGAACTGTGTCTTCAAGTTATGGATGGTATACCCGAACATACTGCCTCAGTCTATAGTGGAGAACTCGTCGAGTTCGGCCACAGTCACTCCAACTCCACGCCCACCAAGGGTCGAGTATCTCGCCACCCTTAATAGGCACTCTGCCCCTGTCAATGTCGTGCGGTTTAGCCCGAATGGTAAGTCTTCGTTGAATTGGAATACCATGACGCTGAGGGTATGCGAACAGGGGAGCTGATTGCCTCAGCCGGTGATGGTACATTTCGCGATTCTGATTGATCTAGCACGATGCCCTGACTACTGTATTGCAGATGGCATGATCATCATTTGGTCACCTACTGCAAACCCTCATGCAAGCAGCTATGGCAGCGACCTCACTCCTGAGGAACTTCAATATGAGAAAGAACACTGGAAACCGCGCACAACATTCAGGTAGCGATCGTTCGGCTTCAGTATAGACCTGGCACCTGACGTAAACGAATAGGTGCACAACAATGCAAGTATATGATCTAGCGTGGAGCCCAACTGGCGAATATATAATCGCAGGCAGCACAGACAACTGTGCCCGAATATTCACCGCCGAAGGTCAGTCGAAAACGCACGTAGTCACACCGACTTTTGATTGATGTGTGGCAAGGTAATTGCATTCACGAGCTCGCCGAGCACAACCACTACGTACAGGGCGTAGCGTGGGACCCTCTGGATGAGTACATAGCCACTCAGAGCAGTGACCGCTCGATGCACATCTACAGCATCTCGCGGACGGACGATGGGCTGGAAGTGCACGCGGTCGGCAAAAACACTCGTATCTCACACAAACATAGTCGTACGCCGCATTCACGCACGCGCAGCCGACCCCGGATGTTCCGACGGGAGTCAACCGCGAGCGAGACGGAGTCGGTGATCACGACTGCGAGCGAGCAGTTCATAGAGGAGTCCATTGCATCCGGTTCCGGCGTCGGGAATCAGCTGTTGACGCCGACTACGTCCGTGCCCAGCACGCCGTCGACCACAATGTTCCCGCCGCCATCCTTGGAACATACCCCATCTCGCCGGTCATCCTTCAGCGGGTCCAATGCGGCAAATTCGCCTGCTACATCCCATCATCGCTATGGTCGATCACCCTCGCCCATGCCTGCACTTCCGGCCATCCGTCCACAGTCAGTCTCAAGCTGGGCGTCTGTGAAGCTATATGGTGACGAGAGTTATACGAACTTCTTCCGGCGCTTGACATTTAGCCCCGATGGAGGGCTACTGCTGACTCCAGCCGGGCAATTCGAGGACCCTTCGGTTGTTCCAGGGTCTTCAAAAGGCGGAAAGGACGAGCAAACCACCCGAGGGAGGAAGGGACACCCTTCTACCACCCCAAATGAGACAAACCAATCATCGACGTCCTCAGTGTATATCTACTCCCGTGCCAACTTTGCGCGACCTCCAATAGCCCGCCTGCCTGGCCACAAAAAGGCGAGTGTCGCGGTCCGCTTCTCTCTCATCCTCTACGAGTTGCGCTCTGGCGTGTCCGGCGCTGACCAGCCTGCGGAGCCAAAGACCGTGCTGATTGAGAAGGGTAAGGAGGAGTCAGTGAGCGTCGACATTGCCCCTGCTGCCCTTGCAGGAGGCTCAAGCTCCCCGATGAAAGCTGGCCCGAGTTCGAACGTGACGTCAAACATCGCCGCGCCGTCGCCGCGAATTGCCATACCGTCTGGGCCGCCGGCATCCACGATGCCCTCTCCTGCGCTGTCGGCCTCAGACTCACTCAGGCCGCCCACGCCTTTGACATCTAGAGGCGGAACGCCCGCGATTACATCTACACCGACGGGCTCTGTCTTCTCCTTGCCGTATCGGATGCTGTATGCGGTCGCGACGATGGATACTATTACAATATATGATACTCAGCAAGCTGGCCCGGTGTGCCTTCTCACAAAGCTGCACTATGACGAGTTTACAGATATGACTTGGTACGTGTTCAAACGCATGAAGTACATCTGACGAGCCGCCAAAATTAACCTGCATATCCAGGTCTGCGGATGGACAGTGCTTGATGCTTTCCTCCCGCGATGGCTATTGCACCATCGTCGTGTTCGATGAGATTCTGCCGACGTACCACACCCAGCAGCAGACATTGCAGCTTCAGTCCATCGCACATCACCATTCGTTGCCGCTTACCACTACATCCACGTTGGCCACCCCACTCTCGACACCCTCCATCCAGCCTGTCGGGTTACCCGCCATGACTTCTGCGGTGCCCGGCAAGAGGAAAGTGGAAGTGGAGGCCCCGCTGACGCCTGCGCCGAGCGTGGACGAGAGCGTTCTCGGTACGCGTGAGGCAGACGACCCGTCCGCCCTACAAGAGGGACCGGAACCCCCGAAGAAGAAACGACGCGCGGTGTTGACGCGTGTCGGAGACGTTGGGTCATGAAACGTCTGCATTGTTGGTACAGTGCGTGTGCATGATCTGCGATGGTTATCTACTGTGTTCGAGGTCTTCCTGTACCCCTTCTCTCCGACGATCTACCTTTATAATACCATCCTTCGACGTGCAGTAATCCGTTTTTGGGCTCGTTTTGTATGGCATCCAAGTAGCTTGCTGAAAAATCTTCGGTTCCGACGATTTAGCGTGTCATCGCACAGATTAAATAGTGTACAGATAGCAAGGTAGTGAAGACACGAATGCAATGCATTGAGTAGCGAGATAATACAGAGAGCATGATACAGAACGCCGTCTCCATGGCTTCAACCTGTCTTGTTTTTGCTTCTCCTCCCAACCTGCGCCTGGAAACCTGTCTTGATAGCGTTGACGGACCGCCGCGAGCCGCAGGACTCGCATGACATGAAGTAAATGCGATTCTCCTTCGTGAGCAGCGTATCTGGTGATTTGCATGTCTGACATGTGACATACTCCTCTGATATAGTACCCTGAGCAACTTGCGCAATCTAAAGTGCAAAAAACCACTTACTAATGTAGCGACGGAGCACATGCTCGATCTGCTTTTGCACGAACCTGCCTCTGATGACCAGTCGGCCCGCCCCATCGACAGAGCCGGTTGTACCCATTTCTGCGAACATAAATTGAATGACATGCTCCGGCTGCCTGTGCATTCGCTTGCAGATATCCGAGATGTTGACGAAGATGGTCTTCTTGTTGCCTTCACGCATGACATCGGGAGGCGCAATCGTGTATCGCTTGCCGGTAGAGTTGAGCAAGGCGGGATTCGATGCGTGTAATTGAGCGTAGAATCGGTGTAGAAGCTGTAGCCCGACCATGTCAGTGAAATGGAGAGGCGTTCATTGCATTGAACATGCACCTCCAGATATGTGTAATCACGGTCGCTGTTCAACCAGGGCTCAGTGCCAGACTCCGTTACGGCAGCGGCTCCGCCCTCTCGAGCGAACGGGTCTTCGCCCAACTCGGTCTCGTCATACTCAGCCACGGCACCCTCTCCACCCTCCTCCTCATCGGCGTTCTTCGCTTTTGCCTCCCCCAGCTCCTTCTCAAACGCCTCCATAGCCAGAGTAGTCTTCTTCTTGGATAATTTCTTCTTCTTCTTCAGATCAGAGAAGTCCAAGTCCTCCGACGCAGCTGGTGCCGCGGTCGGCGTAGAAGTACCAGAGTGGTCCTCGGGCTACGCGGTATGAATAATCGTTAAAATAATATGATAACGCTCATGTTAGCGGTCTGCATACCAAGTCAAGCGGGATTTCCTTCTTCTTTTTCTTCTTTTTGAGATCGCCAAACATTGCCTTGAAGTCCTCATCATCCTTCTCTTCACCGCCGTCTTCCGGGCTTCCCTCAGACATGCTCTTCTTCATCTGTTCATGCACTGTAGCGGGGCCCATATCCACCGCATCTCCGTTCGCAGTGTGGTTCTCAATCGTCGCAGGTGCAGGGGTCGTCGGGTCGGCATCAGCACCGAGGGGGTCTTCCGAGAAAGCGACCTGCTTCTTCTTCCGCTTTTTCAACGAAGGGTCGAACAAGGGCTCTTCTGATGCCATGATGCCAATAATCTAGTAGCAGATCAATATCAGAAACGTCAGGGACAGTGAGGACGCCGATAGCGAGAGTGAGTCGCACTTTGTCCAGGCTCTGTTGAGTCAAATCCCGGAGCGTGTGAAAGAAAGACAGAAAAGGATATTCAATGTGTGACGACTGCGCCCGAGTCTGGCCTTCCGCCCTCTCCCGCCCTCGCCTGGCAGCATTGATCACCTCTACTTCTCTGCATCTCTCCGCCATGCTTGCTAGGCAATCGCTTGGTCGTCTCACGACCCAGTCGCGTGTGCTGGGGGCCGCGCCCACTGGTGCGCGTAACATGGCCACCCTTCGTGAAATCGAGTTGCGTCTCAAGTCCGTCAGGAACATTGAGAAAATCACGAAGGTAATGATCTCATGCAGGCCCGCGGTCAATTTAACCACTCATGCATTATGCATTAACCAGTCCATGAAAATGATTGCGTCAACGAAGTTGAACAAGGCGCAACGCGCCATGGTGGCCGGCAAGCAGTACGGGATTGCGAACGCGGGTGCGTGTGCAACGCTTGTCCACGCAGGCGGAGATATTCACGGGCACCTTGGTCGCCCAACTGTTTGTTGTGAATTTGACAGAGGTGTTCCAGAACGCACCCCCACAAGAGGCAGCCAAGCGCAAGCTGTTCATCGTCATGTCGTCAGACAAGGGTCTTTGCGGTGGTATCCACTCGTCCGTGACGAAGGCGACACGTCGCATCTTCGCAGACAAGGGGCAGGTTGACCCCGAGTCACCCATCATGATCATTGGAGACAAGCCCAAGGCGCAGCTGTCGCGTGCATTGCCCAAGAACATTGTCTTGACGTTCAACCAGATTGGACGCGACATTCCGACGTTTGCGGACGCAGCGGGCGTCGCGGACCTCATCATCAAGAGCGGCGTCAAGTACGATGCGATTTCAATCGTGTACAACAAGTTCGTGTCCGCAATTTCGTACGAGTCGGCGGTCATGGAAGTCGAGACGGAGGAGACACTGAAGAGCTCGCGTACGTGGATTGATGCTGCCGCTATGCACGTGTTCCTGACGCGACAACACGATAGCGGGCTTCAGGGCGTATGAGATGGAAGACGATGTGACTAAGGACCTTGCTGAGTTCGCGCTCGCGAATGCCATCTACGCCGCGCTCGTTGAGGGCCATGCGTGCGAGCAGAGTGCTCGGTGGGTAATACTTGCACTGCAATAGGAAGCCGGCTCACATACAAACCAGTCGCAATGCCATGGACAACGCGTCTAAGAACGCGGGTGAGATGATCAACAGGCTCCAAATGCAATATAACCGTGGTCGCCAGGCTGCCATCACGAACGAGCTGGTCGACATTATTACCGGTGAGCGCAATGGAGCAGGAATTACCAAGCAGGGGACTCATCCTTCTGTTTCACAGGTGCGAGTGCCCTGTAAGTGGTGCTGGAGAACACGTGCATGCGGTAGAGTAGTAGATTGTCTGTATCGCGTCCGAGTTGGAATCTACGCAAATTATCCAACTGATTCACCATTTCCGATCGTCGGAAGAGTCCGGAGCGTGCTGCATACTATCTTCCGGATAGTTTGGGAGCTGTTGACAGATGCAAAGGATGCCAGTCCGATGGCGTATGAGTGGCTGAGTACTGGTTTTGCTCATTTGCTAATGCGCATCAGGTATAACAGCGCGGTCAACATCCAGGATCGATGATACCCTCTCATTGCCTTGTCACCGCATTTCCCGAAGAGCAATCGTTAACATCAATCGTTAGCTGACTTATTAACCCACACATTTTATCAACGGTCTGCATGGCCAGCTCACACATGCGCGTTCTCAATCGCTAAACTAGCAAAACACTCGGCGTCCTCAGATAATTCCGTCAACGCCTCTGGATGAATGCAACTGTCCCCGGCTATACCGGCCGTCAGTACTTCAGTGCTTGAGACGGGAAGGGTGGGGTTGGTCCGTGCTAGCAGTGAATCTCTCCGCAGTCCTTAGGACGCGTAGGCTTCACGAAATTGAACTTTCCGCACTCTTGATGTGCCCCGTTGAACTTAGGCTTTCTGCTGTTGTTGTTCATCCGACTGCTTTTGATGTCAAATGATACTGTAGATTGAGGTGGACACTTTCGGACCTCGTGTTGTCCGGCACGACTGCCTCGTCAGGGATGATTTGGCTCACTCCCTATGCACTGCATGGACATTTCGACATATTCCTGCCGTCGATACAATTTTGATGTAGGCCTCCGCGACATGTTCGTTATGAACCCCTGTCTCGCACCAGTAAGCACTGAGTGGCCGCAATCACCGAATCTATATATGGAAACAACTCAAAGGCAATAGCCTCCAATCCTAATAGGCGCAAACAACGTCGCGCATTCCGAGATCACGCTGCGGGTGGCCGACGGCCTCCCATTCACTCGCTCTCCCCAAGCACCTGCGGATAGCCAGTGAGATGTCTTCTCTTCTAGGGCCAATATCAGGCGCGCTGGTAGCAGGAGGTGTAGGTATCGAGACCTCCCAATCCTCATGAGGATACTTAGCTGACGAAGTAACAGATTTATTACGGCTTTTCCGCTATGATACAGACGCGGTATGTTTCAACGATTACATTCGCTCACACGATCGTTATAAATACGCTGTTATCTAGAACTGAACAGCACCGCGCGGAGTATGCGCATTTCATAGTCAAGATTGTCGTCAACTAACATAGCACCTTCAGCCTGCACAGACTCTCGCAGAGGCTTCTTGATGCACCAACCAGCATACCCGCCCCGCCTGCAGCAGTGCAACGCATCACTCATCACCCCCTTGCTTCCATGCTGAAGAGCCAGTGGAATGCACAGATTGAGACTGTGTTCCGGACCGCTAGGGGATGGGACAGGCGAGCCATAGACTGGACACGGAGGGTGCTGTATGGGGGAGATGCGGCGGCAGAGAAGAAGGGTTAAGTCATCGCTTCGCCGTGGCGTGTCTGAAATTGGTCATAGAGGGTTCGCCGTCAGGGCTCCGTAGGAATTCCGTCGGCTTCTATGTATTGTTGGTGTCCTTCGCCCTACGACACGTGAGTGGCTTTCAACGTTGGCTGCACGCAGGACTCATTTCATCAGAAGTCGCTGTAACTCCGAGAACAATGTCTATGAACATGAAAGCGTCTTCACATTTGCCTTGCGCAGCGGCGAGCTGCGGGCGTGCTCCAACCCGCTACTATCGATCATAGCACAAATGCTGCGTCTGGTGCTGTGTTCTGAATCGCAACGGAAATGAACGGCTGTACGTCATGAGAACACGCGCCGGTCAACTAACTCCTCGCGATGGGCACAGCAAAAACCTTTTCGAGCATCAGACTGTTCATTCAATCCGCGTTTGAGTGGAGCCGTCCGGAAAAACAGCGGTCTTCAACCATGAATTCTGCTGTCAATAATTTGACCTTTTCATGGAAATTTCGGCAGTCGAACCATCATTCAATCACTCAGGCCGCAGCTGCGCTCATGTCTGCCAAGAAACGACAAGAAGGAGCCCGCTATGGGGCGAGTACGAAAGCTGTCAGAAGCTCGTTACTCATCCATCTTACAGACGATTACTTTATCATCCTGTTCAGGCATTCTAACGAACGTTCATCACCCCTCAAGATTCGCCAGTGCGTTGCTCCACTGAATTGTGGTCTGTAATCTCTGGTCGTGTCAGTCTCTTCGGCATTCACTTCGGTCGCTATCGGGCCGGGCAATCCACATTGCATTGTAAGCATATGTGATCTTCGCTACTGGTAAGGTTTTACAATGCTACCGAATTCTTCCGTTACGACAGACTTCTGTGCAGCGAAGGGACACGGGGATCATCGACGCGATGCTGCCTCGATCGAATGCTCTCGCACGTTGCACACTGTCTAGTTAAGGGTCTACTGCGTGCTCGCAATCGCTCACTCAGTTGTCATTGGTTCTTCAACAACACCCAATTGTTGTGGATCAGGTTGTCACTGCATTCATGGCTGTCTGAGTGAAGGCTATCTGCCTCATCTCATACCTCACGAATCTGCTGGTACGGCATAACCAAGTCTTCTGTGGAGCCACAACCTCCCTCCGTTGACGTGGTGCTTTCTTCACCGAGCAACCCGTGGGTTGAGGGACTGGCATGCTTCTGCAAAGTAAACACCGCCCCCTTCCCTGAAGCTGTACGAACCTGCTGGTCCGGGCCGTGTGCACCCTTTACATGGCAGAAAGGGCGCACCAATGAATGTCTTCTTCAGTTCTCTTCGCGATGCTCCACTAGCTCTACGCTCAACGCTACCAATCTGTAGTTGGCCGGCTGCACTGCCATATTCAGGTGAACTCAGAATAGCAACCTGGAAACGCGTTTCGGTAATATGCTTCGAGTGTGCCGTGATCCTACATCTTCGATTGTTCTGACCGCGCAAGAAGCTTCGCAGGAAGCGCACGTGAAGCGAGCAGGACGTCAGGCGTCGCTGTCCCGAGCGCCCCGGCGATGCAGGATGTCGAGACCATGTGTCCACCGCTTTACTCATCTTCTGCACTCGATCAACATTCCTATGGCAGGCCGTTCGGCGACGTACAAATGAGGCTATGCTACGAGGACATTACGTTATTTCGGTAGGTAGACTCCCCGGTGGTACCTGAGCTTTCCAATGATTTGATATGTTTGCGCAGGTTCAGTCCTGAAGTGATTATCTATCCTTACTGCTGAATTTGTGTGGAGTATAGTCAGAGTAAGATCTCTGTTGTTTAGCTTCGCAGTAAGAATGCGAGATATTATCTCGTGACACTCAACCAAAGGATGAAATGCTGCTACTGCTGCGAAGCAAGAGCGCGGCGGCTCATGAACGTTCGAAGATCGTATCCTTATCTCTATCTCTGTCACCGATACAGCACCCACGGGGCGTGACAACGGATATGACGCGGGTCCTTCGGCGAGAAACAATCAAGGTCTGCTTGATGCAGACACGGGCGAAAAGATGACACAGAACGAACCGACTTCTAACAATAATCCGGTGAGCCATACGATACTGCTACCAACGAGCTCTGTCGGACAGTAACTATGCATGCAGGAATATGAACGGCGAATGCATCTGGCCCTTTTCGGATCAACATAAGCGCCATCGCGAGGTGCGCGCGTCGGCCTGCGCCCGAATGTTCATAGCTACCGGTCAACGTTAAGCATTACGTGATCTCGTGTCGTGACGTAGACGAGGTGATCAATCATCGTGACCTGGACGGACTTCAAGTTGAAGGACGCTGGAAGGGATGCATTACAGGCAACGTTTCCTGCGTTGCTTCTTTTCTTGTAATCGGTGATATTGACCATCCCTCTACGTCGCGGCCGCCGCTCTGTGCTGTGCTATGTCTGCAATCCGTTATCCTACACCTTAACACCGTCCGACGAGCCTTCTTTTTAGGTTACGTTCCGGTGACGACGCCCTTCGATCTGGAACCTGCGGCATAACGTTCTACGTTGTTGCATCCAGACATCGCTGACCATCCAGACCATCACTGCGCATGGTCTCTGATGCTCCCCTTGAACCGAGATTCAAGCATTAGATAGAGTAAGCAGTACGTTGGGTCCCGTGTCACCGAACAGTCGCTTATGAGCCTATTTCCGTATGTTGTTTACGAGGAACCGCGAGTGCTCGGTGTCTGGTGTCCCTTAGCCCTGGTGGTATAAAGAGGGCAGAACCTACTAACAGGTTTGGTTGAGTTCCCGGAGACCTTCAATCGCCCACTCTTCTCAATTCACTTATCACTGTTCGCTATGATGAAGACGGCCCTCAGCTGGGCCGCCCTCGTTGCGGCGATGACTGGTGTTGCTTCCGCTGGAGGCTCCCCTGGCTTGGCTCTGCCAAAGCGAGCCGACACTGGCGTTAGTCAGGCCGCAGCACCAGGAGTTTCTCCCTTCAGCTACGACATGAACACAGGAATGTACATGCAATCTCAGGTGTCTTCGGAGGCCGCGCCACAGCTTCAGTACACGACCGAGAACGGCGCTCCATACATCAATCCTTATGATGCCTGGCGCATAGGTGCCACAGGTCCGTTGGACCTACTGACTGATGAAACGTCAATAGCTGATTGTTCTACTCCTCAGGTCCCCTGCTGCTCGAAGATTATCATATGACTGAGCTGCTCGGGTCTTTTGACCGTGAACGAATCCCTGAGCGTGTCGTTCATGCCAAAGGAGGTGTGCATATCATAAATCTCAGCATCTGCCTCATAATGACACTGAACATGCAGCTGGTGCACATGGGTACTTCGAGGTGACGAATGCAACCTTCTGTAAACAATATACTATGATGTGCGTTCAAATATCTCCAACGTGCGCCCACGGCTGACCGACATACCATGCCAGGGACATGTTGAGTGAGGTGAGGCGTTTAAGTATACAGTGTATTGAAATGATTACTGATTTCCATGATAGGATGGCCTAACCACTCCAGTCACAGGTTTGAATCCTTTGCTGCGCATTTCGAGCAATTCTAACGAAATATTCAAGTTCGCATCAGCACTGTAAGCGGTGAGACCGGTGCTTCGGACGAGCTTCGCGATCCCCGCGGATTTGCGGTGAAGTATGCCTCTCCCTGGCTGAGAGGTCGCGTGTATCATAATATGACAACTTTCATAGATTCCGTACTCGCAAGGGCATCCTTGACATTGTCATGAACAGTGAGTTCACCAATCACAGCCAGGGGATCCTTGTTTGTTGACGGGCATTGACAGACACCCCTGTATTCTTTATTCGCGACCCGTCCAAATTCCCTTACTTCATCCATGTACGTTCTGTCGCGAACCGTGCAGATCGAAACTCTGTCTAAACCCTATCCACAGACTCAAAAGCGTAACCCACAAACGAACCTCAGGGACAAAGAGTGAGTAGTCAGTTTGCATAACGTCCACCAGGATTGATTGAGAAGCCTACAACAGCTTGTTTTGGGACTTCTTGAGCTCGAACCCCGAATCTCTGTATCAAACGATGATCCTGTTCTCAGACCGCGGTACTCCCTACGGCTTCAGACACATGAACGCCTGGACAGGTCACACATACCGGTCAGTCCCCTTGGCTCTTCTGTGCGAACGTTCCGCTCATTTTCGTCCGATGAACGTATCGCTACAGTTGGATTCAAGACGATGGCACGTGGCACTACGTGAAGCTATACTTCGAGACCATGCAAGGAGTTCGTACTACGTCCTGTCATTATTGCTTGTTCTGATAGCTATTGAAGGTCAAGAATTTCACCAACACTGAAGCGACGTACATTCAAGGTTATAAAGCTGTTCACTCACAGAGCATGATTGTTGATTTGTTTGATATAGGAGCGAATCCGGATTTTGCCACGCAGGACCTCTTCGAGTCCATTGCCAATACGTCCTTTCCAGGGTGGACCGTATATGCCCAAGTCATGACCCCAGAGCAGGCTGAAAACTACACGTGCGTTGGTCTTCCCTTTCCACAATCAAGCGCAAGGACGCGTCTGATGCAGACTCTCGGATGATCAGATACAATGTACTGGACTTGACAAAGTACGTCTGCCATCGTAATTACTGCAACATGTTTATCAACGTGCAAATAGGGGCTGGGATGACAGTATCCCCTACGTTGAGATCGGCAGAATGTACCTGACCCAGAATTCAGCCAAGTCCGTGTCACGTTCATGTTATCGTTGTTTGAGGATTGACTTGTGTTCCAGCTACTTTGCGGAGATTGAGCAGGCCGCCTTCTCGCCGTCGCACCTTGTCGACGGTTGGGCGCCTTCGGCAGACCCTATGTTGCAAGCTAGGATGTTTGCTTACTCTGGTGAGAGATAGCAAAGTCTTTTTGGGACAGTCCGTATTAATCTGTGTTCGCACCAGACACCCAACGTTATCGGTTGGGCATCAACCATATGGTAAGTCCCACTTGGCCTAACTCGTGATTTCCTACACTCACGTCTGACACGATGTAGCAAATCCCCGTAAGTCTCGCTTCCCACTGCTTCTCGTCTGAGACGCCCTACTAACACCACTCTCCTTGCTAGGTCAACGCTCCAATCACTCCAGTCGGTGAGGACTCGTGCGATGAATATTTTTTGACCTTGCGCTGACCCGCGAGACAGCGAACTTCGAGCGCGGTGGCAGGATGAACGTTGCCGGAAATCAAGGCACCAGACCCAACTATATGTCGACTATGAGTCGCCTCGGGCTCTACAACCGCACCTACACGCTTGATTCCCACCAGCAGTGGACGGTCAGCAATGCTTCACGTACCCAATGTTCTGTACTAAATCTTTGCGTTCAGGGAGGCGCCGTCCAGTCTTTGTCGGCGGTGACTGAAATCGACTTCGCATGGCCGCGCATGTTCTGGAACAGCCTTTCAGAGCAGGACCAGCAGAACCTGATCAGGCGAGTGTTTCAGCCAGATTTGAGCTTGCAAAATTTGCTGACAATGAGGCTCCAGCAATGTGATCGGCCATCTCGGCGAGGTCGTCAATCAGACCGTGCGGGAACGGCAGGTTGCGTTGTTCGCTCACGCGAACTACACTCTGGGCCAGGCGATCGCGCAGGGCGTCGGTGTCTCCCGAATCACCAACCTGACTTTCGCGTACGGCGAGACCTGGTACAATCACACGATCTACAGCGACAGCAGTACTCTGTTCTATTAATGGACGTTTGGCTGGAGAAGGATATGATATTTTAGTGCAAGGACCTTCCTACTGCTTTCGCGCTACGCTGTGGTCCCTATGACTCCTTACCATGTTTAACGGTCGATCTAGGCGATAGTATCTTTATCGCATTAATCATCTGAATATATGCTAGGACTTTCGTCGAGGTGTATTGTTGACAGCAGCAGACGTTCTGCACTGTGCGAAAGCAACACGGCACAAAGATCTAACGGGCTGTAGCACGATGACTGCATCCTTGTGGGTGGTCGTGGGCGACATCGCGGGACGTTCACCCCCGCTCTCTGAGAACATAGTCTCCGAGAGTGCGTGCCTGTGTTGTCCCATGGGAACCTGTATAGATGGACGTCCAGGCTTTATGGCCACTGGGCGTGCGAGTCGGATGAAGCCCTTAGGCGAAAACAAGGGAACCGATGCTGGCCAGGGAAGATGGGTGCCAACATACTCAGGCTTCGCGTGATCGTCATTGCATGCTGCCTTGTGGCGTGGCGTATGCGTGCTATTTGTAGGGCGTCCTCGTCCGAGAGTGTCTGCAGTCCACCGAAAATAGGTTGATAATGCATCGGTGTCACGAAAATAACGTGCGATCTGGACACACACGTCGCTATAATTGCAAGCCGAACACCAACCGCCTTGACTCTCGCTGGGATGTCAATCACATCACTGGCCAATAAATACTGCAGTACCGTCGAATATATACCGAGAACCTGAAATATAAAGATTACATCGTATGCAAGGCTGGCTTGCTGAGTCCACTGCCCATCGATATACATTACAACGCACCTCCGAGCCACCTCAAGCACTGTCACAGTACCAACTTCTGCTATTTCCCAGCAATCCGCTCAATCAGTCTTCACGTTCTCGTAGCCTCTCTCCACATAAGATGATCCCCAGCTAAACCAGCTGGTTCGCTTAGTCTGGGATGGCACTACCGGGTGTCCCTCGCCCTCCATATCGCTTGGGATCTCCACCTCCTCGAATGTCGACTTGCCAGTCCCACTGCCAGAACGCTGGCGAATTGAGGACGACTCGGACGACCTGCGCGACGACGAACTTGCCGAAGGCATCGGCACGCTTGATGATGCCTTAGCAGCACTGGTGCCCACATCCACATCGTCGTCTCCAACGTCATACGGCTGCGGCTCCGACAGCTCAGTGCGCTCCGCACGCTTCTGCGCACGAGCGGCTGAGGTCTGCGCTTGAGTCAGGAAGATCGTGCCCGAGGCAATGATACCAGGCCCGTAGTTGGCCCACAGGCCGCGCATGAGCTGCGCAGGTCCAGACATCGGGTCACCCAGAGTAGGCGGGGCACCCGCGTTCGCGGCTGCATTTTCTGCGATCGGTGCTTCTGCCCCAATGGACACGTTGGATTGACCGAGATTGGATGTGACGTGAGCCCATGCAGCGCGAAGCATGCGCTGGAGAGACGCATAGATATATGCTTTGAACTTGGCGAGGGCGGAATCGATCTCCCTCTCGTGCGATGCGAAGAAGGGACGCAAGTGCTGTCGGTAGAGATAGGCAGCACCTGCAGTCTGTGGAAGGGAGAGGTATAGCAGGAACACGGTTTTGATGGGGTAGTACAACGGCAGCCTGTCGAAGGCCACCGGCCATCGCTCAGGGTGTGGCAATTGCATAACATCCTTCGAGACCACGTACCAGGATACCAGCCATTCCGCCATATACTCAACAGCCACAATACACCCAAGAACGCTCCAGTACATCAACCATCGTTCAAGTTCCTCCTCAGAGGCAGGTCGTTGGGAGAGGGTCTTGTACGAGGCATAGCCCGGGTAGAGAAACGCTGCGGTTCCGCTTCACACAATGTTCTAAGTCATACGTCCATCCGTGCAGCTAGTCATAAGCACACCTTATGATCCTTGTCGTAAAGTATAACAGCAACATGATGAGGAATGAGCTGGCTGTATGTGACTGAGTGAGAGAGGAATGGCGGTAGCGGCGCTGCAAGCGGCCATAAGCCTCAATTTGGGCTGCTCGGATAATTGATCAGCTTGATCGCGATGAAAGGTCCACCTATACTGGCCATACAAGACTATGATCTAGCTGATATCAATTTTACCGTACTAAGTCCACGACTTTCCCTCGCCCACACCCACGACCTTCGAGCTCTCAACGCCTTTGCCACGCAACACACCATCAACCTGCTATTAAACTACGTAATCTTGTATCGATAGAGTCCACTTCACGCTCCCACAATAGCATAGGAGCCGTACGGGAAGGTAAAGATGGCCAACCCACTCAGCATCGTCGCGTCGCTGCCAGCTATCTGTGTCTCGTTCTTCACCACTCCCGCGAACACCGTGCCACGGAGCCCGTCAGGCACAGTGGTCGCACCGTTCTCGTCGATGCTCGTGTAGGTGACATTCATGTCGTGGTACCACGCCAAGTATGTCTGGCATGCCGCATCAGCACTGGTGCTGTTGTACGACACACTGATGTTCGAGCCCTTGGCCGGAGAAGAGTCGGAGACGGTCAAGGCAGGGAAGCTCGCCACCGGAAGTTCTGGGTTGCTGGACGGACATTCAACGATGAACCCGGCTGTGACAGGCGGTCAACATGAATAAATCACGGAGGCAGCAGACGTTAGACTCACAAGCAAGCGACCAGACACCGCTGAAGTATAGGGGTGTCTCGAAGTCACCATCCCAGGCTTGCTGCTTCTGCACCGCGGAGTTCACCCAACCTGCTTGGCGTGCCTCGATGTGAGAGATGGCCTTTTTTATGCGACGACATCAATTGTCATGCCTGGCGTTGCATTCGGTAGGCACTCACCAGAGAAGCGGTCAAGACGTCCTTGTCGTCAACGAATCTCGAGGCACCCATGTACGCAGCGGCGCCGACTTGCTCTAGGGTCTGAGAGAGCGACACCCACGACTGGACATCCGTGTAGGGGCTGTGGCAAGCGTAATGTAAGCCTTTTAAGCCCCTTACATAGCAATGTGAATACTGACTAGCTGTAGTTGCACGGCTCCGGGGCATTAGAGCCGAGCTGCTCCTGCAAGAAGGCGACGTGGACCTTCTCATGATCCGTGATCTGGCGGAAGCGACCGCGAACCCAAGCTTCGTACCCGGCATCGGCGAATGCTGCGGTATCAAACTGCGCCAGGCCTTCCTCGTAGAACGCGCGCTCGATATACTCAAGATTTAGTGCGAACTGCATGATGCTCGTGTCTGACAAGCAAATATCGTGAACTCTTGTCAGGGGCATGGTCACACAAGGGAAGTGTAGTAAAAGCTTACCTGACACAGGCGCAGGCGCGCTCTGCACCATCCATGCAGACGACAATCCCAGCAGCACATTCAACAGGGCGAGCATGTTGACGGTAGCCTACGAGAGAGCTGGTTCCTGAGGGTGTCGTTGGATGAATCCGACGATGGAGGAGCAGCAGGTCAGGTCCTCGCTTTATACTCAGCGTCGACGTCCGGCTGCTTTGCTCCATTATGGGAAGAAGCATCAGCCTGGGTTTGGCAGGGTCCGAAGCGACGCATTTTTGGCCTGATTTGCTGGGCATTGATCATCTTCTGGGTGCGATCTTCAGGAGTACGGCCAATAGTAGCAGAGTGGTCAGACCGTCGTGTAACTGGCTCCTGTCCAGCTATGTCATGCGCCGCCATCGCATCCCTTTCATTTGGTCCTATGGGGGCATTGCCTGCTGAGAAGCACACAGATTGAATTCGTACAGCGACTGTGCGACGTGGGCATGCCATAATGCATTTGTAGGCTCAGAACCAGCGGTCGGTGATGCACCCTCGAGCTCGTCGGCCCTACTGGTGCCACTTCACGCGTAATCATCGCCTGTTCATCTTATCTGATAATCGGGATGTGAAGCGATAGGAGACGGCAGGCCAGTTGAAACACGGCGGGGGTCTAGGAGAAGCGTCGCATCAGCGAATGAGCGAGCTTGCACGACCGGGGCATGTGCGCGAGCAGCGGGCGAATTCGCTGCTATTCGCTGAGGTCGGATCCAATCGCCGAATGTGCGAGCTTGAGACCTGCACGCGTCCGATGTCAGCAATCTACGCGAGATGGCCTCCCTCCGTCACAGGCACGGCGGCATCGGCCCCGTACTTCAGAGGAATGTTACGTGCCTAGAAAGCTGTGGATGTGGGCGGAGGTGCGAACTGTTGTAACCGTAGCCACCAAATAGACAAGCTTCCGATCCGCTGCGAACTCAGCGGGAAGTAGTAAAGCCAATTGGATCGTTGAAATGCTATTAAGCTTAGCTGTATTGGGCGACGTATGGGATGCTCATGAGAAATCCGCTTCGACACCTGCAGCTCACCAGTCATTGCTAACCAGACAAGTGCTTCTGCGAGTCCTTATAACCAATCGCGAAGAGCACGCTACTTGATGTGCATCCACTGGCGCACGACCACGATTGGGCTTGTGAACCAATCTGGAGACTAGCAGCTCATTGTAGCTACTGCTATTTGCAGCGTTCTGCTGGTGTAGAGTAGCGTATGAGAGAAGTTGCATGAGACGTGAGCGTCGCGTCTGCACAAGTCAGTGCCAGCTGATCTAACACCGCGATGATCTTGCCTCTCTCGATACTGATTATCTGATAACTGCCGCACTATCGACAAGGCAGACGCTCGCCACCACGACTCTCACTCACCGCATCTCCTCTTAATCGCTACTGAACCGTAGCTGTTGAACAGTGGTGAGAGCAATAATCTATCGAGGTACAATAGTTGGTATTCTACTGTGCTTTCTCGATGCGTTCTAGCCTCATGCCGCCATCACATCGAGCTCTATACCAACGTGCTCGTCCGAGAGCTTTCCAGGGAGGTGCACAGGATCATGGTCTCGGTGGATCGTTCGGGTAATGTTGATCGTCAGAGGTGGACGCCTAAACGGTTCTCCCGATGCTTGGGAGTGCCCAGCCTCCAGAGTGGTGCTCTGCGACGGCTGTTGACGGCCCCTCCGCGACCAACCCAGTCCGACACGTACGTTGATCAGCATGAACGCGATACCAACGATCGGGCATGTGAGGTTGTTGACTAGATATTCGAGATTCGAATGAACCTCGATCGTCACGAAATAGAAGATCGTCCAACATCTGTTAACAACGGACAGGTTAATATGAGCCTACGCATGGAAGGTACTCAAGGCAAGTCTCGTACGTGTAGATGGCCGCGCTCTCAACCAGGATGGCAAGTGCTTTCTAAGTACGCAACCACATTAGGATGGACCATGGCGATGCTCATCGACTCACTCGGCGGCTGGCCCCACTAACTCGATTCGAGAAAGCATCCGTCCGCCAAATCTTCCATGATATAAGACCTGGTGAAACGTGAGTCTATTGCCCACAACATATGTCCCAGAGCACTTACTGGTACAATATACATTCGTGCTATGCCCGACACAAACAGTCAAACACCAAGCATCAGGCGCCAGTCAGGACCACGCACCAAAGCGTAAACACACAGTTGCCCGTGACCCAGCAATCCACACGTAATACAAGACTCTGGTCCTCCAGTGACATTGTCGACATGAGATATGTACCCGCAATACCAGAAACTACCCATAAATGAGATGAAGAGGATGAATCCGATCGGTGAACACAGTCAGCTCACCAATTAGCCCAAGCAGACTAAGGGCAGGCACCATCATCACCAACATATTGCCAACCCATATGACCCAGAGACGATAAACCTAAGACGAAAAGAGCTGAACGTCGAGATATATCAGGAATTTAAACGAGCCTACCAATATGGCGTCGCCGACGATGATTGTAAAAACAAGGACACAATTTTGAACAATCGCGGTTGTCTGCGAGAAATCTGCATAGAACTCTGTAGGTGCCCTGCCACCGTCGTACAAAACAAAGGCCTGAAACAGCTGATAGGCTATAAGCACCCAGTACTATATGAGATGAAGATGAACGTGCCGATTCCTGATGAGTAGAGGAAGGTTTCTCACCATAGTGACCGATAAGAGAAGGCACACGCATGCAATGAACGTTGGCGACAAGGAAATCGAATAACGTCGTAGTGAAATGCTGCTTCGCCCACCAGATTTTGATCGCTCATAGCGAAGGAAGAGCCAGAGAGACGCTATGCATAGGACGAGGAAGACGCCATAGAGGAAGCTATTCAGGCAGACCGAAACTAGAATTGCAGAGAGCACAGATACCTCAGCCATAGTCTAGCCTAGAGGTGTGAGGAGACTCCAAGAGAGTAGCGCGATCAGGGATGCTGGTGACTTTCTTATGGGGGACCGAAGTTTTTAGCTCTGCCCGGAGAAGACATTGTCGAGTATCCTCGTAGGCAATGCCAGCCTCTCACGCCATTTCATATTGGGGTAGGCAGTTACATCACGAATCAGCGACCATGAGAGAGCAGGGAATGACGACTAGCCAGGCGTATGCATGATGCAGACAATTGGCAGGATTGGACACCTTCGATACGTGTCATAGTGTGTTGGAAGGCGGTCTTCGATGCCAGGGCTTTTATGCAACTATCGTTGAGCGCGAGATCTAGAGTCGGTGTGGTTCGCCAAGGTGAGACAAGCACGCAGGTCGTACTTCCTCCGAGCCGCAATAAGAGCTTCCGAGCCGCATGCGCAATGCTCTGAATTAACGAAGGATGACCCGCTGTTATTTCGGAGCGCCCCCGTCTGCTTCATGCGGTCGAGCCTCTGCAGAGTACTACTTCGATTGTAGCAGGCCGCGTGATTGGATCTTGATTCGGTCACCGTGCATTGAGAGGGACTTGTCGCATCTGCTCCTGCATTGGCCACTCCTGGATATCGAGAAAAGAGCACCATTGACACTATGACCTAGCATTTGTGTCTAGGCAGCTAGTACCTGAACTACATATATGATGTGATCGAGAACGTTGCTAGATGAGGCGTATTTGAGCGCGTAACATGCCCACTTGTGGGACGGACCAGTATCACCGCTATGTTCGGTTCGAAGGAGACACTGCAGGCATGAAGGCATTTATTCCCGCTGCAAATGCTCTGAAAATGTGTTCTAAAGTGTGACCTATGCAACACTATGCCCTAATTAGATAACTTTATTTCCCAAAAAGGCAGTCAATTACAATTTAGTGTCATTAAATAACGGTCGCAAATGCTTTCATGTCTGCGGTTCGGAGAGGGTCTGTGGTCCGCATACAAGAAATGCAGTCGCCGTTGTTGAGTGTAGTGACAGTCGCGACGGAGCGATGCTCTGAGTCCGCCAAAGTAACTGCCAACGGCGGCAGACTGCGGCAAGTCGTCACTGGTCAGCAGGTTACTAATACACGGAGTCGTTCCACTTTCGTCATGCGCTCTTGATTCTTGAACGGCTTTGTACTGCTTTTGCGTCTTTGAAAGTGCCTTCTGGGTCGTAAGCCTTCATGCCTGCCTCCGGTTAGGCCCAAACGACTTCCAGTCATGGATTTTTGTGATAAGATGACACCCATACAAGCAGATACCGAAGTATCGAAGACAAGGACGGAGTTTAGAAAGCGACCTTCTGAATGCGTAAAGAAGTCCTCTAGAGCTGTTGGACACCGAGAAGAATCGTATAGTGAAAGCTGGGGTTTTCGCGCCACAGACTGCGCTTGCAACTCTATCTGCGGATTTGAACGAGCTGCTGCTGCAAGAGATCAATGTGGCAACGCAGCCCACAGCAGCAACCAACGATTAGTTTTCTCATCGGCTTTGGCCACAAGCCTGACAACTAAATCTCCCAAAAGTCGGCATCTGGAGTGTGACATCTTGCAGAGTCAACGAACACCGGGCGCTGCTTCCATTGCAGAGCATTGCAGTCTGACAGCTCGGCGAACGACGGCGGTAACGGCCCGATCACAGTGCACACCTTCGCTCCGGTGCTCCACGAACAACCAGTTGGCATCGTTCAACCATCCCGGACGAAAACGCATGCATGCAGATTTTTTGAAGATGGATCTCGGTAACATCTGGCACATTTTCATGCCACTTCGTACACCTACTACTTTGCAGATGAGTTTAGAAGGAATACGATCCTCACGTCGCGGCCGCTGCCTTAGAAATAGCCACAAAGTTAAGCCTCCCAGGAGTCATTCAAGTCGGCTGACTTGTGACGGTCAGCGTGATCCCAGTCGTTAACGCGAGTCTGTATCAAGTCATCTGCATCCATGCATAATGACTGTCGCGCTGAAGGTTAGCTTCTGACGGCTTGCTACTTAGTATCGGTCGCGCTCACCGAGATGATGGGTCCGTCGTTCGCATGAATGGATTCAAGACTCAGTCTTTCCAGGGGAGGTATCTTTGACTGGCATTACTGGACAAATAGCTCTGTTCTTGTGCTGGTGAGCCCACAAATATGAGAGAATGCTATGAGATACTCTCGCAAACATTCTCCCCCCCTCCCAAAAAAAAAGGTCTCCCCCCAGAGCGTCAATGAATCTGACACAATCCTTTTGCATTGCCACGCAGGTTTTTGCACGCGTTTATGAGGGGCTTCATTTCCACGAATGGCAAGAAAACAGTCATGCACAGTCCCTGTTGTGGGCATAAAACCCACCGGATGGACACGCAGGTTCCTAAGTTTCCCACAGCATCTATGATCAAACCAACTCCACACGTAGTCAGCATCGCCTGTACCTTCTACATTGCTAACGCGTTTCAGTACGTTGCCTGTGTTGGAAGTCATACGGACTTTATGTCCAGTGGGACACGGACTTAGACATTCCGCGCTTATTCGCTTATGTAATCACGTAGCCACAAGCGCGCTCAATCTTTTCCTGCTACCTCAGCACTCGCATTATACATCGAGGCTGAGGTGAGTACCTACTGGACTCCTTTACTTAGTCTTTACTGATATACTGTAGTCACTCGCTTTCCTATGTGTCTACAGGTATTTATATAGCACTCGCATTATACATCGAGGCTGAGTCACTCGCTTTCCTATGTGTCTACAGCCCTCGGAAATTTTCACCTCGGACAATAGCCTGAATCTTCTTTGTTGCCTGTACTATTTGATTATCTGCTGCATGCGCTTATGGTTATCACAGTGCGGAAATATTACAGTGCGGAAATATCATATTGCCGGCTAGGAACTTTTTCAAGGTAAGGCCACTGGGCTTTGCAAGGGACTTTCTTTTTCCAACTGCGTATTGTGCCTCAGAAGCAGAATAACATGCAAGGCCTTGACTGAGCGGCACCTCGCAAGACTTTGCAGGTCGGCGCCCACCATCGTACAAAAGTCCGAGACCGTTGTAAAGCATTAGTATCGTGGTGGAAAGATACCATAGCTTCTGATAGGTACGTGATCGAATTTAATCATCATCATCAAATTCGACCACGTACCTATCAGTGCCGCGCAGGCTGTGGTGAACAAAGTTTGACACAACGCGAAACGAGCTCAGCCGCCGCTAGAACCACGAAAGATGTTCAAGTTTAAACCTTACAACATGTTCCACGGTATGTCGCGTTTGATAGATCATAAGCATTTGCAAAAGGGGAGCGCTGAATGTCTTCGTGTGTGCGTGGTGGTAGAGTATCTTGCAGTTCATATTGATGCAACGCGAAACACACAGGATGGTCCATTGCGGATGCGTCTATGCAGGATGCAGTGATAATATCAGGCGCCCTGGTACACACAGTCTATTGAGATACTAATGACTATGGAGTGGATGACACGGCTAAAGACGTAATCGATATCAATGGTATGCTCGTTGCTTTCATCAGGGTCAAACCTCTCGACAGTGTTTTCGTCAAGACCTCTACAAAGGAGATCTGATCTTTCCGAGTGTGCCGACCATGAAACGTGACCACCGTGATGAGGTACCCACCGTCGTATTTTAAAACGACCTGCGTGTATGGTCTCGTCGTCCCACTCCTGAGCCCTCTAATGACGGAATTGAATCATTACCTCAACAGCACAGCAGGGCCTTTGATGATTGGTGTCCTGTTTGCCATGGTGTGAGTGACTTCCCCCATCTGTTGAAGAGACTGGTGCAAACGCTTCATGCAGGCTCTATGGCTGCACCTGCGCCCATGTATTGTGCTACACGTGGCACTTCCCTGAAGACTCGATCAGAGTTAAGGCTTTGGTATGTGAAGTATTCTTCTGCATACAAGGGCATGCCACTCATCCGGTGACACAAGGTTTTAATGTTATGGTATGTGTCTCACTATGAATGCAACTGTCACTGCTTTCGGATACTGACCATCGTGTAGGATGCTGGGCACCTTAACCGCTGTGAGCAACATTGAGGTATATCATGAATCTCCTTGCACGGTGTGATGAGTCTGAAATCCGCACCCTTTCGATCCAGGTCCTGTGGTACTATTATGCAAGTGGGCATGCAAACATCCCCAAATTACAAATCGCTGATCAGACGTGAGTGGATCTTTCATTTCATTGTGTCGGTCATCATGACTGATGATTGTTCGTGCGACAGCTTTCTATCCATGAGTTCTTGCATCGGACTGGGATGATTCTGCTAATGAGCGCCAATAGATGGAATTCGCCTTATCAGTAATTTACATACCTTTTATGATGATACATAATCTCTCTCATATATATATGTAGGCAGTGATTGTCTTGATCGTACAATGGTAAATTCCCTCTCACACACTGAATCCGTCAATTTCCTGCCAGTTCTTCTAACTCCAGCCTCTGCTGCTAGCTTCTACATTCATAAGGTTTGGAAACGTAAGCATATATCCCTTGGCTATGTTGAATAGAACTGAGCAGATGTCGCTCCGGAAGTTCTTGCTAGGATGAAGTTCATTGAGCCCGTGAGCATCATTGCGGTTCGTACCCATGAACACGCTGTCGCGTTTCCGGCTCATTTGCATAAAACAATGACAGGTTGTTACAGTGCTAGCATATTGCAGTAGGACATCCTCCTTTCTCTGAAGCTGATCGTGTCGCTTATTTGATCTGTCTTACAGGCTGTGGCTTCTGTTCGTATCCTGCAGATACCCGATTTCGACATTACGTGTTACGCTGACATTCCTCCGTATTCAAGACATTGCTAACCTCTTGTACGTTTTTAATAATCACACGTCTGACAGTTTTCTGTTGACGCTTTGGCGACCCGATAACCGCAGAACTCACGACGCGTTGGACGCTGTCGTCATCGTGAAGTCGAATGTGAGTCCTGTCCTCCTCGAAGCTCGATTATCCAGTGCATTCTGACGTAGAACACATCAGATTCCTGCATGCATACAGCCTGCGCTCGCGTCCGTCACCGACGTCTATATCAGTGCAGCGTTGGTGTGGGGGCTGAGGAGGGAGACCCCAGCATACCGAAGGTATTGGGCTTAGATGATGGCTGCGACTATCGACCGTCTTGCTGATAGCACTCCATTCTGCTTATAGTACGCAAATGCTCATGCAAAAACTGACGATCTACGCCGTCAATCGCGGAGTTTTGTTAGCGTAATTGAGTCCAATATATTAGCCGTCAGAAGCTTTTACGCAACTAACGGCCGTACTACGATCGTGCAGCTACTCGGACTGGCAACAGCGAGTATTAATCATAACTTTTCTTGCGTCCGTATTGACTTCGAATCCTGGCAGTATCTCGCTTTCAATCGCGAAATTTGCTATTGGCAAATCTTTCATTACCCGCTTAGTAAACGTAAGCCCCTCCATAGACCGTCACACATTCACACTGACGGGATCGCTTCCGCAGTATACGTGAACTCGTTCCTTTCGATGTAAGGAGAACACACCATACGGCGTGTCTACCTACCGCTGATCATCCTCTTCGTTCCTAAGGCTAAACTCTCGGCATCGTCTGGGCAACTCGGAGTCCGTCCACTTTTCAGACGGACTCTTGGATATTCCCATGGAGCGTCTGAACGATGTGATGAGATCTCCGCGAACCGTCGCACTTTCGCGGTGAGTCTTGAATCTAAAGCGTTCCTTCTGTGACCCCGACCTGATGTGCATTTTACGTGGCTCGTCTGCACAGGAGCAAGCAGGCATCTTCGAGCCAAGACGTCATTGTAATGCTGTAGCCATCATCCATACCACTGGCAGTAGTACTGTATTCATGCTGTTTACGTTCGCCATTTCGCGGGCTGGCAATGCCACCAAGGCCACGCAGTATCCAAGAACGCGGGTACTAAGGGCCCCGATACCTCTTAACAGTATTCAGGTATTCATGCTCTGATCATCTCATCTCTCCAATTAAAGTCAATAAAATGTGTGTCCGAGACGGCATCGAGCTGGGAAAGTCTGAAATGTTGTTCGGTGTCCATCCGGTCACGCTGTATGCATCCCGATTGTTAACAAAGTACGTCGTACAGGATGCTATAACAAACCCTCACACTTATAATGCTATGGACCCGATCGCATATTGCCGGACTTACCAGCTTTCGTCGCACTACAAGATAAAAAAAACCGCTGAAAACGGTCTCTTGTTCGGTGTGGTGGACGTCGGGTCGAGTTACGTGCGCATCAGCCACAGGCGTGTCTAGCGTCGCGATCACATGCTTTGGCCCACTGCACTGTTACAGAAACGTAGTGGCGCATCTCCAATGGGGGCACGTTCCATGCATAGGTCGAACGGTGCTTTCAACCAAAATCCGCTGATGAAGCAGTCCCGAGCCTCAGCGGCGTTGTCAGTCCCCGCCGTTACTGTTTTCCAATTGCATATAACGCAAAGGCTGGAAGGCCACGAGATGTGATTATCACTATTTGCAGATCACCACATAAAGATAGCAGTAATACGCGAAGATTGTTTCCAATCGACAAACGCAACAGCCTACTCGTTATCAAGTTCCGGTGCCATCGAGTCGAACGGGAACTGCATGATCGCAAGACCAGTGACCATTTGATCATCACCTATGGGCATCTTCTCGCTCGACACCACCCCAACGTACACTGTACCGTGCAGACCGTCGGGGACAACCGTGTTCCAGCTCGCGTCGTCGATGGGCGTGAATACGACCTCGAGCCCGCTGAGCCACGCAAGGAACGTCGGCGAGGCTTTGTTCGGGTTGTTGAAAGTCAGCGAGATGGTCGATCCAGGTTGAGGAGACATCGATGACACAGCAAGCACCGGAAGAGTGACCACCGGCAAAGGCGGGTTCGACGAGGGGCAGTCACTGATGTATGAAGCTACACGAAGTGAATAAGCATCGCATATAAATCGTTCGGGGAGTTTCCCTGGAGCATGACAACTCACCAGCAAGAGAGAAGGCGTCGCTAAAACCAAGTGGCGTCTCGAACGGACCGTCCCAGGGCTGAACCTTGAGCACAGAGGAGGATATCCACCCAGCTTGACGTTGCTCAACGGCCAAGATCGACTAATGTGATAGTTTGTTAATGGCGCACGGCAGTTCACGGATTAAAAAGACTTACTCCAGCTGCATTAAGGACACTCTTGTCCGAGATGTACTGGGCGGCACCAAGATACGCAGCGGCGCCGACGCCCTCGATAGCCATGGACAGGGCGACGAACGACGGCGGGTCTGTATACGGGCTGTCCATAGCGCATGGGTACTGCAAAGACTCTCGTAGTGAATGAAACAGCTCACAAACTGTACGTGCAAGGCTTCGGCGCAGCTGATCCCAGCGCCTCTTGGAGGAATTTGACATGGGTCATCTCGTTGGTTTCAATCTGCTCAAAACGGCCGCGGACCCAGGGCGGGAAGCCGGCATCGGCGAAGTCTTGTGCGTCGAACTTCTGCAGGGCACCTGAATAGAAGCTGCTCTCTAGGTACTCGAGCGTCAGGGCATATTGAAGGATGTTCGTGTCTGTAAGAGCCATGAACAAGAGTTGTTCAACTTGAACATCGCGACCTACCAGTGGGAGGAGGAGGCGCAGGAGCTGCAAGAACAACTGCTGCACTTGCGAGAGCGAGAACGACCTTCCAAGACATGTTGTGATGCTGAAGGAGGGGTGGGGTGTCGGAGGACGGGTAACGACTGTGGGCTAGCAAGGGAATGTGGGGGGTGCTCGAGAACCTCGACGAGGGAGGCAGACACGCAAACAGAGCCTTTTATATGTTGCAGCAAGTGAAGGGTGGCCACTGACAGAGGCTGGCATGTCAGGAGTGCCGCTGTCGCGGCCTGAAGCGATCGGGATGATCACATCGTCAAGTCCGAAGCCATTGATGTTGCAAATGAGCATATATCGAGTATCAAGGATCCTTTCAAATTGAAGATTGAATAAGTTGAAGGGGCAGTAGAAAACTGCCATCTCAGTTTATTCTGTTGGACTTTCTCCTTTCGGAAAATGACCTACCGGATTGGGCAGGCGAGCTGTTGCCGAGCTCCGCCGATCCAACCTGAAGCACGCGAAGCAGCTGCCATGGCCAGACGTGCGAGAACGCTCGCCGGGTTCTACATCTCAGTCATCAGCCATGGCCAACAGCTAGGACCACGAGCACTTACGACGTCAGGGCAAGCTTATACGAAACTTGCAGTCCGGAGCTTTGACTCAACATCTCGTTCGGCTTTTCCTCAAAGTCTCAAACGGTTTATGTTACACGTCCTTGCGTTTGCGTGCCGAGTTGGGGCTAGACTTTCTTGAGGCCCTCATAGTTATAAAACAGACCACAACAAAAAAAAGTCCAAGGGGGGCTCATGCTCCTCTGCTCGAGAGTTGGGCGAACCTCCGACAGCCGCAAACAAAGTTCTAACCGTGGGACAGTTCACGTGCACTCGATCAGGCGTGGAAGCGCTTGCAGGCGAAAGAGGTCCTCCACCATAGTATTCCGTTCATGTCTAAAGCTTTGGCTCGTCTCTGCTCAACCGCTGGACATGTTTCGTATCGGAGAATACCAGCAGGTAGCAACACTTTCTTTCCAAATTTGGAGCTGTACTCACAACCCGCAGGACTGAGGCTGCAGTCAAGGTCGCTTTCGAACGTGCAGCAGCCATTTCAGCCGGAGCGACCTTCACAACCAGACAGCCGTCCCCCATACCGAGGCGATTTCAAAAAAAGGAAACCTCCAAGCGCACAGTCCTTGCAGGAGCTCGCAGAAGGCCTCAACGCGCGTTTCAAACCGCTGAACTTCCCGCCGGAACTGGCTGCACGCATCCTAACCCACGCAACTCACTCTAATGCATACTACTTCAACAGCAATCGACTCTCCTTCATAGGTACGTTCTCTGTCACTTAAAGCTCACCGTTGTCCTAGTAGCTCACCAATGGTCCAACCGGCGACCGTCCACAGGCAGGCGCGTGCTGCAGTCCTACCTGCTCATGTTCGTCCACCAATCCCCGGCTCTCCGGCCTGATCACGACTACGAAATGATCATGGAGCGCACTCTCAACACCCGTGTTCTCGGACGACACGTCGCACCCGCCTGGGAATTTGGCGAGTTGATCAAGTGGAGACCGGTTACTGTAGGTCCGTTGGCCCACCGCCCGGCGGACGACGACATCAAAAGGTTCATCGCAACGCTGGACCCGAGCACGGCGTCGACGGTGGGAGTACACAAGGTGCACGGAACTTCGGTGGAAGCCCTAGTGGGAGGCGTTTTCCATCAATTTGTGCGTGCCAACGTCCTCTTCATTCATTTGCCATCTTCTGACACGCTTCACATGCTCTGCTCTCTTGTAGGGTGGTGCAATCGCACATCGTCTCTTCCACACCCGTATGCTGCCCCACCTCCTCCTTCCAGGGCAAAGCGAGGGCCTTCACGACGCGTTTCATGAGGACGCTCATAACATCTATCTTCGCATGGGCGGGAGATTAGGGGATCTCGCTGCTCCTGCACGACAAAACACAGCGACATCCGAAGTATAGTAGGCAGTATGTCGCACCGATGCTATTAATGTGCTTTGCTCAGAATCGCCCGCCGGGTGTGAACCCCGTTGGCTGGAAGGTTCGTTCCATAAGACACAGACTATCCCAAAAACTTTGTGTGGCCGTGTTCCTCTGCCGGTTTTTCGGGGCTTATGTGGCGCACCACCTACTACCAGACTCCAGTCTTAGAGCCGAATGTTCATCCCGCCACACAACGGATTGACCGCTTAGCATATACGCTGAATATATGCGGAGGCAGCCCGCTGTCTTTCAATAAGCGAATTACATAAGGACATCAGACAAAGACGGCCTCTCGACGCCGTTCACCACCGGATCTCTGTCTGGGGCTCTCTGTCCAGGCAGATACTCAACTCCCAATCACCGACCCGTTTTGCCCACCGATACGTCTTGAGACCCTGATATCCTCCCCGCGGGCCCTGTATCTCTTTCCTAATCTCGTCGTACACCTCTGATGCCTTGCCCTTGACGAAATAGGCGACAAGCGACTGCCTCCGGTCATAGATCAGGATTGTCTCTGAAGCCATTGGACCGGAGCTCTGCTGGTTCTGCAGCTTGACAAGGAAGAGCTTGTCGCCGTGGATGTTGAGTTGTGGCTCGTCCGGGTTTGGTGATTTTATGTCATTCAAGTCCGTGAGGGGCGTGTAATGATTGACCAGCACGCTGTACTTGCCCATTGGCCCAGGAACGACATTCGCGAAAGGAACTGTGCGCCAGACGCCGCCCCTGAGCGAACGGCATGTCCGCTTATGATGAGGCCAATCGGCCCGTTGGCAATCTAAGCGCATGGATGTCAGCTAGAGTACGCAGGCTGCGAGGGTGTCGCGGCATCTACCTTGTCCGCAGTACGAGACCGTTTGGCATTGCGAGCAGCGGCTGGAGGACTTCTTGCCACATAGGGCACAGCCCGTGTCGGAGTTCAGCTTGGCGATGTCCTCGTATCCGAGCGGCCCGACGGGCAATGGGAACGAAACTTTATAGTCGTCCTCGAAGTCCTGCCTTCACGGCTTGAAATCCGGCGAGAGAAGTTTCGTATTCATGGACAACAATTTGAGCAGAATTTTCTGTTCTAGGATGGTCGCTGTGATGCAATAGGCTGGGGGGCCGTACTTGTCGACCTGTGCCTGGCACCATTGTATCCCGAGTAGCGGGTTGTCGCCTTCAGCGAAGTTTTGATACAAGACCGCTATCACGGGCGTCTTGGCGTTCAGTTCATGCACCGACAGCAGCTACTCATGATGTGAGTTGTGGGAGAAAGTATAGAGCTTTGCACGTACCTTCACGTTGATCGCGGAGATCTCGCATTCCGGGTCTTGGATGACGCACCATCGAACGCCCTCGTCCCAGTACTTTCCTATCGACATAAGGGTCTGGCGCACGTCCATGATAGCGCTTTCATATAGGGGATAGGGATTGTTCTGGCCACGCTTTCTCGCCTCGAAGACGGTGTTGATTTCGGCCACATTGTTCCTTTTTACCGCCTCATGCACGGATCGGGAACCACCCATCGAGCCGTTCTCGGGCCACGGGTGAAGAGCCGCTGGATTTGATGGAGGATCCGGAAGGATCCTGGGTACATATTGGGCTGCATTCAAAGCCTGTCGGAGTCGTTTCTCCAACGCATCGCCTGGAAGCTTGCTGGCGGGCGGAAGGTCTATACCCAATTCCGACAATACTTTCAAAGTTTCTTCGCGAGTGAGTGTGTCCATTCTCATTTTTAGAGACTTGATTCCGAATGTATGAAGCGGTCGGACTCGTTCTTCGTCTAGAGGAGAAAGGAATTGTTGAGGCGAAAGACACGGAGCGAAGTCGCGTGGGGAGTGACCGGACGCGCTCGTCACATCACAGACGCGCCTGTCACACCGTAACATCACGCACCAAAAATTCATCGTAGACTGCTTATGCGAGTCCTCTACGCCTTTAGCATCAGCCAACAATGCAGAATCATGGATAGACGTAGTATCGATATTCATGACTTCATTCGAGGTTCGAGAAGCACATGCCAACATCGATATATACGGAGGGAGTTGGTGCGGGGGTAGACTGTAGCTGCTGTTTCATGACATCGGGAGAAAGAAATCAGGAGTATAATTGCCTTTGTGTTAAACAGCTCGCCATGCGTTCACCACTTGATGTCGGTCTGCGGCACTCTATCCACGCAGATACTCAACTCCCAGTCGCCCGCACGTTTCGCCCACCGATACGTCTTCACCCCGAAATATCCACCGCGAGGACCTCGAATTTCGCTTTTGATCTCGTCGAAGACATCTGGAGCCTTGTCTCTGACGAGAAACACGGTAAAAGAGTCCCGTCGGTCATATACCATGATGGACTCGTTCCCATGTGGCGTTATTTGTAGCTTCACGAGGAACAGCTTCTTGCCGTGGATGTCCGGATTGACCTCGTCGTCGGTGGATGATTTTATGTTGCTGAGGTCTCGAATGCTGTTGAGGGGTGTATATCTGTTGATGCGGACGCCCAGCATGCCCTCCCTGCCAGGCTGGACATTTGTGAAAGGGACGGTGCGCCAAGTACCGCCTTTGAGCGAGCGGCACGTGTGCTTGTGATCTGGCCAGTCCGCCCGCTGGCATTCTGAAGACGCCGCTGTTCGGTTAGGAGGGGCATCATACAGACCATATGTGCGACGTACCAGGTCCACAGTAGAATACGGACTGACATTGCTTGCAGCGGCTTGCATGATCTTTACCACACAAGACACATCCGGTTTCCTCGTTGAGCTTGGCAATGTCCTTGTTGCTGAGTGGCCCAACGGGTAGGAAGAAAGAAATGGTATAGTCTTGTTCAAGGAGCTGTCTGTGCGGCACAAATCCTGGAGAGACGTGCTTCGCGTTCATGGACAACAATTTTAATAGCACTTTCTGCTCCAGCAGCGACGCCTTGATAGATGGCGTCGAGCCATTGCTCCTCATCTGCGCCTGGACCCACCGCGCGCCCAGCTCCGAATTATTGTCTCTTGCGAACTGTCGGTAGAGAACGGCAATCAATGGCGTGTGGGTGTCGACCTCATGTACTGAGAGCAGCTGCGCGATGTGAAATTAACCGGAATTGTCACAAAGTACTACACTTACCCGCATGTTAATGGCAGACAGTTGACGCTGCGGGTCTTGTATAATGCACCACCGGAAACCTTCGTCCCAGAGCTTGCCTATGGACATGAGCGTCTGGCGAACGTCCACCATGACAATATCATGAAGTTCCGCAACAATATCCCTGCCACTCTGCTGCGCCCCGAAGATTGCCTTTGCCTCAGCCATGTTGTTCCTAGCAACGGCCTTGTGCACGGAGCGTTCATCCTCGATGGAGGAGGTTCGCGGCCAGACATTAATACTTCCAGGATCAATTGGAAGGCTTGTCAAGGTGTCCGACAGATATTGTGCTGCATTCAACGATTTTTGGAGGCGCATCCGCAACGCTTCGTCTGTAAGTTTTGTGGCCGGGGGGAGCTCTATACCCATTTCGGACAAAAGCTGCAAAGTTTCTTCGCGAGTGAACTTATTCATATTCATTTTGAGCCCTTCCTTAATCCTTAATATGACAAGACGTCAGTTGTGTCTGATAAAAGAGATGGGGTTGGCGAAACAAGACAGACGCCTCAGGAAGAAACGCCTTCGTCACGCCGTCGTGTCACGCGCACACTCGGTTTCAGTAACGGTCACATGTGGCCACCCGCCCACGGGATTGTAAGCACTCTACATAGTATCGTCTACCTAGCATCGCGCACAGATGTCGTGGAATTTTCGTAGCCTTAAGAATCAACAATCTGGCTGGCATACGCATGTGTGTAGTTATTCGCCATCTGCGCAAATGACTGCATACCACATCATCCCCTCCATCCCACAAAAGGCCATTACGTTGGCGGATAACGAGTGAAGGCTATTCGTTCAACAAGCATGCCAGAAATTGCCACTGCATACGTTTTCCATCACCATGATCGTGTCAGTGTTGATATGCACCGTATAGTTGACACAGCCCGTCGCTTTCGGTAAGTGCTCGACCAATTCTATGCAGCTGCTTCCCAATAAGCCATGTCAAACTAAGTAGCGGACTCTGCTCGTGATAAGCAATCTTGCTATACCATCGCATACAGCCTGGCAGATGACAAGAGCATTGAGGAGCAGCAGAACCATTTGACTCTTCGGTTGCGTATTTGTGATGCTCGCCAGAGTGTTATGGAGTAGCACACCCACTGTCCCAACCAGGTCCCACAGGAAAACATGCCGCTCGCACCGGTGACTACCAACGGCGCAGAACTATATCACGAAGACATATGTACACCCCGTGGCTCCCAGGTTTACAAGAGTCTCACCCCGATTCACGGCGCGGTATTCCACAGCGGTAAGGTCGAAGTCTCCCCATGTGACCTCTTTCACTGAGCTCATCAACAGCCATCTATCGGCCAATGTTATAATTCGCTGCCCAGCATAACCTACGTCTCGTTGCTTTGACGTTAAAGGACTGTCCGGGCTTCACGCCGTATACATCTGAGTAGATAGCTGCACTGAGAGTCGAGGAAGATAGCCAGACAGGGAACAAGTTGGCTGCATTCGTGCATGGCTCATTCAGAAAGAGCAGGTCCCGCCGCTTTCAACTCCACTAGACCAGCGATGGACCCGACGGAACAGAGGGCGGACTAACGATTCTGGCTTCAACCGCACGCTTTCATTCCTTGCTCACGCGGGGGAATAATCGGCGCCACAGCAGGCCATACTGGGGAGGTACCTTCGTACGTGCATCAATTCTTGGTGAGTCGATGACTTCCTCTGTGGTACAGCAAGCTTCCTTAATATATGCGCATGAGCCTATTAGACGTCCCGCTCTTCCCAAGAGGGGGGAAAGTTGCCGACTGAGGACGGACCACGGAGCCCCATGTCGAATCCTAGAATTCCTCCAGAACAACGACCCATCGAGACCTTTCTACAATGGGTTACCGGCTATTTCTCCACTCAGAATCTGTATTGGCATCTTTTGAAGCTTTGTCTGGCGAGAATATTCTCGCCGGACTAGCGTGTGTCCCATTCCTGATCTACCACTGAAGGGCCGATCAACACAGCAGCATATTTCTGCTGAGCAGTTCTAGAACCCAACCAAGCTGGATACGCTCAGCATCGGAGGTTTCTTGCACGAATATGGCATCCTGAAGAGTAAGTGATTCTCCATCTCCGAGTGCTGCGATGCGCTCTTGGGAGTTCAGACCAATATCGACGAAAAAAAAAAGAAAATCCTTAGACTCGCCGCCTCAACCCTCGAGAACGCACTCTCATTGCTCCTCTAGTCCCTCAACTCCTGGATGAGAAGACCAAGCAAATCGTGGACGGGTCACTGCAAATGTTCGAAGAGAGGAAATTATGTCGAAGGCGTGATAGAGAATTGGAGTATCTTCGAAATGGTGCGTATGTGTTCTGACTTGGGCTGGTGCAAGTGATCGTAAAAGGGCCCGGGTATACTGCCTAATCAAATAAAGACATAAACCGTGAAACAGTACCAATCTCGCGCTATCATTAAATAAAGTCCTAAAACATGCCGGGTACGCGACAACATATAGCGAGCCAATGCAACTCCGATCCATCCACGACATTCACAACACTCCACCTGATTCAGTGGCTCCATCAACACTTCCCGTCCAAACCTCCCGCTCAACGGACGTCAAACGCACGAGATGCACAGCGATGCCTCATCGAGCCCAGTGAGATTTTCAAGCAGCTTGGCGTCCAGCGCAAGCTACGTGAGCGGTTCATACACTTGATGAGGTATCTGTTCGACGCGGGAACAACTAGCTCATGCGCCATATACCTTGACGCAATCATCAAGTAGATGCTGTGGGTGCATCCTGAGGTCGTCGAACTCAGTGGCCCGCCGTCATGCCGAATGTGATGGATGGAGTCGCGCGGATGTAGGAAGCATCATGCCACTCTCCATTTCCGTGCGAGCGGCGTTCCGCGCCCGTGCGTCGATATCGTCACCGCCTGCCGCGCGTTTCGAAAGCTTTGATATCAGGAAGTTCCAGCCGGCGCACTGGATCGAGGAAGATAGATCCCGTTACGTGCGTAGGAGATCTTGGGCCACTCGTGTGTGTTGACGCTCATGGGTAACGACGCCTCATGCGCGAATTCGTGCTCACGATGATCAAGACGAGCGAATGCACGTCGTTCCTTGAGCGCCGTGCTGATGGGATGGCTGGCGCTAGTGGTCGTGCCGCGCGCTGTATGGGAATCGTGCGATTGAGTTGGGGATGGAAGAAAGATGGCGGTTGAGCAACCGCCGGTTGCAGGGAAGGAGGATGTGAGAGTTCATTTGCGCGTTCGGCCGTTGAAAGGTACTTGTCGCGAAAGCTGTTGGTTTGAATTCGAGTTGTGCTGTCCGGTCGCTATTGTATCGCCCCGATGAATCGCATGACGAGGCTACCTTGACACTGTACATTCCGGCTGTGATCGATATATGAGGGTCGTTCGCCGTCGCATCACGAGTCATTCGCCCGAGTCGGAGGTCCTCCCGCAACTGCAACTTCGAATGATACCAATCGAATTGATTATCATTAACGTTGTCTTGTGGGTTGATTCCAGCGGATAGCGCATACTTGAAAATGTATCGATGGGAAACATAACTGTCGTGAGATGAACGTTTGCTGGCGGAGCATACGGTTGAGAAGGAGTGGAGACGACACGGAGAATAAATATGCCTGAGTGTTCGAATGGTGGTGGCGGTATGCAGGAAACCGGATACTCGAATTCGCAGATATGTTATGTAATAGCGCGTGATATGTGCGGACGGGGGGATTGGGAAAGGAATCGCGGTACGTAGCCAAAAACGTGCAGGACCGTATGACACTTCGAAGAGCGGGGGAGACGATGGCCGACGCATTCGCAGGTCACTTGAGCATGCCCTTCATTGTTGCCAGAGTGGAGACAAGACCATGAACGCAGGAAGCATCTGCTGGAGATACAACGGCTGCGATGATCAAAAGCCATTTTCCCGCCAAAGATCGGCCATTGTGGCGCTGCAGTTCCAATATGACGATGCAGATGAACGCGTGAGTCTAGGCACAAAATGCGGGAAGCTCACCGGAAGATACCTCGCTCAGTCAGTTGTGGGAATAATGGTGGAAGTTGCTGCCTCCACTGCTCCTCGGCCTCTGCGTCTGCCGCATTGGTATCTCCGAATCTACTTCCAAGACGTATAAGTGCAAATTCTACTCTGCTCAGCATCCTGAATGAATCAGATGAAAAATGGCCGTCCATCTCTTCGTGATGGGCGGGCTCGTAAGTTTGAAACACGTGCTCCAGTTCTCTCTTCGTTCCATTGCCTGAAGGGTCGTATTGCGCAAACCAATTGAAAACTATCACGATTTCTCGAAGTTGGTCTGAGTGGATTGAACACAAGACTTGATACAATGTATCCAGGTCGAAATATTGCTGGATACAAGTAAATTGTAGCCATAGTCTCTGCAGTGAGGTGTGGCCACTGAAAGATGTCCGAGCTAAACCTAGAGAGACTCTGGTTAGCGGAGGTGCCTACATGAAAGCAGAGTGCGCACCTGCAGCAAGCACCTTTGGCTTTGTGTATGGTTTGTAGTATTCCAAATCCAATCGCAGATCCGAGAGTGAGCCAGAGCCAATCTTCAGCATTTGCTGCGATTTCTGTTTAGTAAGTGGGTGATTATACCTTGCACCTATGAAGATGAGTTTTCGCAAGTGACCCGAGATGGAAGGATGAGCAAGGAAGTCGATGAGTGTCTCTGATGTGCATTCGATTGGCTCGAGCCACATGAACCTGATCTTGACGCGATTGTCATTCAAACCAAATGCATCGTGGTGAAAGTGGTCGTGTGTGAAGTCCACGTAGTTGCATTTGAGCTCAACCAGGGCTGGCAGGGCGGAGACGAGGCGCCCAAAAACGGTGATCGACGGGAATGTGACATGTTTGAGATAGAGGCAGGAAGATGTCGCTATGCATCGTCGACGGCCCCCACGCTGAAGCATAAATTGTGAGCCGCTCGAGCCGGGGCAGCATGGGAGCGAGCATGATTGCCGCCATCCACAGTGCTGACGTCGACAGATCTGTCAATTTTTGGTAATGATCATAGTCATATCGTGCGCCCGCCCCGACCACTTCGGCGTCTGCTTCAGCATCTTTGCATACGCCTTCACATCCTCGACACTTTTGATCTTGATCTGCATGCGCAAGTGGAAACAACTGCGAGGGTGCCACGCTCGGCAGACAAAGATGCACTGCCTCAAAGCATCCTGGGTATCCCACAGATGGTCAATCACGTTCTCCCACACCTCCATCGGAAGCTGCGGCAGAGGTCTCCTCGCTCCTCGCGGGCGAGCCAGTGCAACCGGCCCTGCTCCGCCACTGACCTAACACAGCATAGCACAAAAAGCTAAAGGGTCAAGGACGCATGCGTAGAGCTTTCCCACTCACTGTTGGTGCAAGCCTTTGTACCTTGTCTCCTGAAGCTTCCGCGATGTGTTTCAGGTGCTGTTCGGAGGATGCCATGGCGTTGGTGTCGAGTGGTCGCAGCGCAGATGCTCGCAGGTGAGATTTTCAAGGTCGGCTCTCCAAATATATGTATTCATCGCATCGCATTGCAACGTGCCTCCGTATGCGATATCTTCTAGAACCCACACACGAGGCACGGTCATGTGTATCCCGGCGGCTGCAGATAAAACGCGAGGCAAGACATGCATACCGCGATCAGTTCATCGGAAAGTGCGTTCATACACTTCATGGACATTAAGTATGCATACTCAAGATTTCATGCACCTTGCAGACGGGTAGACATCCGTGAAGCTCTTTGAATGTCCCACATACAGCACCCGACTAGAAGGACGTGCGTACATCACAGCGCCGCTTCGAAGTACGCAACGACTCTAGGAACGGAAGGACTAGCGTCTTGCATAGCATCATCGACGCACTGCACCTCAGGCCTCAACATCCATCGCAGCTGCGATCACTGCCAAGCAGAGGGAGGGAAAGGCGCAAGGCTGGAGTGGCTTTGGTGTGCCGTGCTTTGCCGCGTTCACTTCTTTCCAGAATATGGTATCGGATCGATGGTATCAGACCGCATATGGTAAAATCGCCCGTGCTTCATCAAGGCAATCATATCTCCGCACTGGCTCGGACACCACGAGTGCGGCCATGCAGCAGCCTACCTGTCCATGCCGGTGAGGGTAAGCTTCTAGTGTGCGGATCGCTATACCAACATCACAGCTTGCGCAGGACGGGCGGCGGCGGTTCGCAACACGCACGCAGGAAACGCATCGCCATTCAGGCACCTACTAGGAGCTGTGTCCCGTCAATCTCATGTTCACAGCGCAGGGTTAGACAGGAAGGATTCATCGACGCACCGCATTCATACCGCGTCCGTGAGGCTAGGAAATCTGCAGACAGGACAGCCATCTCTCGCGCCGAATGTCCAGGCAGTGCCAGTCCACAACTTGAATCCTGAAGCCGCTGGTCAGAGAAACTTCATCGAGCTGCATGCTCACGCTGCAGATCGTGATCGTGAGGGCCGTTGACGTGTACGGTGTTGCAATCCGGCAAGATAAGGTCCTGATGAACAACGGTCGGAACGAAGTTAAGTTGACAACGAGCAACGCACGATGAGAAATCGCCTGCAATGGAGAAAACAGGGCAGAGAACACGTTTGACAAGGAACTCACATGATGCGTGCGTGCATTTTGTACCTAGTACAAGTGCCTGAACCAGGAGAAAGCCCAGCTATGAGTGTGATGTCTGCGAGCAAGAACGACAGGAGCACGTTGAAGTACTGTGACCGCCACAGTCCATTGCACTTGGTCTTTTCGAAAGTCGAGCTCACCGAGGAGTTACGCAGATCGAACTCATGCTCAACGACCTTTGTTTGCACCAGCCTCCAGTTTGTCTCCCCTGGGCAGACTACAAAATATCTGCTTCTCTGACAGAGGGAGGTCAGCAGATATATAGCCAGTCGTTCAATGAGAAGTGATTTGCACTTGCCTCCTTCGCTTTCTGAAACTCAGAAACGATAGTTTCCGGACACTCGACCTATCGTGAACAATGCTGAACTTCGAGTTTTCGCCTCACGTGTAGTCGGCGCAAAGTCGGCGCTCTTAGAAAGCGCGAGCTTATTGAAGAGGAGCGTGATGTAGGTTTAGGCACTCCTACGTCTCGGTGATGGGCGGTCTTGTGGTATTCAGGCTGTGGTAGCGGGAGTTGATCGCTTGCGACGGTATGCTAGGCTCGAGTTTCTCGTGGTGCATATGGGTTTTGATCGTTTCCGCGGCACACTATAGCTAGTTAGTACTCCGTCTTTGCGATGACCCACGTCGCACTGTCTCGCGGTACCCATACCATCTCCATTCGCCTCCATGGCAGGCTAGCAAAGCTCCTCTTACTCGATCTTTTCTTTTTGATATATTCTGCTCGATTGCAGATCAAGCATCAGACACCCGCGATAAATACGAAGATTGTGAGTGTATTTCTGTCATATTGACTGGCTTGCCATCTGGTTGTTTTAAATACTGACTATCACGCATGCAGAAATGAACAATGCTCGAGTGCCAGACGGGCTGTCTGTGACATTGATCGAGTCGTTCGCACCCTTCAGAGGCTGGAGGCATCCATGGTGTGTGGTTCGTGTGAGGTCCAGCACGCGCGGGTCTCTGAATGACGACGAGACACGCGTGTTTGGTACGAGAAACCTTAGTCTAATGGTATGACTTTGACAACCCTAACATGACAAGCATTCCCGGCCGCCAACTGCTTCGGCTCTTCACGAACGCTCAGCTGGATTACAAATTCAACAGAAAGGTCGCGTTTACTTTCCTACGTCAGTGAGAATCGCCTTCAATGACCCTCCAGTGATCCGAAAATTAAGCCAAGAAATTGGCGGAGCACTCGTTGAAGGAGAAGATAGTCGAAGTGTGGCGGAAGATAAGAATTTCATTGGATCAGAGAGCTGCAAATTATCCGTGTGTACGTCTCAGGATAAGCGATCTAGGAAGTTAGTTTTCTGATTCATGTACACACGATCCATGGAACGATACTAATCTCGAGCAGTCAATAGATAAAGGCCCGAATCCTTGCAGGCTATGTAAGCGGCTCGACATCCAATCTCATCCCGATCTGGAGCAGCTCATGCATGCAATCCCATATGTTGACGCCGTCTACCAAAAGATACTGTGTATGCATCCCCGTCCTCGAACGCACCGCCATCGTTCGTCTCCGATCCCTACATCCGTGTGCCTGCGGCTCTCTCACGATAATCAGTAGGCCACCGAGGACGTCATGATACTCCTCTCCACCCCCCTGCAAACAGCGCGCATCGACAACATCTCCGTCTGCGCAGGCCAATCTTGGGGTTCCGCTCCACTTTGTGAACGCGGCCGGCATATAGCTATAGCGCTGGACTGCTGGATCGAGAATGATAGGGTCTCGCCGTGCGGGTAGAGAACGACCACTGGCATGCGCTGCTGTCTGTGCATGTGGACGATGCGTGCATATATCTCGGTCCCCAGTTCGCTCACGCACAGCTCAAGGAGAGTGAGTGTACGCCATTTCCGAAAGAGTCTGCTGGTGGGATGTCTGGTGGGGCCAGGCTGACTTGAAATATATGTTCGACTTTCAGGGGAAGAGGGAGATTGAGGCTGGGGGATGAATTAGTGGCCGCGGGATGGCAGGCGCGAGCATTTTGCAGTCATCCAATACACAGCCGCCGTACGCCTCCGGTCGAACGATTTGTACATACGCACGCCTTTGCGCCTCACGTTGCATTTGACAGGGTCTCCCAAGGATGCCATCATTTATGTGCTCGTCCGCCGGTGGACAGCCTCTGGTGCACTTCAATGACATTTCCATCTGTAGGCTTTATTCTTCTCATAATCCCGAGGCCTTCACGAAACCGGTCCGCGCTGTGGGGCCCTCCGATGCGAGAGAATTGCGGGTGAATCGCTGAGTCAAAAAATGGTTGGATCCCGTCACGCGCACAGGAAATCGAGGCCTCCGACGCTCATTGATGCTACTGGACAGTCCGAAAATGTGCCCATGTGCGGGTTCTCGCTTGCATAGATCGAGGTGAGCAAGGGTTCATCGTCGTTGTGCTGTGTGGTGGGCTGATCAGGAACTGTGTGTCCAAAGAGGGAAATCGAGGTCGAGGTCGAACTCAGGGTAAAGGAGATGAACGAGCGGATGCAGGTTATAAAGGAGGATGGTGTAAGAATTTCTTTCCGCGTTCGTCGGTCGGAATCGTTCCCTGCGAGAGGGCCCTGCGCCTTTAAGAGATGCATCCGATAGGTCTGCTGTGTTCGTATCGAATCACTTGCAAGTGCGGAAATTTCCTGCGCTTCTAGATTAGCTCCGTAGAATAAGCGCTCCTTGCATCGCCGTGAAGACGACGAAACGGTCGGATAGACGTCTTTTATAGAATTCTTACCAAGATCTCCTGGCTGCTATGGAGACCTTGTGGGTTGATTCCAGCAAGTAACGCGTACTTGAGAGCGTATGAGTTGGGAATATAGCGGTCGTGGGATGAGGGATTGCTGGCGGAGCATACGGTCTGGAAGAGGTAGAGACGAGATGGAGACGAGATGGAGAACAGGGATGTCTGAGTGTGCGGACGGCGATGGCAGTGCGCAGGGTATCAGATGCTGGAATTCGCAGATGATGGAGTAGGGACTTGCGGAAGGAAACCATGATGGGTAATCAAGAACGTGCAGGACCGTATGACCCTTCGGAAAGCCGGAGAGATGAGGATAGAAGCTTTCGCGGTCCATTTCAGCATGTTGCCAGAGTGCGGACAAGCCCATGAAGACGAGAAGCATCCGCTGGAGATATAATGGCCGTGGTGATCAAAAGTTTCCTTCGTACCAAAGTCCCCTCACTGTGGCGCTGCAGTCCCAATATCACGACACAGATGAATGCATGAGTCTAGGTGTGATATATGGGATACTCACCGGAAGATACCTCGCTCGGTCAATCGTGGGAATAACAATGGAAGGTTCTGCTTCCACAGCTCCTTGATCACTGTATCGTCCACAACGCGGCCTTCAAATCGCACATGCCAGGGTGAAAGTGCAAATTCTACTCTGCTCAGCACTCCGAACGAGTCAGATGCAAGATATTTGTCTATCTTTTCGTAGAGAGCAGTCTTATAGATTGTGAGCAAGTCCTTCATTTTGTTCTTCAATTCATTGATTTCGATTGCGCTTGAACTCCAACGGAATACGATCACAATTTCTCGGAGCTCGCCTGACTTGATTGAAAGTAAGACTTGACTCAACGGGTCCAGGTTTCGAGAAATATCATAAAATGTTAGCCATAGTCTCCGCAGTGAGGTATTATAAGCGAAGGATAGCGCTGAATGTGGAGAGACTCTGATTAGTAGAAATGCTTAATGAAACCAGAGTACACACCTGCAGCAGACACCTTTTCGTCTCCTCGTGGTATTGAGGGCGGAAGATCCAATCGCAGTTCTGAGAGTGAGCCAGATGCAGCATCCAACAATCGCTGACATCCCCATTCGTATTGTGATTCAGCGATATAGATTGAAACATCGATGACGAGTTTCTGCAAGGTGTTCGAGATGCAAGGATGAGCAAGAAAGTCGATGAGTTTGTTAGGTCTCACGTATAGACCTCCTTGGAGTGACAAAGACCTGATCTTGAGGCGATTGTCATATAGACCAAATGTCTCATGGTGGAAGTGGTCATGTGTGAAATTCAGACGGTCACATTTGAGCTCGACCAGGCCTGGCAGGGTGCAGACGAGGCGCCCAAAGACGGTGAGTGATGGGAATGTGACATGAAACAGATCGAGGCGAGTGATGGAGAACGCCGAAAGATGCAGGAAGATGTCTTTGTGCATCGTCCATGGCTTCCACTCTGAATCCTTGATTGTGAGCCGCACGAGCCGGGGCAGCTTGCGAGCGAGCAGGAGCGCCGCCGGCCACAGTACTGACAGATCCTTGCATCCTACGGTCATATCGTGCGCCCACCCCGACCACTCGGGCGTCTGCTTCAGCACCTTCACATAGGCCTTTACACCCTGGACACTCCCAATATTGATCTGCCTGTGCAAGTGGAAGCGACTCGGAGGGTACCACGCTCGGCAGACGCAAATGCACACCTCCAAAGCATCCTGATCATCCCAAAGATGGTTGATCACGTTCTCCCACACCTCGACCGGAAGCTGCGGAAAAGTTCCCGTGGCTACTGCTTCCACCTTGCATGTGCCCGCACGGCCTGCTTTAACCTTGCCCTTGATCTAATGCAGCGCAGCATGTGAATGGTCGGTAATGGTCGGGAAGTATGCACGAAGTCCGCCAACTCACTATTCGTACGAGCCGTCGTGAGTTGAGTCTCCATTTTTTCGTCCTGTCCTCGAGCCGTTTCAGCTTCTGTTTGATGGACTTCATAGCATTGGAGTAGAGAGTGGCAAAGGATGCTCCCGGGTGTGGATTCCCAAGCCGGCACTTGCAATATATATATATTTTCATGTCGTCCCATTGCAACGTGTCTCTGTATGCCGGAATCCCCTACACTGCCCCGCAATGCACAGCCGTGTTCACACACATAATCATTGCTCGACGTGGGTGCTTTCTGAAGGTGCTGTACGCATGCCATCTGTTTATTGATGATGAACGACTCAGTGGTATATGCAGCGGTCGACCAGGCAAGAACCATGCGTACCTGGGCAGCTGCAAATATGGGCAAATAATTTGAGACGCGACACACATAGTGCGACTATTTCATTTTATTTCAGTCGGTATGTGCGTCCTTCAGTCCGTTCATACAGTTCATGCGCATGCAGACTCAAGGTCTCACGCATCTCGCTAACGGATGGAGATTCGGGAAGCTCATCTGATCTCCCATGTACAGTGTCCGACCAGAAGCCTCTTGATATGATCGCAGTCCGCACAGGACGCATGCACGCGGGTCAGCAAGATGCAGATGGAAACGCATCACGGTCCAGGCACCCGAATGCCTAGGAGCTGTGCTCCCTCAATCCCACAATCACAGCCCAAGGCTTGACAGGAAGTGTTGTTCATCGATACACCGCATTCGTGTCACCTCCGTGATGCGAGAAGCGTCTGCACACAAGGACAACCATCTCGGGCACCGTCGCACCGAACATCCAGGTCGTGATGGTGGACAAAGTGGCTGATTCCTTGAGCTGTCAGCCAGAGAAACCGTGCCGAGCAGTATGCTCATGCTGCAAATTGGCGGTCATGGAGAAGACAAGGGATGACAATGCTTGATCGCTCACATTACGCGTGCACATGTACATAGCACCCCTTCGCCTGCTACGAGCACAGTGCGTGCACAGCAAGAGCAGGGCCATGTTGATTAGTGTTGAAGCTTGAGGCTATACCAGATGATTCGGGATAACAGGCTAGCCTTGTGGCTTCACCGAATGGATGCACGCCAGGCCACAAGAAACAGGTGGGTGATACAAAGCTGTCAGGATGTCCGTATAGCATCTGCGCTATTCCGTCAGTCCATATATTACCCATGCTGAGCTTAATCGAACCATCTGCTGACATACCACTTTCATGCCACATCTGTGAACGTGAACGAGGGTCCTATGAAGGCTCAGACGTCCAACTCCGCTGCTCGCCATCCAGGCGGTGATAGTCAACAAGCGATCAATTCCTCGAACTGTTCGCCAGGGAATGCTCCTCGAGCCGGATGGTCGTGGTATATCGCAGACGCAGATCACTCAATGCTGTGTTCTGATACAGCTGGAGCGAAGATGGATGAAAAATAAGGACGTTTTTCTGGACAGATCGACAGTTTATTATAATATTGTCTCAAGCGCGCGCGGATCTCGTACTACCTAGCATAGTTGCCTGAAGCGGAGCTCCACTACGAGCATGGTATCCGAAAGCAATAACGAAAGAGGATGTTGAGGTTGTATGCGCATGGCTTTGTCGTGTCGTGCTCATTCGCCCTGCTCGAGGGTCAAAGTCGGTCAATTATACGTGCGAGTGTAACACAATCAGCATCAGTTTCATGGCATCAGCCGTGCTAAGAACTTGTGCCCTGTGAAGCTTAATAGCGAATGTGGATAACAGAACTATGTGTGATACAAACGAACTTCCGAAGAGTGTGATACAGTGCAGTAGCATATACGCGTTCTCGCAGTCCTCTGGTATCATCAAAAGGAAAAGGTATCGGTTATGTGCAAAGGTGGAATGCTAGGCGACCGAGATGCCACGGGGCAAAACTCGGTTCCGCTGTCCGTGTTTCTTCTCCATTTTGGCGAGATACTCGACCCATGCGTACCACGCCCCGCCCGCGAGCGTGACGCAGATGCCGAGCGCGTTCAGTGGTGTGATCGTCAGCTGGAAGAGAGAAACCGCGCAGAGAATCGTGAGGGCCTGCTTCACGTTCGCTGTATGGGAAGCCATCAGATCGTACCAAGCTGAGAAATAACGTGGACACACCTGCGACAGTCATATTGAGGGCCCCAATCCGCTTGTTCGCGCTGAGGCTGACGACGTTCAGACCGAACGCGATGGTGCCGTTCCCTAGGAGCACGAGCAATCGTGCCCAGCCCGCGACACCCTCTTCCGCAAAAGAGTGCCGAACGCGCCCGAGCTCGCCCGAAAAGTAGGCATACACCAAGCAGAGCGCACATGCAAGAGGAGAAGTGCGCGTGAGGAGGTCGAGCGGATGCAGCGCAAGGCGCGGCGGGACAAGCAAGGCACCTCGCATGGACGTGGTAGGAGTGCGCCTTGTATTAGATGAGGAAGTGAGTGGTGGTGCAGATTGGAGAACGTTGGTGTAGATTGTCTTGAGTGCAGCAAGGAATGTACCCAGTAGTGTCAGAAGGAGACCCCAAATCGTGAAATAGTAATCGCCATATGTACTGCACACAATGTGAGCGCACTCGCCAAACACTTGCATGACTCTACTTACGCTAGTGCTACGCCTGCCATTACGGGCAATAACGTCATGATCTTCAGCCTGCTGAAATGTGTTCCGAACAATAGCATGGATAGTGCAGTCGTGAATATGGGAGTCGCAGCACGGACGACTTGGTGAAACTGCATAGCATGTCAAGTTTAATTTGACAACGCAATCCTGCGACGACCCACCGGTATAGTGACCAATTGTAACGAGGCATTGCTCACGGCGATATTCACCGCATATAGCACGCTGAACGCTGCTAGGACGCCATGCTGCCGTGATGTCAACCGCGCAGGAACGTACGTTCCCTGGTGACGTAGTGCCCAGCCGCCGAGCGTTCCACACAACGCATGCAGTGCCGTAAGCGTATACGGGAACGGGAAGCGCACGAGTACCAGCTTGTTGTATAGCGTAAGCCCGAGGTTGAACGTAAAGTACAACGCGATCCAGGACACCTGGGAATGCAGCCAAGCAGGCAGTGGGAAGCGTGTCCGCTTGCGCTTGCGCGCCGTGGCGGGCTTCGAGCGCTCCGATGCTTGCGGAGAGAGGACAGGGAGGGACGGGGACGCCAGACCGGAATCTGAGAGGACGGGTGAGGGAGGGATCGACTCGGCTATACCCGTAGCAGTGTTACGCGGAAAGCCAGACCGCTGCCGTGGGGAGGAGACCGAATGGGTGGTCTGTGGCGGGAATTGTGCCCACTGTCCAGCATCAACTTGAGCGTCGTTGCTCGGGACCAGCAGCGGAGAGAGGCCGTCGCGGTGCAGTAGTAACCCATCCCCGGCAACTGTCCGGTCGTCCTCCGAGAGCTGAATACGCAGCGCTTGCCACCGCAGACCACTTAATTCGTGCGCATAGAAAGCGGAAAGCGGATCTCCGAGCTGAGGACTCTTGATCGCATCGTATCCTGGGCTATCATAATGCGGTCGAATGTTCAAATCGCTGCGGATGTGAAGATGAGGCTGTGGACGCATGGCGAAAGCGTCAGATATACAGAAAAGACAGACGAGGTTCAAAAACACTGCGCATCCAGCAGAGGAGTTGTCGGAACAGGCGTGAAGCTGCGAGATAGACCATCCGCCTTGCCGCGGGAGTCCCTTTTTGGAAACCGATTCTCAAGTCACGTGCAATGTCGATTAGTAGTGAGTTGAGCCTTCAGCTTGAAAGGCCACCGTCCTCTTTACTGTCATGTCTTCTCCCTCTCGGGCCCTTGCCGCAGAGCAAAGCTCTCGCTTGAACGTGTACAACAAAAGGCCTCGTTCAGATTCGGAAGATACCAGTGACAGAGAGGACGCGTGCCGAGACGCGAAACGCGCGATGGGCGTTCCTCAGGAGAAGCTCGAAGCACGCGAGAAAGAAAAGAAGAAGAAACGGTCGAAGAAACGAAAGCACAGGAAGGTCTCCATCACACAGCCACCTCCAGGCGACGAAAGCGCTGGCCGCTCGCAAGCACCACCCCACATACCACAGCAAGAACAACCCAGCTCTAACATACCCACATCGGTCGGCATCATGGCAGAGGAGACTCGAGATCTACTGCAAAAGCTGCCAGTCATTATTGAAAGACCATGCGGAAGCACAAGTCGCTCGCGACAGTCGTCTGCTGGGCCTTCTTCAGTAATGGCTAGGACCGGAAATCTACTACCATCAGAAGCCACACCTATGGTGAGTGTTGTTATAGCCGTCTTTCTATTATCATTGCCATGGCCCAGTCGCATGCCGCTGACCCTCTGACCCTTGCCTGCGCACTGCCAGATGCCACCCATCCTCGACAAGGGAAAAGGAAAGGCTCTCCCCGAGCCAGAGTCGAAAATTGGGCAGCCTGCAGCATCGTCTGATGCCTCCGAGGTTGTTATCCTGACCACGCAACTCGCCGCACATGAAGAGGTTCGTCATTCACCACGAATATCATTGACTTGTCTGTCTCACGATCTCATCACAGATCCTCAATAAACACACAACCCTGCTCTCTGTATTGCAACAGTCTCTAATCTGTCAAATATGCCTGGATCCGATGCATCGGCCTTATGCGCTTGCTCCGTGCGGGCATGTTGCATGTCACTCATGTCTTGTTGCCTGGTTCAAAGCAGCTCCCCCGAACGCTCCTCCCGAGGAAGTGCCTTCTCCACTCCGTCGTAGGAAGACCTGTCCTCATTGTCGCGCCCTCATCATTGAGCGTCCGGTCGAGGTATGGGCAGTCAAGGAGATGGTGAGCGCCCTCTTCAAAAGCGGGCTCTCTGACCCTCCCTTGAACCCACCGGCGCCTGCTGACGACGCATCAAACGCAAATGTGGATCCCTGGGAAGGGATTTTCCGCAAGCCGCCCGCACCTCCGCGTGTGCATGGGGGCAACCACCCGCTGTTCTTCCCGGACCCACCGCCCCCGGCGGTGCTTCATCAGGTGCTGGGAATCTACGATGACGAGGACGGTGGGGTGTACCGGTGCGTGGATTGCTTGCACGAGATCTGGGATGGAGTCTGCTCGGAGTGCGGGCGGGAGTATCCCGGGCAGGGACCTGCTCCCTTCGAAGAATCGGATTATGAGGAGGAGCCCTGGCGTGTCGGTATGGACGAAGCGGAGGGCGACGTGGACGATTATAGTAGTTCTGACGAGGACTACCTCGGAATGCACCCGTTCGCTGACGTGTTGTGGAATGCTTTGGGCATGGGTGAGCATGGGAACGACACTGAGGACGATGAGGAAGACGATGAAGAAGATCGGATCCGCGAGATAGACTCCGAGGACGGGCATGTGGGCGAAGATGAAGATGCGTACGAGAGCAGCTTTATCGACGACGGAGATGATGAGGGCGCGAGGCGGTCAGCGTCTGTACAGTGGATCCCTCCGCTGCCCGATGTAGATGATGCCGGTGACGCTGACGACAGCGACGACGAGTCTGCTGTCGGACCTTTGCCGAGAAGCATGCGAGGCCGGGCTGTGGGTCCTGTAGTCGTCTCTTCCGAGGACGAAGACGATGACGAGGATGAGAACGACTCGATTGTTGGGGGCATCTGCGCACGCCTGCGGCATCATCCACGCATCCTCTCGGATGACGAAGAGGAAGAGGAAGATTATTCTGGAGACGATAGTATGTAAGCGCGGTTTCTTCCTACATGAATGTCGCCTGATCCTCTTGTGTCATTTAGCGGATTAGCAGCCGAGGTCGCGGCTCGTGAACGGTTAGTCTTATGCAATTGAATGATGCCGTGAATGGTAGTTCTAAATCTCCTCTGAAATCGTTAGGAACTTGTACGGCGATGATGGTTCCACTTCGCGCGGAAGCTTCCACTGGCGTCGGCCGGCTGGTGATGATGTCTATGTCTACGATGATCATCATCAAGACGAGTCGGCAATCGAGTGGTCAGACGACGGCGACGTGGGCTATAGAGACGACACGGATGGCGCAAGCGTGTATTCGTCCCCGAATTCTTACTCCGAGGATGACGGAGGGTTTGACGATGGTGGCTGGGACAGCGAATTCTATGATTAAGAGTGCAACTGTATGTTAAGCGTCGAGAATTGCAGCTATTAGGCGAGTTCGAGCATGGCTATGATGTTTTTCGGTTCAATCAAAAACGGCAGGGCGATCAACCACTGGCAGTCATGAACAGTGTCGTCCGCCGTAGTGCCATAAGGCCGCTAATCCATAGACGCATCTGCAGGGTAGCATTCCGTCGCATTAATGGCCATTTTAGCAGCTCAACTCATTGCACACTGGACTGATGGTTGATTTCTTCAGCAGCTAGTGGCATGACACTGTGCAGGCGAACATCCTGAGTCCAGTGGGATTTTCCATCGATAGGTGGGAAGCCTTCAGCTGTGATCTCCTGGCGGAACAGGTATCCTGCAGGCGGCCTTCTACTTCATTGTTTCGGTGTAGTACTACATTGTTTCCGTATCCTGACATATGAACAGACCAATCGTGCATTCGATCTTGTTCCCCACGTCGATTATGGAGCGATCGAGTCAATTCCTAATACCGGTCACCAGTTGAGTGCAATCGCTGGCAATCGTCCTGCACAGATCTAACTTCTATGTACTTGGGTCTGCAAAGCGTCGCAGCGCGAGTTGACCAATTGAAAACGGGGTAGGGGAGCCATTCAATTGAATCAAATTAATGAGCACAACCAGGATCTTGAATGCACGACTAAGCCTCAAGGACTATGTAGGATGCGAGCTATGCAGCTATGACATTTGAATATCGAATTGCCAATGCGACAATGAATTGTATTTGAAGGCACGCCTGTTCTACCTATACAGCATGTCAGGAGATCCTTTCATTTTCATTAAGTTCCCCTCTGTTGATCATCTTCCTTTAGGAGTGATCAAATGACAAGGATGTTGGGCGGCGCCCGTATGGACGTGCAAGTGCAAGTGCTTTCTCCTGAAGTTCGTATGGAAGATAAATTTCTTCCCATGAAAGACGAGGATATGAACTTGCGAGGGCTGTGAGTTCGCCATGTGTATGCAGCCAGGCTTATGCGCGATGCTTCAGGCTGTGACGATGGCTATGTTCCGCAAAGCTCTGGGTGTCGCAGGACCAGCCGGAGCAGACGCAGACCAGAAAGGCCAGCTTTTTCCTGATTATTTGGGCTACGGAGAGAGCATCATGATTGCCGCCACCATGTGTTAGCGCCTATGCAACCCTTCCTCCTGCGGCTGACGTTTGCCGGCTTCCGCCCTCGGTCAAAATATCCTAGGTATCTACATTCACAAGAGTGCTACACGGAAGAGGACCTCACGGACAATAGAAACGCTCATGGCAGTGGTGTGACGCGAGGTTTAGTCGCACGGCACCGACACGTACCCGAATGGAACAGGTCACGATGACACGATTATTCGGCTTGCTCACCAGGTGGGCAGAGATGGCATGCGTTGCGCCTTGTCCAGGACACTTCTGCACACGAAGCTGTGCACATACCTTCCCGGAGAAAGCAACAGTCGAGGATGCGCCGGAGGGCACCGCATTCGGACTAGGTCGGTTGATGGAAGGTGAAGAACGCACGGCGGCAACTCTGAGGTGAAGAGATGACCTTGCATAACCGTGAGATCGTTGACAATGAACAAAAGCGCGTCGTGCGAACACCGAAAAGTGAAGTGACGCAGTATCTAGACCGCCCGCGGTTATCTAGCGGAACAACAGCCTGTCACTCGCGGAGATCACGGACATCAAACAGTATTCTCGGCTTCTCAAATAAATGGTCAGTGCGACGGGCATGCACTCGTTAAGCGAGGGCCATCATCGAAAACTTCAGCCCATCCGTATTGAACTGAACGATGGTATGAGGTAAAAGACTCGATATCTTGCCACAGATAACGTGTAGTGTGAAATATTGAGCGGCAAACTACGGTTGAGCCAATAATGATCGTCGCAGGTATTTCTGGACGCAGAAATGCGCGAACTTATTCCTCTCAGCCTATCATTGTTCATGATACAACAAAGGGATGCGGCATATCATGCCGTTCTTCTCTACGAACGCGATTGCATAGCCCCGGGAAACTGGAGGCCTCATGATAGGTTGCTTGCAAATGAGCACTGAACAGCATCGGGCGAGCCGATTCGCTGATAACATGATTCGCGACCGCGTGTAGCGAGCTGAGTGCAGCGAAGAGAGCTCACCTTTCGCACCGTGCGTAATCCCATCCGGTAGCGCTGAAAATTACGGTCGGAAATTCGTAGCAACTGAAGCTACGTTGCATTGTACCGCCGGGTTGGTTTCATGCACGCACGTCATCTCGTGAGTATGAATGCAGCCCTTATCAATGGTATGTCTGGGAAAAGCTCAGGCCGCTCTTCGGTGATAGATGCTGCAATATTTACGTACGCAGGTGCAGACCCAGCCTATCAGGACAGCAGTTTGTTCTTAATCATAGAGGTCGTCGAGACTGCCCAGGCCAAGGCAATCTATTGGCGGCATGCTACGCTTTTGGCCAGCGCAGCCTCCTTGGAGTCGGGAATGAAATGTCCGTGCTTCGGATAGGCGATGCACGGCTTCGTGTCGTAATACGACGGACGTACTGGGATTAAAGATGCTGACCAGTGGCAGAAGACATCTTGCTGTGATCCGTGCTCGATGACTTGACAAGTGAGTGTTCCAGCTTTCATAAACGTGACCGAACCGCAAGCATGCAGCCTGCACACAGCTGCATTTTGGCCGATATCATAGAGCAGAGTAGCTGGTTCTACATTATCAGAACAAACGTACGAGCAAGCCATCGGGAGTGGCGTGTGAGCCTTTCCCAGGGCGCACGAGGCGCTGTCTTCCCACGTACCGTCGCTGCTGAAACATGTCTGTGACCATTTACATCCAAGGCGCAATGATCAGTTCGGTCAACGTGCACTCAACTCGACAGTTCCTTCCACTCAGATTCTGAGAGGAATCATGGTGAGGAACCGACGCGTGGTAAGAGTACCTCTCCGTCCCGTAATGTGGCTACCTCAATTGGAGGGATCCTCGGCTTCTGTGGTGGATATCTGCATCAGATACAACGGCTTCTTCGCGTGCACGCGATATGTACAGGCAGCCATCGATAACAATCTTCCGACCTACATGTGCATCACGTCTGCCCCTGGGAGGACGGAACATAGGTACGCTACTCGGAGGTTCCACATATCTGGATTTTTGATCGCTGCCCATGCTGGCATCACGAGGTGATAGAGAACGGGGTTCTTGTGTTCCATCCTAATACGCGTTCCTTGCGTCTCTTGCTACATACTGAGCAACCCTAGTTCCAGGATGCCTCCCGAAGGCTAAATGTACGTAGTCCGGTCGAGATGTCTTACGTGGCCGGGGGATGCCGATAATCACTTGGGATCTCAATGGCGAATTAAATGATCGTGTTGTCAGCAGAAGGCGCTCCGGTCATATCTTTCCCAAAACTCGCGGATCTATAACCTGCGTAGGATGATTCGATGAGGAGATCGTGGTGCATCGGCTCGGTCAGTTGCATTGTCTAACCTCAAATGTTTCCTTTCGCGCCCTAAAGCAGCTATGGCCTAGGCCATCGCCCTTAACACCGCGATACCCACAATTTGTACGTCACGACTGCCGCAGCGCGGACGAGCAAGCGAGTCCCTTCACCTGAGCTGTCTGGATGGATCAATTCGCGCGACCAGCTTCTTCTTGAGTCCATTGACATATTCGAGACCGATGATCCAAGTCACAGCCTCCACATATCACCGCCTCGCAAGCGATGAGGTCTCGTGTATCCATTCTTTTGCCGACGACATTCACGGAGCAAAGCTTCTGAAGAGAATTCTTGGAACAGCAAATTTTGCCTGCCTGGCTCTTGGCAACCACCGGCACGACTTACAGGGTCGCATTCCACGTACGCTCCTGCCTGCGATGGCCGCAGATGACTCGTGACAGACTCTACGAGTTGCAATGTGTCTGATTTGTGGCATACTAGCCCGCCACTCAGACCGTGACCGATCTTGACTCACGGACACGCGTTGGCCACGCTGCGTCGTTCAGTGCCCCGAGGCAGCTCGGGCCAAAGATCTGTGCGTCTATATATACGTACAGCGTCGCGAGCACCATCCACACCTCGTCCAACGCCTTCTCCCTTCCTGGTCCTGTCCTGTACACCAGCAACCCTTAAAACAGATCCTAGCATGTCTCGCACACCGAGTTCCAGCTATTCCTCGCCTTCGCTTCCTCTTGACGACAAGCGCCACATCCTCCCTCCACTACCGACTAACGTCGTAGAGCTCGCGCGTGCAAGTGGGAGACTCTACCAAGCGCCCTTCGACGGACGCCACGATGCATGGACATACACGGGCTTGCGGGGCACGATCATCTTCGGTCGCGATCCACTCTCCATACATGCTAGCAAGCTGCTTGGCAGGGGGCCCGCAGCATGTTTTGAGTACAACTACTGGCTGAAGATAGTCGATCCGGCTGCGAATGGGCACACCGTCTGGATGCACGACATCCCAACCGACTTCAAGTACAGTCTGGACAAGCCGTTCTTCCACATCTTCGCTGGCAAGGTAAGCCACACTCATCAGTCACGCTGCAGAATGTTGAGCTGATCACGTCGCAGACCAGGATGTTCGGCCTGCGCTTCGACGACGATACCGATGGCGAGAAGTTCTACAAAAAGGTCACGAGCAACGTGTCCTGCACAGGTCAGTGTATGTGAAGTGTCTGGTGTGGCGCATCATACTGAACCCTCTCTACATATAGTGTCTCCCCCAGGCAGGATCAATAGGTCTCCCTCGCCATCGAGCAGACTGCCAACACCACCCGAGTCGCCCCTTCCCGCGACGCCACCTCTTCCTGCCTCTCCTCGCATTAGCAAGTCGATGATCTCCTCCCCGAATGCAAAGTCGTTCAAGCACGTGTCGCACATTGGCTATACCGACACGGGTCGTGTCGAAGCGTCTGAGAATCTCGAGCCAGGCTGGATAGTGATGCTCGAAGAGCTGCATGGTGACTTCAAGCAGTTGCCGAGTATCCCGAGCACTCCGAGCACTCCGAGTCCACGGGCCAGTGCCAGGGCCGTTGAGGGCCTCAAAGGCTTCGTCGAAGGCTCTTTCAACGCATTCAGTGCCTCAAAGTCGAAGAATGAGAACGGTGAGCCGTTCTGCAATTTATTTGACTTGTTTGCATGATGCTGACCACAGTGAAACACAGCGGATGAACCGCCTCGGAAGCGTAAATCGCCACATAGGAAACCGGTAGCGATAGCATGAGCCACTTCACATATGGAGTTCACGAGGATCTCAACGAAGCCCAATGACCTCACAATCCTTCACGATCGACTAAAAGGCCCTTTTATTCCTATTTTGCTGGATATGGGACCGATGTTGTCCTATATCTTTGTTGTATTGATATTTGTGCAATGCTGTCGCCCACTATGAACATGCTCACATATCTACAGTGTTCTTGATACTAATTCGTACCAGCCATGTAGTCTGTCTTCTCCGTCTCTCGTAGTTGTAGCATGGTAGCACAGGTTGTATGTACTGGTCCCGATGAATAACAAGTGATATGATTTACCACCGGTATCTATGAAGAGAGTGGTGCTGCATGCACGACATGGCGATCATGCGACACGGTTCGTGTGGTGACAAGGGAGACTATTGAGGGAGCTTGTACTGTTATTGCGAAAACGAGCCACTGAGTCTTCGTCGTTTGCTGCTCCCATCGCAGGCTTCTTCTGAACTGTCAAGACGACCTCTTTTCAAACGATTCCTCTTGTCCTCTTCTGGCCAGCCATCCTCGGCTAGCGCGTTATCAAACGCAGACAGAACAGCACCATGCGTGAGGGGCCGCCCGCCCCTGTTTTGCAAGTTATCGAGACACAGACTCGCAAAATCGCGTAGTAGAGTTGTGAGCGGCTGGTTGCTGGAAATAGTCAACGGTTTCTTCAGCCAGGCCCTTTTCCGAAGTGCACATGTCACATCGTCTATGTCATCGCCAAAGAGCCAGGACCAGACTGCTCGGCCTTGGGGATCATCATGATCAACGTAGCGAATGACCATGCACGTCAACACCCAGAAGAAGGCTTCGAGATCATGAGTGACGTCCTGGCGCACATCCCGTGAGTCCTCGAGCAGTGGGATTGCGAGGAAGCACCAGGTGCCCTACATACGATTTAGCAGCGCGTATCTTCTCATGGCGATTCAAAACTTACGGTTTTCCCTCCGCGCTCGATACCAGTACAAAACGCACTCATGTCGAAATCCGTGATGAAGCCCTTATATGGCTGTCCATTGGCGATCATGATATTGTCAATGCTGACATCGCGATGAAGGATACCGGCTTTGTAGACTTGTCGGTGCCCTGCGTGCGAACCTATTAGCTGTGGCTCCAGTGATATGGGACCAAAGTACCAATGATCGCATCGCGCAAAACTTGCGCAAGTTCCTTTGTGTCCTTAAAGTCTTCGAGCGGCCGTCCTAATGGCCTGAAGACGAGCCGCATATGTGTTCGATCGTCTTTAGGGTGCCTTCCAAGATTGCCGAATGATGAAATTGTCCGATGGCATGGAGCGTTCGCATTCATCACACTGGGGCGTTCAGCATGTCGTCTTTTAGCTGCCCTTGTATGGCGGGAGCTCTTTTCGGTAGCATTTCTAAGGTCGACTTCTGACGCTTCCAGCTTGACTGATGGGGTTGCAGGATCCCGCATCGCTCGGGATATCTCAAGCCCTCCAAGGTCCGTGCCGCAGATCATGTCAGCGATACCGAAGAGCTCCTCGCCTGTGGCCAAGCTTCTGCGAATGCGTTCGTAGAATCCCGTCTCTACGTTACTCCACACGGCCCGCCAAGCGTCCTTGAGGACATACGTCTGTCCGCTCTCCTCTCCTCGTCCTAACACTTCCCAAACCATTGTCGCTCGTGAGAACAGTGCGGTATGCACATCGATAGGCCTGAATGCGAGAAATTGGCGCGGAGTAACGCCGCGGGTGGGAGGTTCTACGGTGTACCAGCGACTGGAACCGAGGACTTCGACGGGCAGCTCCCGGTCACGCAGGATGCTTGTCGCCCATTGCAAGTCATCAGATGTCGGGATGGTGATAGATGGGTCAGAGCCAACGACTGTACCGCCAGCGGCAGGATTGACGAATCGCCACAGAAATTCTCGCAGCATGTTCGGGCGTGCTAAATAGCTAAATGAAGGAGACGCCACCACGGCACTGTGGTCGAAGCGGAATATTTTTGCCATGCTGCCGTATAACCCTATAACGAACACAAAGAGAGATCGATTTGCCGCAAGCATGTTCTGGGCAGCTTGGAAGAGTTGTATGAAGCAGCCTTCCTCCACTTGACCAGAGCTTCGAATTTGCGAAATTGGGTCATCGGAAGGCGAGGACTTATATTGCAGCATCAGGCATATATCTTGCCACTGTGGAACGGGGGTTGAAATTTTGCTTCTGCCAGGAAATAGCATGGCAATCCCGGCATTCTTTTGGTTTCCATCCACATGCATCTCTTGACCGGCAATGACCAGTGGTATAATCCGATCGCTTTCATTGACAAACTCGGGGCGCCTTTCCAGAGGAAATCCGGCTACGATGGCATCTAGTGCATGGACCTGCAAGATGATTTAGCCAGTTTGACTGCGTTGCATAGACGCCACCTACAATCTCTTCATTCGACATCCCCCTTCTGAAGATCTTCCTTGAGTTCCCTCGAAGTGATGACACCATACTTGGAACAAAGATCTCCATGTACTCTTCGATTGTACCTTGGAACACATTGAACTTCTCCCGAAGTGCTTCTAATAACCGCCCAGGGTCGTCGTCTCCTGCGGGATCGGAGCCTTCGTCGTTTATGAAACTAGACAATCTTCCCGTGTGTTTTCCACCAAAACAGCTGCGCGGCATATTATCTGAGCGTCAGGGAGAATGTGGCGACTAGATGGTAGCGTTGTGGTGAGTGGCGTTGGGGAAAGAACAAAACACTGCGCTTATATCAGCAGGGCCCACTGGATTGTGGCCCAAGAGCGATCGTCATGGGGACCGCCGCGCACGTCTCCAAGATTTTACCTTACAGCCTTGTGGAGAAAGTCTCATAAAAGAGAAATCTGCCTTGACAGACAAGTCGAGACGTGTAGTGAATGGAAGAACGCGTACCAACACCTGGTGGCGAGACGCGTCGACGTCGAATCCCAGCCGCGGTCACATGACGAGCTGATCCCAACCTGGACAGGCAGACTACAATATATCTTCTTCTTTGAAGCGAGCGAAGCCAAGGGATATAGCAAGGCAGGCATCGCGCAGTCTTGAAGCATGTATTGAGATGAAGAGATGATTTACGAGAAGATCAGCCGCAGTTATGGAAACATGCGACGATAGAAAACGTACTATCTATCAATCGTCAAGGCCTCACATCCAAACTGAATATCGGAAGAATTCTCGTATCGTGACAGTCCACTCGCCCAGTCGCAAGAGATCATCTCTAGTGAGTGCGGCTTACTCAGGATTCGAGGAGCTGGAGGAGCATCTTGCGCGAGGCTACTTCTCAGATTGAACGTTCTCCATCGCCCTTGACGTACCTGCCTGTATTCGCAGAATTACACAACCGTTGACCACCTCGCGCATCGCGAAGAGGCGTTTTGCGGATGAAGTTCCACTAGAATAGCCTATGATTGGGATGTCTCTATCTAACTGTCACCACAGCTAGTCCTCTATGAGATAGCGCTACAATGAGAAGCCAAAACTCAACTAATTAGTAGGTTTGTTACCCGTACCCCGCAGCCTATGTACCAGCATCGCACCCAGCCTGCCCTGCCATCCACGCATCCACCGCAAAGAATCGGATCTCAGAAACGACTAAGGTCCCGGCCGAAGATCCAGTTCATGAACCTGTCGTGGGCAACGATCAGCCATGAATAACGCTCGCTCACCCAATCGACGCTCACCAATACGTAGGGACCAAGATCCTATCGCAGATTCATCAGCACCTGATCAGAGACATACGCGTGAATGTGGACACCCACTTGTTCTTCAAGCTCAACGTCATGGTGAAGTACGCCGAGCGCCAGAGCAGCCACGCGAGCCGGCCCGTCTCCTTCGTCTTCGGGCCCTTGGCCGCGCTCGTACGGTCGTACACCGCCTGCCAGTCGCCGATATATGCGAGGCTGCCTGCGTTCACGAAGTTGAACTCCGTCGGGTGCGATTTGCCCTTCACGATCCTGTTCAGCTTCTTGAACAGGTACTTTGCCTTTTGGTTCGCCACTGTCCGTGCATACGTCAGTCAGGGAGCTCGTGGCGACTGTGTGGAGCGTACGTACCCTGAGCAGTGGCAGGGAGAGGCTGACCCTTGATGATGGCCGCGTCACCAATAGCCCATACATCCGGGTCGGGCTTCCCACTGTCCTTCATGAGCACGTTGAGATGCTCATCTGTGAGCAAGCTACATGCGTTGCATTATCAGTACACACTTCGCGCGGAGGCCAAAAGCATCAAACAAACCTGCCAGTCCGCGTGTCCTTCTCGATCTCGTTAATCGACGACACAAGCGGGTTCGGCGCCAGACCAGTACTCCATACCAGCATGCCGAAGTTGACTGTGGGCAGAGCTAATCAAAACTCTTGTTCCGTGAACGCGGAGAAAGCTGTGCGTACCTTCACCCTGCTCAGTGACGAACATGCCGCCCTATCAAAGTTGCGTAGTTATCGACAGTAAACCCAAGCACATCTGAGTCAACTTACTTCTTCCACACGCTCGACGTGGTGCTGCGTCAAGATATTGATACCTTTCCGTGTGAACTTGCGCGCCGCCCACCTATCCCAAATGCTTAGCACTTGAAGTACATCTCCGTTCATAACCACGGCGCTCACTCCTGCAAGCCAACGTCGAAGCTCCCAAGGATCTGCGGCGCCACGTCGTACAGCGAGATCTTGGCCATCCGCGCAAGCTGAGGGAAATGCTGTTTGATCTCCGCGTGTAGCAGATCGTGCAACTCTGCCGCGAATTCGACACCGGTCGGGCCACCGCCTAGACGCAGGAAAAGCATCAGCGCACTGATGGGCCAGGTGAGCCAAGTAACAATGCACATACCTACGATGCAGAAGTGCAGGAGTTTCCGCCGGTCGTCGTCCGTGATAGTGGGCTGGTTCGCTTGTTCAAAGCCTAACGAGCCTGTAAATACGTCGTCTAGATGAGGTTATAACATATGGACATACATTCCAGGATCCTCGACCGAATCCTTCGCGCATCCTTGATATCCTTCAAAAAATACGCATGCTCCTTCACTCCAGGTATGTTGAACGCTTCACGCAAGCACATACTACTTCAGCCCTCCTCAGGTACGCGCATAGAAAAAACCACTCACTCCGGCTGTACGCACCCACTGCGATAATAAGCTTGTCGTACCGAAGCTTGAACCTCTCCTGCAGGACCGCTGGAGGGCTCGTCGTGCCGACCCCTTGCTCGACGGGTGTAAGCGCCTTCCTCTCTGTGGGCGCCTGCGCGTGCTCGTGTCCGTTGCCGATTACGTGTTGGTGGTAATGAGACGGCAGCGGGGGCGTTGCTGGCATCTGCACGTACAGGGGAAAAGGAGAGAGCGTCGTCAGTACGCACGGAATGCGGGTGCACAGGACAGGAAGGGGCCATTACACCTACGCAACAGATGGTCCTCTGCTTGAAGTCTGTTGGCACGCATTAGTGGTCGTGAGGAGGAATGAATGGAAGATTGGACATACCGATGTTGTCGCACCATGCTTGATACGCGTTCTATAGATACGTGACATCCATTTGATGTGCATATATGCGGGTTGAGGGAGGCAAAAAAGCATATGTGTGATGGAGGATGTATATGGGAGGATGTATACGGGAGATTGCATGGAATCGAAGCGCATTTATACAGGCAAGAGCAAGCAAAAGTCGTGTCGAGCGCAGAAATGCGGTGTTTTCGGATGCCATGTAGCACGCGAGTTCCATATTGACCGAGTTGGTCAAGACGATGCGTAGCGTTGGCGAGCACGCATGGAAGAAGGCAGGCACACATACGAGAAAAAGAGAACAAGCCGCGTGAGAGTAAGATGCAATACGTTCCCATGTGCATGTCGCGCGTTGCAGTGTCCGATGCGGGTTTTCAAGGCACCCACAAGAAACGGGAGAAATAAACAAACGTGACGTCAGATTCCAATTCGAAGCATTCAAAGTTTAAACACTGACCACTCGTGGTGTGTATCGTCTGACCTGCATAGGGGCGACGGCAAGGTCAATGGACAAACCACGAGTAAGCACATCGAGTGGTCTACGCACAGGCTCAACAGCAGAACGGAATTCGAGCGTGCCGACTGCGCAACCTGCGAGGAGAGGTGTGAAGTTGAAATAATTTGTGGGCGAGACGATGGTAACGTCTTCAATGTAGGTACGGGCGTCAGAGTGCGCGCGCAACACGATCCCGAGCGACACTCACTCCACCGCCTTTTGTCAATCCCTCTCAGCAGCTCGTAGCCTCCCCATCCCGACCCGAGGATGACCAAGTGCTGTTCTGACCGTCTTGCAGACGCGCTAAAGTTCCGTGCACTTGTTACACGCACAACGCACAGGTCGCGTGTCGTCTTCTTCGCGTTGAGAGCCTGCGAGCGCAACATCGTAGAGGAGAGGATAACGAGGGAGGAATTACGCAAGTAACAGCTAGATAATTAGACGGAAGTGACTGGTAAGAAGCAATCAGAATCAAAGACAATTCGGAGTGAGGGGAGAGAGCAGCAGTCGGAATCAGACCGAAGAACGAGGCGCGACCATATATCACCCGCAGACTAATATTAATTGCGGAAGGGACGTCATCGGATGATCACGGAGGGTCCTCAATGACGGCTATAGTGCGCTACTTTCTTCCTCTGCCGGTCGGGTCCACCAAACGCTCCTGCGAATTGGCGCGTGTTCATTACGGCGTGGATGTATTCATAGCGCACGCGGCCGAAATCGTGCGATTTACTTTCGGAAGAAATTCCGCACTTGCTCATCTTCGTGAACAACCGAGTCGCCCAAATTTTTTGCGCGCGAAACGCCTCTCGGTCGTCCATTTTGAGCAATTACCGTCAGGCGCCTATCGGGGAGCAGATCACTATCTGAGATATTCGACGGTTTACTCCGAATGTGATTGGCCTCGTTCGTAGCAGCCGAGGACGCAGAGTAATTCTCGCATCCTCAGTGGCTGGCCACAATATTCGAACCATCCTCACTCTCACTGAGCGATGTTCCTAGGGCAGCGGAATATTTACTCATTCTGAGAAAATGCATTGACCATGTATGAGGAACCGCATTCTGGGCCAGTCACAGTTTCTGAAATTACTCGGCCATCTCACATCTGTAAGCCCGCGTACGCGAACGGCACTCATCGCCACGATGTCCGTGCGGTGGTGGAACGCGACAGATCGGCGAATTGTTAGGCCCTCATCTGGACCTATGAGGCTCTGCCAACATTCTGCTCCTCGTAACAAGCGCGATAAGTATGGATATGCGCCTTCCTCCTGGCGAACGCTCGGCGACTCGTCTACGAGTTTGGCTGGCCGACGCTCACATCGTGCATATCCGCCCTCGCTCTGCGATCCGACGGCAGCCTCCGCTTGCAACCGTCCGAGCGCTGGCATGCACAAAATTTCACTGGACAGCCGGTCGGCGACCGACGGTCCACGGAGTTGAGCTGGCCACAGCACGTTCAAAAAGGCGGAACAGAGCCAATTGCACATCGAACGGCTCCCCGTCTCTCCTTCGTGGCGATACATTGCGTGTTCGAAATAGAGTGGGCGAGCGGCCATTGCGAGAGCCCTATCGCACTCCCCTCCGTTAGAGTCAGCGGCATGAGCTGCTACCTAGGCAAGAAGTCCCTAACCGTCCAAACACCCTACCCATGGAACAGCTACTTCCAATTCCGAGCAGGCCATCCGTGAACGGGTTGCCACTTGAACTCTGCACTCACTATCTGGTGGAGACTCGATTCAAGTAAGCGTGCAATGCCGGAAATCCCGGAATGCTGCTCAAGCCGGTTCGGAATATCTCGCCAGGGCCACTTGCGAGCACGATCAGAGCAAGATCCCCGAGGCTCAATTTAATCCATATCCGGAACGTTGGCATGCGACGTGGCCTGGCCACTGGGCGTGCAGGGACATAGCGATTGGGCCGGAATCGGGGAACAGCCGCATGCCGGTTGGACACGAAGCGTCACGATCATGTGGTCGTGACTATACGCGTCTAGCAAAGTGAGAGTTCGACTCGGAAGTAGAAAGTTACATGCATATGTTTTGGGGAAAGCAGAACGGATGCGGTTTGACCCGTCGCAACTTGCCTTCCCATGAATCCCAAGTCGACCGAATATCGCAGTTGCTTACTGCCTTCCTTAAGGCGTCTCAAACAAAGCACCTATTTCTCATGGACACCGATATACACCGATGACATGACGAAAAAAGACGTTCCGGACACATCAAAACCGCTATCGCAAACACGAGGGCAGAGAAGGTGGCTTCAATGTGTTGCCTGGGTTGTTAGATAAGCTCAAAGGGTGGGTGAGACTTCGGACCGGGAGCGACATAGATCTCGTGCATTTTATGTCTCCCGAGCCGTCCGGAGTCCGTTCACAGGAACACCAGTCGAAATGGCTCAACTCCTAATTCAGTACCTCTGGCGAGTACGTTAGTTAGACAATGCAAAAAGGCCCGACGTATGTCGCGGATTCTCGCATAGAGGAGGATTGTACATCCTCTGCATGTACAGTGGAAACGGGAGGAAATGGCCTGTCCGCGATGTGGGAGACGGGCGCGCGCTAACAGGTGTCATTGGCGGTGGTGGGATTACCAGTGCGCCTGTGTGGCTCGTCCAGTCCAGTGTCGTTGATGTAGGCATCATGCAGGTGTTAGAGCTGAAGCGGGCGGGCCGCGAGCAACCAACCCGAAGGTTTGTGAACTGCTGACTAAGCTGAAGTGAAGTGGGCCCTCAATTATTTCGCGCCACATACCCTTCGCCACTTCCTCTACGGCGATAGCAGACCTTGACTTTTGCAGGGCTGTAAGCAAACATTGTTCTTAATCTGAAGCCAAATCATCCAGCTTTCTTAGACGGCATCGGTGGCGAGCAGTAGACTTGCAGCATAATAGCATTCAAGAGTCCTCCGGCGCACGAGAACTTGTTGCACTGCCTCCAACGCACAAAATATAAGCCTCGCCTGTACGCAGACTCTGGAAGCAGCACTTCGCCTCCTGATCTGCGGAGCGAACACCGTATGATACCACCACCGCCATGGCAGACGAGCATACGTTCAATAAGTCTTACCAGCGCGACCGAGACGGCTCCTCCACCGTCACCGCAATCACCCTATGCGGCACTCCTACAACCTCAGATCCGCACTCCGTCCTACACTGGCAAATCCTTCTCTCTCTTTCCAACGGATTCTGCGTCCTCCTCAACATGACCCCCGGCGCCGGCCCCGACGGCATGACGGGCACGTTCGTCATCGCAAGCACGAGCAAAGACGCGCTCTCGGACCCTGCGATCGAGTTCCGCTTTGAATGTGCTGCTGTTGAGTCTTTTACGATGGAAGAGGTCATCTCTTTCTTGCGCGAGAAGGGCATGAGCCGCTTCCGGTTCGACGAGACCGGAAGTGGCTGTCGGCACTGGTGTGGCACGGTCCTAGAGCGCCTCGCTGATGTGGGGGTGGTCGATTCCGAGACTAGAGATGCATTTGAGGTATGCGTCGCGGATCAAAGAGTTTACAACGCAGATCGTTATCCGCTCTTGCGAAGGGGCACTTTCTACTGAAGGTGTGGCGTTTTCCCTTGTCACCATCGCAATGTTTGACATGTAATTCATTATGCAAGAGGTAGCAACAGCGATGGCCGAAACGAAAGTTGGATGGGACGAATAATATGCCGAGCTCATCTGTTATGCTGTTCACAAGATGCATCATGTGTGAAGCTGGATGGGTGCATCCTGCTGTGCATTTTCGACTACGCACCCCAACAGCTGTTCTTCCATCCCTTACTCAGGATCAGAATCTTAATGCGTTAAAGGCTAGTTTCGAGCATGCAGCCCGATAGTTCTGGGAGGCTTGAAAGCGTGTAATGATAGTATTCGGTAGTAACTACCGCGAGTCCGCAACTTCAAAGTCTAAGAACACCTCCTGTACTTACACAACGCTGTACACTGCGATTCTAATACCACACTCCTCTGCCTGGCTCCTCATTCCATGAACACATAACGCGGATCGGTATCCGCGATTTCGGAGTCGTCGTCCAGCCCGTTCTTCTCGTCCTGAGTCATCGTCGCAAGGATCTCCTTGTTCCGCTTGTTCTTGTATGCGAGCCGCGTGCGCAGGATGAACGCGGCCAGCGCCGACGCGAAGAGGCACCTGATCATTCGGCGAATCAGTTATGGTTTTATCGTCACGCAGAGGTTTGCATTGTAACCCACCCAGCAGAGATCCCGTGGCCCTTGCGGAAGTCATCGTACGAGTCGAAGTAGATTTGCGGAGAGGCACTGAAAGGCCAGTTCTATGTGCGGTATTGGCGTGGAAATTCATGGCAATGCCACTCACATAGAGATGCAGTTTGCAATCGACACGATGAACGCAGTACCAACTCCGCGCTTCGAAGTCGGAGAAAAGCAATTCGCCGCCCAGCTCCTGCATCCAAGCACATCACCATCCACACCGATCCATCATCCGGACAACTCAACCGACTCACATAACCAGCGGGAACAGGCTAAAGTTCCCTCCAACGACCAGAAAGAGCGCAAAGTACCCCGCGCCGACGCTCTTCTGCACCGACGTCGCGAGGATGACGTAGCCCGTGAACGAGACGAGCATCGATGCGACGACATGGTACCCGCGCTCGCGCGTCCGGTCGCTGTGCCACGCCTGGAAGATGACCATGAACCAGCCGACGGCGTACGGCGCGACGGTCATGCCTTGCGCGTTGATGTCCGAGAAGCCCAGTTCGTCGATGAGCTGCGGACACGAGCGAGAGTAAGCGAGAGGCATTGGCACGCGGAAACGACAAGCGCACCGTGGGCAGGAAGTAGGTGATTGTCGCTGTGCCGACGTTGACTATCATAATGCTCGGCATCAGCGATCCGGCTCTCTCCCGAGTAAGATGGCACCTACAGCCGCAGTACACGACCACCAAGAGCCACGCATTGACATCGTTCACGACCGCCTTGAAGCCCTGCCAGCCCGTCATGCCGCCATGCGATGTCGGCTTCTGGTCGCGGTTGAGGCGCGCCTGCGCTATGGCCTTCTCACGCGGGGAGAGGAACGAGGCAGAGAACGGAAACGATGGGAGAAAGAGCAGAAGCAGGGAAGCCATTATTATCGTGGGAATGGCCTCAATCTGCATCGTCAACACTGAGCATGTGTATGAGCGTCATTTTAGCGGGAAACGCACCAAGAACAGGAACTGCCAGCTTTGGCGATATGGTCAGTGTCAAGTCGACGTATATGCAGAAAAGCGTTGACTACCCTTGGAGCAAGGACGTGTGTGCGCGGAGAAGGCCAAATGAGATGAGGCCCTGTAAAGTGTTACAAGTTCATGATCGCACCGCCATACACATCTCTTCACTTACACTGATGGCACCAGGGTACGTGCCTGTCATGCATATACTGATTGGAGCGGAAGGACTAAGCATTCGACGACCATTGCGACAATTGAGACGCCCGCATACCTTATGCGCATAGCTAGCTCATGCCTTTCGGAGGGTGAGCAAAGGGACAGCTCTTTTGGCGACATACTACTCGCCTCCTGTACCAGAACGAGAGATAATAGACCATTCCGGCATAATATCCCGCCTCCCCGATGCCCAAGAGCACCCTTCAGGTGTCAAGATGTCAGTTGTCAATCACATTCAGCGACCGTCAACGATGCCTACCGCAGAATGAGCAACCCCACGTAGCCTTTCGCATACACGAACGAGAGCGAAGACAGTCCCCAGAACGTGAGTGACATGAAGAAACTGTGTCGTATCAGTCGGTGATCGCCCAGAAAGATCACAGCGGGTACTCACAAACGATTGGCCCCAATGCGGCGCTGCAGGACTGTATGTGCATGTTCGGATTGAATGCAGACGGATGCATTGGACTGTTGACATACCATTGGCAGGCATCTCCAACAAGCCTGCGTAGTCGTGTCAGAATGGGAGTCAAGCGGTGTAGAAAGCACTCACAGTAACCGATGTAGAACACACTCAATGCAAGTGTCCACTTGTTGTTATCTGTCACTCCCTATGAGGACATAAGTACATCACGACTATTTCGAAACGTTGGTGCACATACGTAATTCTCGTTGAAGGCGGGTACCGTGTGCACATTCCCGCTATGCACCGTGTGACAACAGCGCTGATTTGCCACGGTTGTGAACTTACATGTTGGTTCGATCTAGGAATAATGGAGTGAGATCGAATCTCTCAGATTCAGCATCATCCGTGAACACGTACCGAACTGATTGACTATTAAATCACGGAGATATCGGAATTGCGGCGGAACACGAGTCGGCTCAGCATATGAACATCGTGATGACGTGAATACGTACACAAGTAGCTATGACGATCGTGCATAAGCCTCAGCGGATCCATGCGGAGAAACTGCTATCACCTTCCAATAATTAACGACAAGACCCGTCGGTCGATCTTGCGCCTCATAGCTCGCTAAAATCATACGTGTGGCGATTAGATATCAGTACGTTGATCGACAGGCGAGACGCACCTCTTCTGCCTCAGTAAACTCGACTGTCTCGGCATCTTTATGGACCGCCTCTGCGATACTCTTATCCAGCGGTGAGAAGAAGTGACGCCGGCGAACCTTGTCTCCCAGTCGCGACTGGAAGAGCGTGCCCTCGGTGTTTGGGTCCTCAACACGGCACTCTTCAACGTCCTTCTCCACTTCGGAAGACGCAGCCTTCAGCTCGGGACGCGACGCAGACGATGAAGTTTCAATCATCCCAACTGAACCACCGCTACACAGACACGGAGGAGAGTGAGAGTAAAAGAGAACGCGAGGGAGACGGACTGCCCTTCCTGGCCATGCGCCTCTCGCACATCGAACACTTGTATGAAACCCGGCCTTCACGGTTCGATCCGAGAAGTCCGGCGGACATAGATGGACAATGTGCAAGAGGTAGCGCGATAATGCGCATTCTCCCAATCAAGCATTAGCATCAGGTTCAGCAAGTCATGAGGCACTATTAGGCGCCGACAGCAGACATCAAATGACCCGCCGACCACTGAATACCCAATTCGCAAGGCGTTCCTGGACGCGAATTGTTATCTTGTCCAGCTCGTAAAGATACAGCCAGTGGATATTTGGATCATGTCGCAGCACATGTCCCTCAGTAGACAGGGGAACAGAAGCATGATTCGCGAAGTCGAAGGATGAGCCTGAGGCCCTATTCTTAGCTGCTAAGACGTAAGAGTCAACATCTGCAGAGATGAACTCGCTTAGCTCCTTGGGGTAGACGAATGATTTCGGTGTCATGAATTGGGTATCACGCCAATGCCAAAGTATGGGGAGAGCTAGGCTGAGGCGAAGAACTAGGGGTCCAGTGAGAAGTGTATCCGTGGGAACGCTGAGTTTCAACATACCGCCGCCACCGCCACAACGCGACCACGCGACCAGAGGACGCGCCTCAGGCTGAGCGTGTCTTTCTGCATGTCGCTCGACACTGGCACATTCATTCACGCATTCATTCTGTCAAAATCCTGTCAAAAGTAGTGATCATGTCGGAACTTGCTCAGTCTTCTCTCGGCGACCCTCAAATTAATGCTGAATGGCTTGCTGAGCTGTTTTCTCGAAAGTGCGGGATCTCTCAACCTCGAGAATTCCAGATCAAACACGGACTTGACATCATCGAAGGGCGCGACGTCTTTCTAGTTATTGCACCAGGTCAGGGCAAGACGACAGTGTTCTGGGCCTCTCTACTCGCTGCTCAAGCACTCGGCAAGCAGGGTATCGCACTATGCATTGTCCCTACCAAGCTACTTTCTATACAGCAGGTATGATATCTCCACTGGATTTACACATAGAAATAAAGAACTATATGTGGATTTGCTAGAGCGAGAGTGCCCGTCGAGTCGGGCTGCGCGCGATCACGCTGAACGAGGATACTGTCCACGACGCGTACTATGACAAGCGCGACCTTTTCGACGAGCTGCAGAATGGCGAAGACATTCGCATCGCTTTTCTGAGTCCTCAAATGCTTGCTGGGGAACACATGAAGAAGCTCCTGCAGATGTCTAGCTTCAAAGACCTGATCCGCTGGTTCATGATTGATGAGACTCACTTGCCCGACGACGAGAACCCTCTCTGGCGCGAGAGCTATTCTGTTCTCAAGACGATGCGTGCGAACTGTACGTTTGGACGTTGGAGCCATAGCCTGAAAATATTGGACTGTACTGCCCATAGTATGCTGTATGCTGGTGAGAAGCTGTCGAAAAGGGACTGGCGAGTGGAAAGGGCCTGGAGTCTGGGGAGTGGTATGGGCCACTTTGATGGGCAGAGGAAGAGAAAGGGGGGCTTTCTCTGCTTATTTATTCATCATCTGGATTCGCACTTTGTAGTGCACTTGTTCCTTGGGACGACATCGCTAAAATACAAGAGAGGTACATGATCTACGCACAACGTCCTCACCGGGGGCATGGGCCCATGATTCTGCCCGAAACATTCTGGACACATTGTAATAACAGTCCAAATAATTATGCAATGTTTTTAGCACATACATTTTGAAATCATTTTGAATATTTTAAAATGTTTTAAGCATCAACATTGCGGCACAATTTTGATAGCATTCATAAAGATGCAAGAATGAGATCCCAATGCTGCAGATGACAGCATTTAAGCATTATTGCGATAGCATCCTAAATGTTTCTTGGGAGAAAATCTCAAATGATACCTGTGAGTGGCCATGATGTTCTCAAGATGTTCCCAATGGATTCATCGTGATCGCATAATTGTTATTACTATATATAGTAATGTGCTGACCATATTAGGAAACCCCCGAGATGATTCCAGCCGGCACATGATGGAAAGCATTCTGGTACTCATCGTAACATCACATTGATCACATTTGTAATGTACCCTTAAGATCCATTCAAAATGATACCAATATATTATATGAATGCTGGCCAGATGTCACAGTATTAAGTGGCACCTTTCTTTTTGCACCATTAAAGTCCTCATTTGAGTGGTTATTCGGACACCAACCTTCATATTGGTCTCGCAACG